CATATAGAGACCAACAAAATGTGGTAGCTTTTTCCCCTGCAGTGTGGGTTTTTTTTGGTGCACCCACTATTCTATTTGTTTGTATTGCTACTGTATTGCCAATCTATACAAGTTAACAAAGTCCATTTAACCACATTGTCACCTGGTCATTATCATCGAGCATCTCTAAGCAAGATCTGCCGCCATCCAACGGTCCTTTGAGTATCAAACATTGTTAAAATATGTCAAAAACAGAACTTCGGCAGTTTACTGCTCACTGATACAGTCACACAGCATGATGAGATGTGTTTTATCTAATTAAGATGCGCTATTGATCATCCTCCTCACTGCCACTATCATCATTCTCTCCCTCCTCCACAGGCTTCATGATTACCTTTGGTCTTGCATAGGACTCACAATGTACTGTATACGGTTACGGTCGTAAAAGTACGTGGGAAATACTGTACAGCTCGTATTTGTGGTGCTGCTTACGGGGATTCTCTTATACGATACTGGCATGTCTGTACTTGCGCGTGTATTGGGGAAAATACACGTGATGTGGGTTGGAACCAATCGGACGCTGCTGCCGTTGGCTCTGGCCCTGGGTGCTTCATCTCGGCTGAAGCGCCGGATCACAGTCTGGGGAGGCTTCAAAATGTGACGGTAAACACGTATGCAGTTGTAAACGTACGGGTCACAGCGTATCGTATCAGTAACGTTTTCGGATCTTGCCGGGCATAAACGATGTGGTCCGTATCTGATACGAACTGGGATATTTCCGTAATTACGATACAGTTGCAAGCCCTAGTCTTGCAACACCTGGCTCCAGTGGACCTCAGACAGACTTCTTCCATACAGCTCTTCTTTTCTCCTGTTTTGCAGTATTGCGCTTAATCTCCTATTGTGCAACTTCCTCCTGCCACTCTTATCAGGAAAACCTAACTTTTACTTAAAGGTGTCCTTATGTGACTTAAATGCACTTATAGGCCTTAAATAAGGTAAAAAAGGACAAAAAGTCCATAAGTCATATTTCCTTAAAGACTTAAAAGTCGACTTTTGGAAACTTATAGGTCTTAAATAACGCAAAAAAGGACAAAAAGTCGGAATAAGTCCTATAAGTAAAAGTTGGGTTTTTCTGATGGCCTGCGGTGACACCCAAGTTCCTCTCCTTCTGCTCCACATCTGCCACTTTCCATAGCTGTATCATGTCTGCCCGGTCTTGTCTTGCAACCCTTCGAGTCTCCTTCTCTGCTGCCTCCTTTTTTTGGTCCTCACTCTGCTTAATCACGGCACTATAGAAGACATCATGTGTCAACAACTGAGGGAGTCTGGTCCCAACCAGTTTCACATTGCTCTTGTTCTTCTTGTTCTTCTGTGCAGCAAGCTGGCCTCTGACAGAATGCACATAGAGATCTTGCAAGATCACTGCAGACTGCATGTCAATAAGGAACTTCTTCTGGCAGTCTGCCTGCATATCTGACTCTCGAAGCGCATCTTGAAGCATATTTTCTCGGGAGGTCTGAAGCTCAAACATAAGGAGCGGTGTATTTCGCTGCTTTGTAGGTGAGATCAGTGTCACATTGAACCTCGGAATTTGCGAGGTTGATTGAATGACAGAAGAAGAGAGTAGAAATAATGCTGAAGTTGAAGCAAGTGTATTGAAGCCTGTGTGAACAGGTGAGAAAATCATTGTGTTAGATTTTGGAGTGATAGGAGTTGGCAGGGTGTTCTCATCGGTGTAGGTGTGTCACCATTGCACAGGCTCAGCAAGCTCTCTGAACATCTTTGAGACAGCTCTGATGGGACTTGTTTGTGCCTGTGCTAGAGAAAGATTGCTGCAACAGGATGTCTCGAGACTCAGGGCCATAATCTCTGCTGTGACAATACTAGCATCATATGGCCAGGCTCCAGTTTTGTGAAATGCACTTTGTATCATCTTGCTTATAAGCGCATGGACATGTGCTGCACCGTAAACTGTAAGGAAGTTTTCTTTGTGCTCTCTTTTATATCTGTCTCTTTCTTCTGACCAGCATATCTTGAGCACCCCAAAGATGGCAACATTTAGTCCTTAATAAACATGTGTACCATAAACTGGATAACACACAATATGAATTTTGTGGATTTGTGTATATTTCAGAAATCCTCGTGTGTAATGGGAGTTGTGTCTATTAACAAGGAGAAGATGTGCACAGAATCTGGCTTTGACCTTCATCTGCGTGTCCATATTTTTGATCCAGAGGACATTGATCTCACCATCAGTCCAGCCCTTCTTTTGATATCCAAGCCTAGATGATGTAGCATGTGAGTAAACTGATATATTGACCAGTGATGCACACATATAAGGCTTTAAGTGGATTTGCTTGTTGCCATTTCACTTGAAATGCCTGATCTTTAAAAATCACTGTAAAAGCAATCAATGAACCATCAGCACAGATTGTCACTATGATGGTGATATTTTCCTGATTTTCATCCTTCTGCTGATACTGAACCTTTTTCTCAGCACCTCCAATTACATGCTCTTGGGTCTCTCCTCATGGCTGAAAACTGGTCTCATCAGTAGCTCACATGGTGTCAGCCTCAATTTCTTCCTTGCAAATAATATTCCTGAGGAGCACAAATCATACAGCATTTGTTGTAGGGTTCACTGCTTAAGCTCGTGCAAAATCAAGTGGTCATGCCCAGTATGACTGGATCTCCATATGTTGTTTCAAAAATCGGTCTGTCAAGTTCTTTCTAACACCCATCACTGGGAATTTGGCACCATACCGAGCTCGGCAAATTTTATCAACATGTTCTTTAAGCCTGCAGTAACTGAAGGAAAAACTGTGAGCTGCAAGCTCAATTATGTAGTCTATAACCTGTTGCTCTTCTCCCTTTGTAAGCCAACACTTCTCCGCATTGGACTGACTCTTTAATTTGACCCCATTCACCCGACATAGATGCTCTCTTGCAATCTCTTTGCATATTCCCTCCAGCTCTTTGCGTGCTTCATTTGGAGGTTTGGCCTGTTCAGCCTCGTATGCTATGATAGCATATATCATGAGCTTGTCTAGTTTCTCATTGACTATATGAGCTTTCAGTGTAGCAGACTTGGCTCTACCAGGCATTATAACAAGCAGAGAATGTAATTTTCAAGTATCAAGCTGATATTGAGAGACACAACAACACAAAAACATTGGTGCTTACTGGCAGCAAGTGTTCAGCATGACAACATCTGTGTGACATGAGATTCTTGTTGTATTTCTCCATAAATCTTCAGCATTGAACTGGCTCTTTCCCTCAAGCTTGTTTTGTACAACTTGGCAGACGGAACTTCAAGAGAAACCCATTTAGAAGCTTGCCTAAGTTATATTGTACTTTTACAGTGTGTGACTGTGTCTCGATACTGGAAAAAAAATTTACTGTCTCCATAAAATCTCTATATGTTGGACTTCTTGACCTCTCTGCACTTCTTGAGTCCTCTCATATTCACACAAAAAGTGTGCAAAAGTGGTTCTGTAAGATTTAGATAATTTCTGGCCTCAGAAGTGAGGAGGAAAAATATTTTACATTGAGGTATATCAGTGAGTGAGGGTGTATCAGTGAGTGAAGGTGTATTAGTGACCAGTCCTACATTATAGAAGCCTGTGTGCCTACACTTGATAATCCAAACCTGCTTGGATCCTAAAAAATTCTCAATCACAAGACTGTGGTTGGCTGGTGCCACACAGCGGCATCTGTCTACAATGTTCAACATAGCTCGAAAAAATCCAGAAAAACCATGTGTAGTATTCAACGTGTCATCCTAACATTGTATGGAGTGCCAGAGACCATTGCACCAGGTGTTGCACAGCGAAACTAGAAGTGTCTAATTTTGGCATATTTAGGTCAATAATAGTACAGTGATTGGCATAAAAAACTGAAAATATCTCTGAAGAAATATTCCAAGGTAGGTTGGATGCTGCACTTGATAAGTTCTCAAGTTTGTAGCTCATACATAGGTATTGCTATATATGAGCTGTAGCTGTGGATGCCAGATGCTTGCTGACAGAAGCCACGGCCATGTGCACTTGCCTGGAAAGGAAATATTTGTCCTGAACAAATACAAGATTTCAACATGATTGTCAGTTTTTTATACAAACAACTGTATTTTTTTTGTTTTTATTGCAAGGGAGGTCAAAATCTGTCATAACTGCCTTATTAGGTATGAAAAGTTTTTCCGACATTAATCAGCTAAGTGCAGCAACTGGCACTGAGTGCAACCAGTGTTGTCACTAATGGTGTCAGACCCCCATCAGTCAAGAAAGGTCAGTCTGACCCTTAAGAGAGTCAGAAAACTCTGACCGGTCAGACAGTAAGGGTGAGAAATTGACATACGCGAGATTATTACTATTTTCGGATACATTCATCACTGTACGAAAGAGGCGCTGTCGCTGGTATGAATATAGGTACACTTAGATTGACTTAAAGAATGTATTAGCTCATACTGAGCCAGTTCCTCATCATAGTTTCGCATCCCACCGTGCCAATAAAAGTCCAAGCCTGCCTCACTGCCACCTGGAGGAGGAAAGATGAAGAGCTCATGCAGCAAGATAGCCGTCTTCCTGGAAGACCGAGGAGCTTCAGTTGAGGACCCAGCAGAAGACAAGATGAGAGGTCCCTCATTATCATCTCTTGCAGCAATTGCATCAGCTTGCAATTGCTCCGCAAGCTCTCGGAAAGAGCCACCTTCCAGGACATCACTTGAGCTGTCTGGTGCTGCCGAAAGTGGGATGGGTATTTCACCAAATTGAGATGGTGATTCCAAAGCTTGACCAGGATAATCCTCACTGAACTTGCACTTTTTCCATGTGCTTGTAAGGCCACAGCTGACATGGGATCTGTGAATGTCCATTTTGACTGCAGCAGTGCCATGGGTCTTGTGGCAATTCAAGCGATTCCGAAGCTTCATGTGTCCAATACCAAACACAGAATGCCCGTTCACAACTGGCAGAATTTGCAATAATGCTAAGTAATCACATAGCAAGTCTGATGACACCATTTTATCCAGGACAGATGTCGTCATTGGATCCATCAAGCATTGACCACAGAAGAACAAGATCAATGTCCTAATGTCAAATCTGGATCAGCAAACACTACTGCACAATGCTATAGGGTAAATTTGGCACACCTTTGACACCTTGTCCGCTGTCTCCTTTGTATAGTCCAACTGTATGAGTCCATCTGTGAATATATTCTTCGCTCTTGAGTAGTCGATCAGGCCCGACACAAAGTCATTTGTAGGAGCCTGTCCAAACACTCGCATGAATGTTAACTTGACCATCTCGAATAGTGCAGACTGTGTGAGCACCGCACGGTTGAAGCAACACCCTTGGATATAGGGATTGAGAAAGATGGCCAGGATAAATACATCCTGGTCTGCCTTCTTCCAACGCTTCTCAAGACTCCCCAGGATCTTTTCATGGACGTCACTTTCAGTATCGGCAGAGCAGTAGATACAGTAGAGGTTGCTGAGTGTCAATAACACATGATCTAGTCGAGTATGAGGTGCCTGTGTGATGTTTGCTGCAATTGCAAGTGGCTCAAGGTGTGTTCTAATTCTGTTATCATGTAAGTCACCTGTTGTGTTCACACAAACTTGGTGAAACATACCGGATGAGCTTCTTCCAGAATCCTTCATCCTTCACAACATCAAGGATACTTTGTGCCTTTGCTTTCACATCAGCTGTCCTCCCAGCACAGATCAGCAATTTATCTGCATTCCGAGTGCAACATAGCTTCATTGCGACAGACACATCCAGCAAATGAGAGACGGCAAGAAAGTGAGCCGTCCAATGTGTGATATGGGGCAAAATTAAGGCAAGAGTCTGTGTCCGATCAATGTAAGTCAATTCCTGCTCCTTGTCAAGGAGGTCCAATGCAACACCATGACTGTTGAACCACTTGACAATCTCGAGTGCTTGGGTGATCACCTCGAGTATCTCCGGAATGGTGAGATACTCACCCACTACCAAATTGATCTGATGTGACCAGCACACAAGGCAGATAATTCATGCCATGAGCACACTCAACAGCTGATGCATCTTCTTGCCATTCGGGCCATCATTGGTGCACCAGCCAATTGTTTTGACCCCGAACTTGTTAGACATGTAACTAATGTCAGATATGACAATCTCCAACAACTTCTCGCCCATTTTGGGCTCACCAGTCATATTATGTGTGCGTAAGAGGTATGCCTATCCAACATCAGAAGTGAGTCTTATCCGAGTCAATGGTGTGAATATCTGTCTGACTTACCTCATGCTCAACAGTCATCACTGATGTGACAATAGGCATTTTCGCGATGTTCTTCCAACCATCGCACTGCCCCGTCACAACCTTTCCTTCGACCTTGACCTTTGTTCGCGCCTCAACCTCAGCAACTGCACGATCAAGGTACCTCCCAGATAACATGCGATGATCTGGAACTTTCGAACCTGGGACCCACTTTTCTATAAACAGGTGTAGCTCGGGATTATCTGTGACATTCCAGGCCAATCCACTTGAGATGAACACTCTGCACATGTCTCGAGAAAAGTCTTGCTGACACACGGCTGTCCAAGGACTGGGAAGTGGTACGTCATCCAGACTGCTCATTTTGATCCTTTTCAACATCGGGAAGAAGCTGAAGGAATGGGTGCAACAGGAGTGTGTGTGGAAGATTGAGTGTTGATCAGAGATACCTCCATGGAGGGTATAGTGAGACCTAAGGGCTGATTTTCTTGATTCTCCTCAAGGAGCCTGGCCTCAACTTCCTGAAGAAGTTCTGCAGGTGTGTATGGGCACCCAGAGGCATGGGCCTGCATTACCCTCTAATTCCCCTTGATTGGCTGTACTCTGACACTCAACCAGTGCATGGCAGGAGCAGGTTCAATTCCGGGAAGTACAGAGCCTCTCGGAGCCATTGCTATGCCAGTATAAAGGTCAGTTTTATCATTCTTCGGTGCCATTGACAATACTGACCGAGAGCCCATAGTTCTTGATAGCCATGGGCCTTGATAAGATCTCCTCGTGCAATGCTAAGTTCATCGGCATACATATTTCCTCGCATGTGTGCATCGAGACACTTGCAGCACCAAGCATTTAGATAGGATCTGTTGCTGAGATACTTCGATTTATTAGACCAGAAGAGCTTCCACCATGGAGATTTTTGAGTCATATAAATTATACTGCTATAGATGTGTGTGGAAAATAATATTGTGACAGTATTCGAATGACTCTACAGTAGTACTACTAGTAGTACACGAAATATAATTCACGTGACCATTGACCCGTCTGACCGATGTGTCAATCAAGAGTCAGTCAAAGATTCACCGACTGCATTGATGGGGTCAGCCTGACTCTGCCAACACTGAATGCAACCAGCATTTGGCAATCTTTACCAAATGTTAGCTGCATCCAATGACTACTATTACGGAGGCCAGTGACCAATGTTAGCCCACACTGGCTGATACTGGATGCCAATAACTGCCATAGATAAATGGAGTCTGGCACTGAACAACTGTGGTGCTTCAGATTGTAATACAATACACTCACAAAGGGCTCAAAGTGTTATATATAACATAATTACCTTATAATTCCTTGTAATTACAGTCATTTGCATATGAAACTGGAAACATGGCAATGAAATCTTTTATTTGTTTGGGCCAAATATTGCCTTACAGTGCTTTGCAGCATGTCACACCAAAATTATATTTTTTGAATTCCCTTGTACTGCCAGGATTGCATCGTCCATCATGGCACTGCACTCAGGGAGGTAGACAGGCTGTGAAGACTGTGCCCAGGAATAGTGCAAGATAAGCTAATGTTTGAATTGGACATTTTTATAGTATGTACTAGAGCTATAGGTGCAACAAATAACAACCAAGCACTACAGAAAGACCTGACTTCTTCCACCTTTATACATTTGCTCTCAGGTCCATGTGCAGTATGTTATTTGGTTATGTCCGACCTCAAACAGAGAGGTTCAGAATTGCATAGCTGCATGCAGTGACTGAGGCCCACGATAATCATAGTTTTAAGATCAACTGTAAAGATCAGGCAGAGGGTCAGTAGGGATTTCTCTGTTGTTTAGCAGCTATAGTCCTCATACACATGAGCTCGGGAACTCTAGGTAAATGTCAGATTTGAATAGTACTGTGCAGTACATCGTGAAAGGGATGCTAGTGGTGAGCGATTGAGGAGGCACTTAGTACACTAGCAGTTCAAATAGGTTAGGGTTTATCACATATTTGGCTAAAACAAACAATTTATGTGGAATCGAGAATGCAGTTTCATGTGCAAACTGCAAAGCACTGTAATGAGTATCATTGAGTCCTCTCCGTGACTGAACATCACATACACTGTTTACTATGAGTCTCTAATTATGCACCAGCAATTGCGCGAGCTTATTCCTCACTGGTACCATTATGACAAGTTTCCTTTGTCCAACATGGTGCAGGTGTCTTGATATCACAAATCTACCATTTATGAAATTATGTAACTCTACCGAGGGATATTGCCAGATCACCAACAAAGTACACTGGACTTCACTGGCAGTCACTGGATGTCAGTGATGGACCACTGATATCTAGTGGATGTTAACTAACTGCCAACAAATGCCCCCAGAGTCTGGCAGCATCTACAACATCCACCAGCTTTTCCACCAGCCAGCATATTACTGTCAGTAGGATGTATTGTGCTGATATAATAGCTACATGATGAGAGTGTAGAAAACGCAAAGCAGAGTCTACATGGACTTGGTCACCTATTCTATTGAGTCAATGGAATAGGCGACCAAGCCCGTCTAGAATGCATTTTCTACACTCTCATCATGTAGCTATTACATCGGCAGCCACTTACACTCTCAGCTGCCAACACAATAAGATAGACTCCAGCTCAGAGTATACACATTCTCCATGTCAATCAAAAATCATTAGATCATCCCCCGCTCCTTCCTCCATCCGCTGCCCAATGAACGGTGTCACCGTAGGTCCCTCACCTCTGTCCGTCTCATGCTGACCTTCCACCAAATGCATTAGATGGCGTAACGCCTCCCGTGATGGCTCGCCATCTCCCCTCTCCGTCGGCGGGTTCAACCCCAATCCTGTTCTTGAAAGCAGCGGCGGCATCTCTTCTCCACGTAGAGGGCGCGCGGTCAGCGGTTGCGGCGCCCACGCGCCTGCAGGTGGAGGCAAAATGGGCGCCCTCGGCGTCGGCGGTGGCGCATTGAGCGCCGCAAGCGTAGCGTTGGGATCAATACCTATCGCAGACACCGCCGTACGCATAGGATTCTGAACGGTACCGCCAGGGGCACGCACACCAAGATGCTCGGCCAATCTTGCCTCTGCTGCCACCGCCCGTGCATGCCGCTCGCGCTCCCTCTCAGCTCTACGCTCCGCACGTCCCGTAACCGTGCCGCCTGCTGTTGTCGTCACTGCAGACCGTGACGAGCCCTCGCCGTGCCCATGATGGTGGTCCCCGTCCTCCTCCGGATCCTTCGCGCTACACCAGAACCGATGACCCTCGCTCCAAGCCGTGCTCTGACACTCCTTGCCGCAATACTTGGCCTTTCTGCATCGCCGGCATTTCGCAAACTCCCGCGGGAAGGTTTCCCATTTTCCGCACAACACTGCAAACGCATCGCAATTAGTGTGACAGCACCATGCACGAGGTCCACGAAACTTACTGTTAGCGCACTGTCGAATCCCACCGCGGCTGTCGTCCTTCCTACACGCATTTCGCATGATAACGCCCGCCCAATACTGGATCTCTGGAGGGAGTGAAGGCGGAGTGTTAGGCGAGTCCAGCTCCGAAGAACTGTGCCTGAATGTGAACCTCTCCACCAGCGAGAATACGTTCGTCATATGCTGGGGTGGCACAGGAGATGTAGATCCTGATGCCCCTGGACTTGCAGGAGCCTTTTCCTTCTCCTTTCCGCGCCCAGTCGCGGATGCAAATGCCCTTAAGAACGAATTCGGTTCCTTCACAGGCGTTTGCACAGACGAACTCGATCCGCTCACAGAGCTCGACGAGGATGGGTTTGTCATGCTCGATCTGGTACCGCTTGGTCCAGGCACTGCCTGAGACACGCGGCCGTCTCCTGTGGGGTAGTTCAGACTTGCCGGGTGGAAAGTCGGGCGAGGCTTGTAGAACGCCTGACGGACGTACGGATACTTGCTGAGATACGCGAGAAGTTGCAGGCTGAGAAGGACATCTTCGTCGCGATATGGGCCAAACTCTTCGCGGGGATGGTGATGCGTGTGTTGTCCCGCAGCGCCAGTGGGACCTGCAGCCGCGCCCGTCGGAGGAGTGTTCGTGCCTCGATTCGCGTGCGCACGCCCGGTGCCCGGTGCGACTGTGCGTGCAGGCTCACCAGGACCTGTAACGCGCAAGGTAGGGGTTGTTGTAGGAGTGGCGATTGGGATCATCATCGGCAGAGTTGCAGGCCTCGCACGAGGCGTACGCTCGCCTGCAGATCCGTGCATGTCTGTGACCGCTCTGCCTGCCGGGTTGTCAATTGCACCTGGTGCTCCAGGAGGCGCACCCATCGCTAGATCGTCGTTCTGCTCTAGAGATACAACCCCGTCTTCCACGCTGACGCCCTCACCGAGGCCACCCTGTTCGTTGATGATGATGTGCGCGTCGGTATTCAGATCGGGAGATGCAACAGTCGCTGTCGCAGAAGGGGTGTCCGAAACTATACCTACAAGCCTACGAGAACGCACGGGTACAGCCCGCACAGTCCCAGTGTCCGCGGATGAGTCACGGCGCTCCGGAGAAGGCGAGACTGAGACAGAAGGAGGGTCGATCTCACGGCTGCTCTCGCGGTCCATATCCACGTCTCCGTCGTCTTCTGTCTCGGTCTCAGGTCGAGAGTTATCCGCAGAAGTCGAAGCCGACGGCATGAATGGACGACTGCGCCGGTGGGTGCTGCTAGTAGCATGTAATGTTGTCGAGCGTGCAATGATGGTTCCGCTGCGTCCTCTGATGCCCCCAGGAGTAACGGCGGTCGATGTATCTGTTGGTGTATCAGTGTCTTCGGTACTTGTCTGGTCAATATCCATAGAATCCTGCGAAGATATCAATGCACAGAACATCGTATACGAACGGATCACGCACATCTTGCCCGACATCTTCGCCAGTCGCAGCACGCTCAAGCCTGATGGCACGGTCAAGGGCGATCTGGCGCTGAAGTGCCCTGTCGAGCTCCGCAGTGTGATCGCGCGACCGCATCTCGGCCTGAGCCTGCCTCCGCGCCATCCTCCGTTCCCGCGTCTCCCGTGGCATGCCATTCGCGCTCACGTTGGGGCCGACGGCGAAGCCCCTTCCGGCGAGCCATGCTTCGAGTATGCAGCCGACAACATCGAGCGTACCGGCTTGGACGACGCGGCTCCGGATCGGCTCGCTTCCACGCACACCGATATTCACAACGCACTGGAGAGCGAGTGAAAACCGCTGTTGAGCACTGCGGTCGAAGGACTTGGGGATGAGAGTGGGCACGGGCTTTGGGGGATGGGATGAAGGAGATTGGAGACCGTAAAATAGTGCCGGATTCTCAGGAGGTGGCGGACAGATACAAAAATCGTGAATGATACGGACGAGTCGTTCGAGGCCGCCGTCCATGGTCATGATCTCGCGGATGCGAGGTGAGGTGGATGTGAGGTAAGTGAGGTGCGTAAGCGAGTTGAACAGCGGCAGCGGCGCATTCGTATCCAGCGCTGGCGGTGCCCAATACACGTCAGCAATATCCGGCGAGTCAAAGACAGTGCGCACCTCTGCGATCATAAAGCTGGGAGGTTATGCAAACGCACGCCCTGTTCTGGGCGGGAAAGGCAAAGTTGGATTCGCGCATGGAGCGATAAGGAATGGGGGGATAGATGTGCCAGCGATGTAGAAGATGGAGACGGGTGTGTCAGTCTCCTCCTCTTCGTCGTCGTCGTCGTGAGCGTCGTCGTCGGTGTCGGCGGCGGTGGGTGTTGGTGTGAGCGGTCGTCTGCCACAACTGGGATCTCTGCCTGACTGATCTTGTATGGCCGTATTTGGCTGTGGCTGCCCCCTTTGCTTCCCATATCCAGATCCCCCGCGGCTTATCCCCGCACAGCCAGGACAGCGTCAACTTCAACCTTACGATTATGGCTCGGGCTGACGTGCTGAAACTTCCAATCGCATTCCAACGTGAAATACTAGTGGGATCGTCTCATACCCAGACCGACGAATGTAAAGCGATAAGTGACCGTTCAGTAAAACAGAACCACCCTGTTACACAGGAACTGCGTGAGAGGGAAGTACTACGGCCGGTTGAACGTGAATGCTATATTCCACTAAAATCCAGACAAGTGCATAGTATGTATAGAACATTCGAGTTACCAAAAGGCTGGAGGATGAACACAATCAAAAAGGAACAAAACAAGTTGCATGACCGGGAGGACCGCAGAATAACAATATGCATCATGTTTGCCCTTCATGTCCATACTGCACGCTGATGCATCGTACTATCCCTACATCAGCAAATTCTTTACAAGGTTAGTTACCACCACCCAGCACACCTACTAGGCGAGTCAGAAGGAAGGCGATCACTATCGACTGAAGGAACAGTTTCATCACAAAGTGCGAAGCATCAACCGCACTTGCCTCGCTTTGACCAAGCCCGAGAATGTCTCCGCGCTTGCAGTGCTCCGCCCCACAACAGGTTCTCACCACGGCATGAAATAGCGCACGATGCTGACTACAACCTTCATGATTCTGAGGTTGACTAGCACAGAGGCGCAGCATCAGGTAACGCTGTAGGCAGCTCGATGGGGGCGTCGCTCGTCGTTGAACTGTCCGGTTGGACAAGGGACTCGGCGCTGGCCTCAACCTCGACCATGCGTGAACCCAAGTTGTTGAAGGATGCACACCGGGAGGAGGTGCAGTCTAAGCGACTCAACACCTAACGCTGGTAGAGGTCGGATTAGGACTGGTGACTATGGCGATGCTGATGAATTTGCAGTACGTCAGTACTAGTATGACATACTCCTGTAGTTGAATATGGACATATTCATGCGTACCGGAACTTCAGCGTCGAACACGGCAAAATTGGAGCATGCAGCTCAAGATGTTGACGAACATATTCGAGGAGGAAAGAAACCTGCACGAACCACCAGTGATTTAGCCATAGAGTCCTGGTAAGTTTCCTCGAATTTTGGTCTCAGGAGTTAAAGGGCGGGAAGGGTATTAGATGATACGAGAACCACAAGTGTTGTGGGCATCGCATTTGGTAAAGTCGTCACACTGCGGAGGAAATAATGATGATCGCACAAGAATCATGAGGGACCGGCGAACCTTGCTGCATCGTACAACACACGGTGCGCAAGCGCCCTACACTTCAACGTCGGCGCCGCGCTGGAGGAAGGGCGCCTCGAAAGCGAGGGTCTACCGATGCTGAGTGCTGAGCGTCCAGATCCGCAAGGGGCGCGACCGCTGCGCTCTACGTGGCCGATGACATTGCGGATATCAAGGTCTCAGAATAGAAGTGGTATGCACTCCGGTGTTGAGATCCTAAGGACGGTCGACATCGCAGAGAAGGCATTCAAGTTTCGTGACAATTCATTGATCAGCAACGTCTTCCAGCCACCATCCACGCGAGCCAACGTCCGTACTGAACACGGACGTATAGTACTTGTTCCGAACACCAGGTATCCGCGCGTGGGCAAATTGGGTGCGAGGTTAGCTACCATCGTACCTTAAGTGTTAACTTACGGACAGAACTCGGGAATATAGCAAGATTACGAGAACTAGACATTGAAATCTTTAGGTGCGCTTTCTCGACATGCAGCCTTATCGAACGGTCGATTATCAAGGTTTTGAGGCATGTCTGTGCAAGATAATCGAGCCTGGCTTTTCCTGGCCATGGGTGAAGAATTTCGTCGTTCGTGACAAGTACGAACTGCTGGGGCTGCTGAGTTAGTTCATGGGCATTACGGTTGGACAGAGATAGCGGTGCTAAAACCATAGGATCAGAACAACATATCGGAGGAAACTGACAGGCATGTAGATTTCGCGAGAACGCGCGGGTGGTAGCTGATCATGAGGCCTGAGTGGCCCTCGCGCATCTGCTCAGCCGTCTTCCAGATCACCGAGCGAGACATGGACAAAATCGTGGACAAGAGGCGGCCGCCAAGGCTTCTCACCTAGAACGAGAGGTAGAGGCGCAGCACGCATCGGAGATCTCGGCGGGAGAGAATGTCGGTCGAGTGACGTGGAAGAGGTCTGTGTGATATGGAATATAGGTGATCCGGGCTGCTGGGAGCGACGCGCAGGGCGGCTTGAAAAAGCGACGGACGGCGGTGCGGCAGGCTCCTCCCTCAGGTACACAGGCCGACGGGGAGCATTCTCGCGAAGCAACTCGACGTCGGAGGCTAGATCGGAGCGATACTGATGACTTTGATCCGGGCTACGCACTCGGTGAAGAGGGCGTGAAAGTCGGTGTTTGCAGAGAGACGCATGCCCAGAGGTCGTTTCGTATGGTAATGACCGTGATCGGGGTGTAGGCATGAACCTCGAGGAGCCTCTGAAACGTTCTGGTGGAAAATGTTGGGTTTCATTGACGACGGCAGCGCTTTGAGGAAAGATACCACACTGCCCATTGCAACCTGTCAATAGTGCGCCCACTGCCGACCGTTAATTGAAACTCAGGGAACTAGGACCAGGACACTGACGCGGATACACAATAAAATGGTCTCGAGTTGAAGACATGTACGCGGAGCTCCTCCATCGCTTATGACTCTGAGGCCTTGGAGTCCATTCCCTACAAATGATACATCAGTATGACTATAATTCTAATTCGACGGGATGAATCGAGGGTCTGTGAATGACACTGCAGTGCGAATGGAAGAGCTCACGGATATAACATCACCGCAACCGTCCGACGTTCACGATTTCAGTGCTCAACATTTGACTGCCAAGGTTCATTTATTCACAGTTCATGATCATATGAGCATCATGCGACCAGAACCGATGAGACTTTTTTTTCTACATCTACATCGGCCAAAAGTCCACCGACACTACGAGCTATCCCCGCTCACCATCTGTTAAGGCAAAGGATCAGCTCACACCGAAACACATACATAAAGTCGACGCACGTCCTACCGGTAGTCCTCCTTCTCAACCCACCTCCTGCCGTCGACCTTGCGCACGTTGAACTGCCACGTCTGCACATCCATCCACTGGTCCTGGGGGAACGAGTCTCAAAAGCGTACATATACCTCGCCCGCGCCATCAAAGAAATGGCCTGCGATGCATGATCCTGACCGAGGTATTCGCGTCTGTAGACAGAGCGCTCAACGACAACAGGAGAAACGCGACACACCACTAATCCGCGTCGGTCAACAACTGCTCACACAGCTCCCTGTCCCGCCAAACGTCTTTGTCCTTGTCAGCGTGCGTGAGATATCAATTCTTGTCTTTTCTACCACCTCGAAGTAAAACCAATGCACAAGCAAATTCAGCTCCGTGCCCGAGTGCATAGCGTGCGCAGTACGTCTGCGACAAATGTATGTGTGTGCCGTGGCGCGACGGGCTTGTTGACGGGTGCACCAGCCACGCAGTCACGCGTTGGTAGTCGCGCAATAATAGCTTGAGCGGCGCGTCCTTGGGCTTCATATATTCGCGATGAGCACAGTATTGCTGGATTCTTCTTTTATCGCCGTCACTTGTATAAGACTTAGAGATATGGAAATGGAGACCGAGTGGGCAGAGGATGAAATTTTCCCACCCGATGCGGCAATAGGCAAGCCTTTTCGGGACGGTGGGCATTAATATGCAGATGTGGCAGATTGAGTAGGATGGATCGAGAAGGCTTGAGGAAGACCGAATCCTAGCCTTGCGCACAAGCGATTAGAAGTGCGCGCGTTGGAATGTTGATGTCCCGAAGTTTCATTCTGAAGCTTGCACATAGCATGCTGATTTGCTGACGGACTGGACCGACGCACAGGATAAATATCAAGCCGGCGTCGAGCCGCAAGTTGTCTTCCAGGGTGCACTCGATATATCTAGTAGAACTAAGAGGGCACAGTAGGAACGTGGCCCATCGTGCATAATATTGGTGGTTCCATGAATCTTAGGTACGACTCAGAGTCGGAGGTGCTGTATTGACGGTGAGTATTCAAAGACGCCGCTGCACGCTCGAACAGTCGCGAATCATTTCATTTTAGTTTATACCAAACAGTCTCGCTTGAATAAACGATTATATGGGGCACATCAGTCCGTCCGTGATAGACTCTGTGAGCGCAGATAAAGATACGTACCGCTAAGCAAATTCTGCGCGAATGTAGCTAGCCGATACTTGTAACTTGTCAGTTACTTGGTGTGCCGAAACAGCCTTCCTCGGCCACAGTGGTTGGATGATGACGTCTAGCGCTTGCCCTATCAATTACTCTTCGTTCCTCCCATCATGCCGCACCGTCCGGCTACAAACTTGTTCCTCTGGAAAGTCACTGACGGCACATATCTCTCCGGACTTAGCGATTTTCGAGCCCTGTTCTCCACTGGTATCCTTAAGATTCAAATTCTGGATATCAACTCGGACTTGGTTCAAGCAACACGACGACACAAATCCGGTGAACCGTCGCAACCGTCGCAACTACGATCAGACCTCTCCATGCTCCCGGGCGCAGATTTCACCGATGCAAAAACGTGGGATCAAGTCAGCCGCTTTCTCATCATAGCATACACGGATAAAGTTATCCATGTCAAAACGGGAGATGTTTTCATGGTCATACTGGGTATGAGTCCGCCCCGCACATCTGCCACCGTGGAAAGCAGTTGAGCTATGACTAGGGACAATCAAGATCACACCGAGACCCGCAATACCTCACGATGTCCATCGGGCCGATGATGTCCTTGTGAAAGAGAGCCACAGCAAGCCCACGCTTGCCATGGATCAGGCAGCCGTTCTTGCGGTGGAGAACCAGGCGGACGGTAGTAATGTCTCGTGAGGTGAGATATCACTTTGTTTTAGGATATGCTGCCTATCTGCATGCATCTTGCACACAGAGTCTGTTACGTCGCACGATAGGAGGGTCCACTCCGAGTATGGTCAGAAGCAGCTCCTTAAAGTGTGAGTAAATGACACCTCTACTGCATTCTCGAGAACTGACGACCGCAGTCGTGATCAGTGTCACTTTGTACAGTAGTTATATGCGACGCAGATGCACTGCGATTCAGGCTCACAAGCGATGTACGTTCTCCGAATAGCCTCCATCTTCAATTCTTGTAGTTCAATCCTGTTCGTGCTGCCAAATTTGAGCTCCGCATATCATAGGCGGGTGACTGTCCCCATCACCAGCGTCCTGGCAGCAATTTCCAATGTCCCAGAACAAGATTTGCTGTGGCGGAGGCTCCTCTGATTGCGTATGTTCAACAACTTTACAGGACGAAGGTGTTCGGAACACGTGAGGGATGGCAGAAATGGTTTTATGGCACATTCTTGCGAAACATATTGCATTGGAAAGCATTATACAGCAGATGACTCCTCGGTGAACGTCGTCTACATTTAACAAGATCTGGCGGGACCCCGTCCTGCAGCAATTCACAATGCACCCTATTAACGCCCGGACTATTCGCACATAACACAAAGGCTAGAAATGCGTAAATTACCCGTCGAAGGGAAATGTGAAAAATCAGACCGAAAATGCAGTGGCAGCAAGAGCTATCAACTGAGTAAGCGAAGATTTGAAGGGGCACGCATACCGATGAGTAAACTGAGCTAAGAACCTCAGCAGCAGCATGCGAAAAACTGCGTCAAAAAACGTACCAGGAGAATTATCACGAGCTACCTAGATTGTAAAGCCGCAGCTCCAACTCCTCACCTTGCCCTCGGGAGAGCAAGTCGAGTTGGGGAACATCGCCATCGCGGGACACCACGCAAAACCACCGCGGAACACGCCTTTCATCTCTCCATCCCAGCGATGAGTCAAATCCAACATATCCCAGCGTCGGGAGCGTCGCTGCAACCTGCTGCGCGAGACCCAGGAGGCGAGCGAGATCACACTGCGGTTCCGTCATCCAGCTGCTGTGATAGCAGATACAGAGCGCGGTCAGTTGAAGACCATGGAGGTCTCGGGCGATGGAGAGCTGAACAACAGAAGCCAATTAAACTTTCATCCTACAGCAGCCTCAATGCACTCACCGACTGCTGATGCTCGGTATCGGCGTCTGCGTGGGTCACGACCTTCAAATACTTCAACCTGGGTGTGAGGTCTTGCAAATGTGGGATAAGACGTGGACGCCATGTGCTGAATGAAAGCACCACGGGTGACGTGTGCCGAAGCATGTGGAGCACCATATTCGACAATCCATCTGGATCACCGAAGTCGTCCTCATGTAGGAGGAGTCGGCGAACGCGAGAGAAGAGCGTAAACGGGAAGTTAGACTCCACCTCGTCCAGGGAGGCCCAATGAGGACGTGTGTCGTAAACGCCACCACAGTTGAGTTTAAAACGTCGGACGTTGGGGAATGCGCGTACGAGGTGATAGAGTGACCTACACCCGTCATGGAGCCGAACACTCAGAGAGTGCACATGTGGCCAGACATTATTAATCCCAGGATTTAGACTCTGAATGGGGCTGAAATCAAGTGTCTCTAGACAGCCAGTCAGGTTCTCCAGGGCATGCCAGAAGGGCACTTCGTCGTCATAGGGAAAGAGGGAGACCTTGAGATAACGCGGGCGACTGACCATGTGTGTCAGCACTTCAAGGAATTTTGAGCCCACTCGGAAGTACGAGATGCGCTCGAGGTTTGGAATGGCAGCCAACGCGCTTCTGAGCGACGGCAGAGATCGGAGGAGATCATGCTCGTCTTCAATACTCAGCGACCTCAGAGATCCCGCACCACGAAGTACTTCGATAAATGCAGGGATGCATTCAGAGTATTCCTGGCTGTAACGCAGTGAAACTTCAAGGGCCTTTATGTAGAGCTTGCGAGATGGTTCTGCCAATACAAAAGAAGAGAATCCGATAAGCTGCCGCCAGCTGTTGATGGTCACAATGGAGAGGTACTGGCAGACAGCGGCATCATACAGATAACGACATGTTTGTGCCAATCGCCAGGCATCAGGTGAGGGTATGAAGGATATGATGATCTCGAGGACATCGTCATTCAACGATAAGAACGACATCGTTTGCGCTGGGTCAGCAGATAAGTAGGAAAATTTCGAGAGAAACCACGTCACTTACGGATGTGTTCATCCAGCCGCGAAGATGAGAAAGCGCGTGAACCTGTGGAAGAGCACACCGACATCTATGGCAACTAAATAAGTGGTCTAGACGAGGTGCAGTTCAAAGAAAGGTCAGCCCGTGCGTGAGCCTCGTGGCGTCAACTTCAACCTTGCGATTGGCTCCGGCTGACTAGGTTGTGCTGAAACTTCCAGTCGCATTCCGACGTGAAATACTGGTGTGATCGTCTCATACCCAGACCGACGAACGTAAAGCGATAAGTGACCGTTCAGTAAAACAGAACCACCCTGTTACCGAAGAACTGCGTGAGGGGAAGTACTACGGCCAGCTGACATTGCATATGAAACGTGAATACTATATATACAACTAAAATCTAGGCAAGTGCATAGTATGTATAGAACATTCGAGTGCCGAAAAGGCTAGAGGATGAACGCGATCAAAAAGTAACGAAACAAGTTGCAGTGCTAATGTGGAGGATCGCAGAATAACGATGTGTACTCTGCACTTCAAGTCCATACTGAACGCTGACGCATCGTACTTGTTCCATTACAGGAACATCCCCACATCAGCAAACTCGGTACAAGGTTAGTTACCACCTAGCACCCAGCACACCTACTATGTGAGTCAGATGGAAGGCAATCACTATCGATTGAAGAGATTGTTTCATCACATAGTGCGAAGCATCAACTGCGTTTGCTTCACGTTGACCAAGCCCGGGAATTTCTCCGCGCTTTGCAGTGCTCCACCCCACAACAGGTCATCACCATGGCGTAAATTATTCTAGCGCACGATGCAGACTACAACGTTCGTCTTCATCTTCTTGATTATGAAATTGACTAGCACAGAGACGCAGCGTCAGCTAACGGATCTCTCGCGCATCCTACTAGTTTAGGGGTTTCCCTGGTCAGTGACTGAAGAGACACGTCAGAAAAAATGACTCTTTGAGAGACGGTACTAGTAGTTGTCAATAAAGGCCAGCCCAATGACGTCTTCCTAACTCGCTTTTCTCCAGACATGCAGAGCCTGTTGCATGCTGTTAGAAGCGGTCACAAGCCACGTAGGTACACCGGTTTTCATGGATGCTTTACGAGCACTCACCGGAGGGGTGAAGGCGGATGCGCAATCCCGACGCTCCTACTTGCACACTAGACCACAGACCAGGCCGTTCTACGAGTGTTTGAGTCCTCAGTCATTGCGGCGTACCTGCTGAAAAAAAAAAGACCCGCTGTGGACCAGCCCTCCAGTACAATGGGACATTGTGCGCATGGTCTTGATTGAAATGTTGTGAAAAATTGATGATTGGAATTGTCAGATGGCGGTCCGCCCTGGGATCTCCCGAGGTGGGGGCGGTGGTGGGGAACTCGGGGCTGGTGGGTGTGGGCAGCTCGAGGGGCGTCGCTCGTCGTTGAGCTGTCCGGTTGAACAAGGGATTCGGCGCTGGCCTAAACCTCGACCATGCGTGAACCCACGTTGTCGAAGGATGCACAACGGGAGGAGGTGCAGTCTAAGCGACTCAACGCCTAACGCTGGTAGAGGTCGGATTAGGACTGGTGACTATGGCCATGCTGATGAATTTGCAGTACGTCAGTACTAGTATGACATACTCCTGTAGTTGAATATGGACATATTCATGCCTACCGGAACTTCAGCGTCGAACACGGCAAAATTGGAGCATGCAGCTCAAGATGTTGACGAACATATTTGAGGAGGAAAGAAACCTGCACGAACCACCACTGATTTAGCCATAGAGTCCTGGTAAGTTTCCTCGAATTTTGGTCTCAGGGGTTAAAAGGCGGGAAGTGTATTAGACGATGCGAGAACCACAAGTGTTGCGGGGTAAAGTCATCACACTGCGGAGGAAAGAATGATGATCGCACCTGGAATAAGAATCATGAGTGACTCACACCGCGAACCTTGCTGCATCGTACAACACAGGTGCGCAAGCGCACTACACCTGAACGTCGGCGCCGCGCTGGAGGAATGGCGCCTCGAAAGCAGGGGTGTACCCAGCATCCAGATCCGCAAGGGGCGCGACTGCTGCGCTCTACGTGGCCGACGACATTGCGGATATCAAGGTCTGATTCAGCCAGCAAGCACGAAATGACGGTGCTAACTAGGATCAGTGCGGGTGGACAATGGAAAAGTGACTACGTATCACGGCCCAAGACTGCACCTCCCTACGAATTCCGTTGACAGGTAAGTACTGTCGAAGAGCTAGATATAAGAAGGGCTAGAAGTAAGACTGGTGTGTAGCAGAGTGGGCACAGACACAGCCAGTAGATCAACGACGACCAGAATAGAAGTGGTACGCACTCCGGTGTTGAGATCCCGAGGACGGTCGACACCGCAGAAAAGGCATTTCGTCTTCCAGCCACCATCCACGCGAGTAGTCCGTACTGAACACCGACGCATAGTACTTGTTCCGTTGCAGAACACCAGATATCCGCGCGTGGGCAAATTGAGTGTGAGGTTAGCTACTTAGGTGTTTGCTTATGGACAGAACTCGGGAATATAGCAAGATGAAATCTTTAGGTGCACTTTCTCGACATGCAGCCTTACCAAACGGTCAATTATCAAGGTTTTGAGGCATCATGTTCGTGCAAGATAATTGATCTAGTCTTTTCCTGGTTGTGTATTGTGAAGAATTTCGTCGTTCGCGATGGATACGAGGTGCTTAGGCTGTTGAGTTAGTTCATGGGCATTACGGTTGGACAGAGATAGCGGTGCAAAAACCATGGCATCAGAACAACATATCGGAGGAAACTGACAAGCAAGTAGATTTTTCACGCCACAGTGCAGCAGAGCGACACTGTGCCCTGATAAACCCTCAGGTATCATGTGTGAGATCCTCGTGAGAGATTCAGAAGCGTCGCGCCAAGCGCGGTGAGCTCATCTGCTGGGAACAGCAACAAGCATAGTACCCCGTACATGCCGACAACACCCAGCAGCGACAATTTCACCTTGACCAGTGTCGACGGGCTCAGGGGAAGCTATATCGGCGTAGCACGTGGACTACTTTTCTAGGCACGGCGGCACTGGAGGGGACGAAGGTGAAGACACTTCTTGCAGAGTTCGGGTAGCGGACCGCCAGGGTGGTGCCCTGTCGGTGTAGTCGGGCGTAGCTGGTGCGATAGGTGAGGCAAAGGTAGCGTTCGCCGGCGAGTACGTCGAGAGGACCTACCCCGTAGAGTGCTGGGAGACGGACACAAAGCGTAGCCGGGACCGCCCCAACGAAGAGAAAGGTATTGTTTGCTGAGATGAATAGATCGTGAGCGCACCCTCTAACCTCTCGGGTGCAGACGTGGACGACGATGAATGCTGCGAACGCGTTCGCAAGAAGGCACTGGTGGTAGCTGATCATGACACCTGAGTGGTGCAGGGCGAAGGGGTAGAGCTTACTTGGCGCTCCACGCCCTCGCGCATCAGCCGTCTTCCAGATCACCGAGCGAGACATGGACAAAACCGTGGACGGGAGGTGGGCGCCAAGACTTCTCACCTAGAACGAGAGGTGGAGGCGCAGCACGCATCAGAGATCTCGGCGGGAGAGAACGTCGGTCGGGCGACGTGGAAGAGGTCTGTGAAACTGGGATATGGAATATAGGCGATGATCCGGGCTACTGGGAGAGACGCGTAGGGCGGCTCGAAAAAGCGAGGGATGACGGTGCGGCAGGCTTCTCCCTCGGTACATAAGCCGACGGGGAGCGTTCGGGGGCGGCATATTCGCAGTGCGCTCGTTGGACGGGCGCGAGCCTGACTCATAAATGTCCTCCGCGATCGATGGGTCGACGAAATCCTGCTTACACAATTTGCTACGAGACTGCAGAGGAATGATTTGGCGATCTCGCCCTTTGAGAACAGCCATCGCGGGCCGAAGCTCTTCCTACGTTTGAGAGTAGGCGCGACTTGTGCGAGGACAATACACTGCAGTGGGAGCGTGATGCTGCTCGTCCATGGGCTTGAGGAGCCTGAAATGGATTTGGGGCTGCAAGCCATGCATGCGTGAAGAAAGCAGTATTGCAATGTCGAAGTCGTCAGAGGTGGATCGTGCCATCATCCTCCGTGACCAGCTCTGGTGCATTAAAATCCAGTCGTCGCTGGCATATTCGCCCTCGCCATCTGGAGGGCGCGTGGATCCGCAGTGCGAGCAACACCGCAACCGCGTTTCGCACTGACGCGAGGGAGGATATGGACTCGGCGGCGGGCTCAAACGCCCACACTATTTTGTCGTCTAGTCCCAGCCCAAGCTCTCGATCTGCTTCCCATACCTCTTGGGATTGATTCGGAATCAGGTGAGCCGTTCCGCGCCTGCGCGATCGTGGAGGAGAGACTCGCGAACCGTGATGGGCGAGGAGACAACGATTCTGGGAGGAGGGAACATTGGGAGGGCGATGAGATAACCTCCAGGAAGGACGGCAGAGGGCCAATGTGATGAGTCGAAGACTAGAAAATTAGAAAATCGTCAGTATTACTACGTTGGCATCCGACGCAGTGGGCTACTATCGAGAAGGGGATCGCACGACGCAGGCGAAGTTAGGCTTACGCGAACGAGCTCGGAGTTCACACCCAGGTTGAAGTATTTGAAGGTCGTGACCCACGCAGACGCCGATACCGAGCATCAGCAGTCGGTGAGTGCATTGAGGCTGCTGTAGGATGAAAGTTTAATTGGCTTCTGTTGTTCAGCTCTCCATCGCCCGAGACCTCCATGGTCTTCAACTGACCGCGCTCTGTATCTGCTATCACAGCAGCTGGATGACGGAACCGCAGTGTGATCTCGCTCGCCTCCTGGGTCTCGCGCAGCAGGTTGCAGCGACGCTCCCGACGCTGGGATATGTTGGATTTGACTCATCGCTGGGATGGAGAGATGAAAGGCGTGTTCCGCGGTGGTTTTGCGTGGTGTCCCGCGATGGTGATATTCCCCAGCTGGAATTGCTCTCGCGAGAGCAAGGAGAGGAGCTGGAGCTACGGCTCTCTAGCCTAGATCGCTCGTGATAATTTTTCCGGTACGTTTTTGTTTTGATGCCGTTTTTCACGTTCTGCCACTGAGGTTCTTATCGGCAGTTTACCTACCCATCGTATGGCTTCATGTCTGGGCGGAGACCATGAGCGGTGAGGACATTATACTGGCGTCCTTTCTTGAGAAATGAACGCATCATGCACGGCTGCGTATCGAAGTAGGTCGCGAATGCCGTACTGCTGCTGTACTGTGTCTACTGCGTAGTGTCTACCCGGCCGACGTTCGCTACGTTCGCTATGTCAACCAATTTGGTCGAGAAGAGTAATGTTGCATCACTGGACCTTGTCCGTGAATAAAATTCCAGGCTTTTTTACCGAGGTCAGAAATGCATGAAGACATGTCATGACTGCGAGGCTCACGCTCAGCTGGATTACAATGACGATTCATTTTGTGTAGAGCACTACCAACCGAACACCAAATGAACGCATAGACTAATTACCCGTGCAAGCTCCGACAGCACTTACCGAGTCCAAAATCCGAAATCGTCATCCCACCTCCACGGCAGGGAGAGGGAGAGCTCTAGCAGCTTCGCGAAGTCAGGCGTTCTAACGCCCGTGACCAGGCTCAGCGTAGAACCTGACAGTGCCGCGGCCCAGATTCATACCAGTTGAATGCGTCCATACTGCGGGGCGGCGGGATGTGCACAGATCTGTGTGAGCGAGTGACACATCACCTGAATGAGCTTACGACAATGGGAAGGACCGATGCACGTAGGGTTGACCAAGTCCATTGGGCCCTTCCCGTCAGTGAGGCGAGCTGCATTAAATGCAGCAAGGAGGGCGCGGACACACGGAAAGAGCACGATGTTCCGTATCAGTGCGCACCCTGGAGCGTGACAAGATAGTTTGCGCTGCAGGCAACGTCAGTGAGCTGTCGTGTTGAGTCCCAGGTGTCAGCAGGGCACGGTGGGATATAGTTCTCGAGGTACGAGTCGACGGCTCTCTCCTGGTAGGACGGCACGGTGAACATATTCAACTACCCTCCACTAGAGTAGATCGCCTGATATCACGCACCACCAGGTTCTCGAACTTACCCGATTGACACGAACAGTGAGTCAGAGACGCGCAACGCGAAAACGGGCCGTGAAATTTTGTTGCGCCGGCATTCGCAATGTACAGACGGAAGAAGAGGGGAATGTCGGTACCTGGCCTAGGTGCCACTGGGATAGAGGCAGACGTGACTGTACCTTGCGACGCAGTAGTCGCCGGTGAGGGGGCTGTCGTTCCCATGAGACAACAACTTTGTTTACGGGGCTGTCTTGCTCTGGTGGTGGCTGCAGTGCGACAGTGAGGACGAGCGCTCGCTTTTGTATACTGGATGACCCTTCCCGGCCAGATCAATACGTCCTTCGGGAGATCACGCCCGCCCGCGCAGGATGCACGTAGATGATTCTGCGTCGGGGACTGCAGACGCGGAAATAGCGATGAGGAAAGGTACCTCATGAGAAGGACGACAATTCCCTGCCGTGCCCTCCGTCGGCCGTGACGCTCTTCAGCAGCTTCGTGCTGATATCGATGTGCGGGGTGGCATGGAACGTCTTCCAGGTGGAAAGCTTGGCCGGGGGAGCTTCCGCGAGTCTGAAGCTGTGCTTGTTCTCCCTGCCCTGCATAGGGAGCGGGGAGTCGCTCGCCGCTGTAAGTTGAGTGAGCAGGAGAAGAGTTTCGGGGGAGACAGCGGTTGCTTCGTGAGCATACACGCGGAGCTAAGCCGATCCTCGTTCAGGATGCGGTGCACGACGGGAGGGCGCACAGTCGGATGACGTTGGTCACAAGGTACGTGGTCGGCGTCGTCGTCATCTTCGCCCTAACCGTTCCAGGAATAGGGACCTGTGAAAACGCCACGAGGTTCAGCGTGAGGAAAATTATGAATGAGACCTGCTAGCTTCAGCGCAATCACCTGTTTCACCTCGTCCGAGAGCGTGAGTGGCGAGGGGACGAGCTTAACGCTTCGAGGTTTGCACGAGAATTGTTCGTCGGAATTCCATATGAATCTAAGGGTCGGAGCAGGACGTACTCACCGCGCTCTGGTCACGCCGCTCTCGGGTCGCGACGAAGTCTACCTGTATCAGCCGCTGACCTTCTGAGGACTCACGTCGTTTCCGCTTCGCCGCTGGTGCCCGCCCCCGCCTTCGAACGATGGCCGTACACGCGTCCGCAGCCGCTTCACCGGCTGCTGTATCTCCCATGCCACTCAACTCCCCTGCAGCCGACCCGCTTCGTGCCCCTTCCGGGCATCCTCGTCAAGCGTGCTTATACTGGCGCCCCAGACCTCATCCTCCACGCTGTCCCCTCCCATACGCGCACCGTGCCCTTCTTCATCTCCTGGAAATACGCCACCACTACGATCTCGTTGTGCAGCTTCGAATGGATCGCCGGACGTGAGACCGACGCGTCTGAGGCCTCTGGAAGGCTGGGAGGGATGCCGATGAAGCAGCCCGAGTGGTCGGTTGCAGGGACACTTCATGCATGGCAGCCTGGCGATCGTGTTCTCTCTGCGAGGATTTCTTCAACTTGAGCGAAGACCCATATACGGGGGCAATGGCAGAGACGCGCTGGGTGAGATGGACGCACAGAAGGCGTGACAGTTGCTGGAGGGAGGTCGGCATGCTTTTCCTGGTTAGGCTGCAGGACGCGGCGTCGCACCCGAGTCGCTCTTAACGACCGGTAGCGTTCACGCCGTCTACCCACGAACGCACGATAGGTGGGAAGCGGAGCCGATGGAGGAGGTGCTAGAACGGCACGGCGAGCAAGCAGGGAAGGAGACGGAGGTCGATACTGCTACAGTGGGAAGGGGAACTGTATGGCGCGCAGATCGCAGCGTGACCGAGTGCGATGACAAGGACGCGTCCAAGGACCGGAATTCACGGCAGTCATGAATCTGCAAGCTGCGTAGAGCGTCATGCAGCTCAGACGACATCGATCGTGATATTCCCCGATTCCAAGCTGGGCTACGGACCTACCCGGAGGAAGCACCATCCGTAAGCCCGACGTACTTATGCCAATGAGCGTAAAGTGGGAGGGAGCACGTCAACGACGCCTGGCCTGTGTACGTGGGCACCTATGCGGTGAAGTTCTGGTAGGACCGTGCCTGCGACTGGAAGGTCGGTGGGCACGGTCCCTGGTATAGGACAGACCAATCGCAACCGAGAGAGCTTCCAACGTCCACCGGCAGGGACATCAGCACGCCGTCACACGACGGGTTCCACCACTTCTGCTCCTCCTTCTCCTCCCCAGAGGTCAGGAGCCATCTTGGGTCGATTCTTGATTTTGCTCAAGGACCGTGTCTCTCTTTCTCCCGGTGCTCACAATGTCCGCCCTCTTCTCCTTACACTCTCCTTCGCCTTCTCCACCGAGTCGTCTCTGTTGCCAGTATCCGAAAGACTGTGGCCCATACGGCCAAGTAGTCTGATCACAAACTCTAGGTATGCTTCTTCAGCCACTCGTCCTCAAGAAGCTGCTTCGCCGTCTGCCGGTGCTGCGGATCCCACTGCAGCATCTTGCTCATGAATTGCAGAAACAACTTCTTGTCTGAACCTTCTAGGTTTGTCTCCAACTGTTCCAAGGAGACGGGAGGCGGCACCTTGATACCGGCTTGGAATTCCTCTGAGGAGCAATACACGTTAGGGACGACCGCATCAGGAGAGCGAGGCAGGAGATAGGGGGACTGGCCTTGTTCAGAAACGAACTTGGACCTCAGCAAGCCCCGGGCCACGAGCCCTGGCGGCGGAGGACCCAGGAGGGCAATGATCTCGGCCAAGTGGGCGCGGCTGCGATAGGCGCCGTGTTCGGGGTCGGTTCCGTAGAACAGGTGCCTGCCTTCAAAGATATCCCAGATCTGGAGGTTCACGTCAGTCGTCGGTTGGCAAACCAAATAAAACCTGCAGTGGGCTTCAATGTTGCCTACCACGCAGCCGACATTCCAAATATCGATTTCATAACTCCAGGGGACCTTGAGAATGACCTCAGGCGACCGGTAGACATCTGGCTGCACGTCCTCTTCGTGCCTTTCCTCGCCCCATGCGGCCGAGCCAAAGTCGCAGAGGACGGGTAGGCCGAGGTCGCTGGGCATTTCCAAGTCGCGGGACAGGTAGATGATCCTGCCGTCGATTTCTTTGCGCGGCGTGGGATGCTCGAGCTCGGCCTGCTCGAACTTTTCGAAAACGGTAGCGTCTTCGCTGCCAAACATGATGTTTCCCGCCTTGATGTCTGGGCGGCCAGGTGTGAGTCTCTCGTGTCACACAGACATGCCTGATCGGATCAGAGCAAGACAAAAAAAAAGAACTCGCTCACCTGTGTGGATAACCTGGCACTTGTGGGCGTAATCGAGAGCGTGGAAGAGCTGCTGCAGCACGATGGCGAGGACGGGCACGGGCAGCCGGCCGGCGGGGTTGCGCGCCAGGAAGGTCTTGACGCTGTCCCACAGCGGCGGGTGCACGAGACACGGGTGCGCGCCGTCGGGGCCGGAAATGGTGAACGAGTCGAGCAGGGTGCGGACGGCTCGTCGACCCAAATGTGATGTGGGACCTCGGTCCAGGCGCTGGTAGGCGGACAACTCGTGCGACAGCTCGCTTCCCAAGCTGGCCGCGCGGATAAAGATCTTCAAGACGACGTGGCGGCGGCCCGTCAGGTCTCGCGCCAGCCAGACGGTCGACGTTACGCCGAAGCCGAGCTTGCCGACGACCTGGTAGCGCGAAGCAAACAGGTCGCCGATGCGGACGGGGCAGTACCGCGCCGCGACGTAGTCTGGCAAGTTCTCCTCCTCGATGCGCTGGCTCGCGCCGATCCTCTCGAAACGCGGGTTGGAGAAGTTCCTGAGGGGCCAAGGCTGACGGCCGCCCAGAGTCCTGGCGGCCCAACGGCCGAGGGTCGACGATGCCATCGGTATTATTGAAAACGTATCTTTAAATTTAGGCGCAGGAACGAGGTCTGAGTCAAATAGAGGAGTTTGTCGCCACGTAGGTCCCCGATATGGTCTACTATCTGCAGATCTACAGATAGGCGCCTCGTAAGAAGTAGACGCCTAAGTAGCGTGCTCAGCTGGCATCTTCACCCTGTCCATTGCAGCAGTTGGGACCTGCGATGGCGGTACCAGGCCCGGGGCGAGGGATATTATGAATGATACATGCTAGCTTCAGCGCACTCAGCTGTTTCACCTCGTCCAAGAGGGTGAGTGACGAGGTGACGAGCCTTGCGTTTCGAGGTTCGTAGGAGAATCGTTCGTCAGAGTCCCAGACGAGTCTCAAGGTCAAAGCAAGACTTGCTCTTCGCCCTGGGCGAATGCAAGGGCAATGAAAGGCGAGAGGGTAAGATGGACGTCGAATTATGTCACCAAGTGCTGCAAGCTCTGGCATGCCTTCACGGAGGAATAGGCAGGCCTAGTCTAGGATCATTATCCGGGAACCCACTGAGAAGTCCCCCGTGGGAGTTTTTGAGCTACGTGCCAGACAGCGGAAGGGACGGCTGCGTCATCGGCACTAAACTATAATTCCCAAAACGCGTCGGTGGCAGAGATGTCAGTCGCGTCAACTCTGTATGTATGCTACGTAGCTGTAATCCACACCGTTCTCTATGTCCATCATACCTGCAGAAAGCTCTTCAGAATGGCTCGAGTCGCTGATCATTCAGAAGTGTCCCTCGGTTCGCGATTTCCAGCTATGCCATGGCATGGACCTCATCCGCGGCAAGGATCTGTTCCTCGTCATCGCGCCGGGCCAGGGAAGACGACAGTTATGCATGCTCCGCTACTGGCTGCACAAGCCCAGATGAAGATAGGAATAGCTCTCATGATTGTGCCTACTAAATTGCTAGCATTGCAGCAGATACTGTCGTGCTGACAAGCACACCGACAGTAGTTTCATTCTGACCTTGAGTATAGGAAACTGTGGCCAATAGCCGCGGAATTCGTGCACTGGCTATCAACGAAGACACTATGAGAGAAGCATACCACAACAATCGCGATCTTCTGGCCGAGCTTGTCAGCGAAGAGGACATTCGTCTCGCCATCATGAGCCCTCAAATGCTCCGGTCAAAACGCGTTCGTAGCCTGCTGTCGCAGCAAGCTGTCAAGAGTCTTGTCTGCTGGTTCTTCGTTGACGAAGCCCACCTCGTCGACGAACAGAGTGGCGAGTGGATCGAGATCTTCAAGTCCATCAAGACTATGCGCGCTATCTTGTCAGCTCGGACAGTTTGGGCAGCGTTCACTGGCACGGCGACTCCATTTCGGACTCTGGTTCTCGCTGAAAATCTGGGCTTCCAACCTGGGCACTATGTCAATGCTCGGTACTCGGTTGACTGCTCCAACATCAAATATATCCCGCGGTTCTTCGAGCATGCTGTCTCTGGCACGGACTTCCTCGACATCAGCTTCCTGATACCCCTGGAGATGGCTTCCACCACCGATATCACAACAACTCTGATCTTTTGCCAGACTATCGAGCTCGGCTACAAAATCATGTCTTTTCTCGATCGCCTTATCCCTGAAGCAGTACCTCATCGCAACAAGATCATTAAACTCTACAACTCATTCATGCCTGCGACGTACCGACAACGCTTCGTACAGGACCGTTTGAGCGGTGCTGAACTGCATATGTAGACACTTGCGGGATGAGCAGATTCAAAGGCGCGCGCGAACGCGTCGGCGAAACTGGACTAGATCGTAGCGGGGGGTAAAGTGATGCTGTGTAACCTCCGTGCATTTCCCGTCGTGCATAGCGAACATCTTGCAGGCCATTGTGCACATGCGCGCGACCTCGTGAAATTTCCGAGTTGTCCTGAGTCCCTGACTCCGATTCCGCTAAGCTCAGTGACCTCAAGTGCATCCCGAACTCACTATCATCCTGAGTATTTACACCAGGAGATAAATCTATACATAAGGCTTATGAGAATCATCCGACGTTAGTGTGGTGACATTCTCACGATGAATAAAATGATACGGATAGCCACTGGCAGGCTGGGATATCTGCGGAAGACTGAAGGATCGGCTGAGTACCTGAGGGCCCATATGTACAGATCCGAATATGTCGCCATCATCCTGGATGTCGTCAGTAGGTGGAACCGTCGCCATGAGAACTTTTTACAGCACGCGAAGCTTGTACACAGGTAAGACGCGCCTGTGGCTGCACGCGACTTGAGCGCTAAAGATTCGTGCGTCGAATTGCCGTCGGCATCGTTCAAAGTCCGGTTTCCCACGGGGGACTTCTCAGCGGGTCATCGGTAATGATCTCAGCCTCTATTACAAAGGAACGACTGTCTTCCTGCAGGTAACTAGAGGCTGTATCTATGAGCCTAAGGCAGGCCAAACAGCGAGAGACTAAAATTTCAGGAAATTAGGCTATCGGAAGTCTATCTATCTGTAAACTCCAACACATTGGGCTGACTGCGACCGAAGTGCACCAGAAGCTAAGTGAACGTCTGGCGGTGTACACGAGCTATTTACTCCTCATCTTCGGTCGTGTGTAACCACGTATTGACCCTCTCCCTCGTATTCTCCCTAGCTCTCTGTTGGCCCCGTTCCTGTGCGGCACCATGTAACAGTTCTTGGTACATGGTCAAGATATCCCACACCTCCTCCGTTTCGCTGCGCTCTGCTCTACGTTCCTGCGCAGCTTTGCTCCAAACGTGCATAGGGGGTTGCTTACGGTTCGCATCGTCAGGTAGATCCAGGGGCATCTCACCCTTACCCACCCACTCCTCCCTTACTCTTTCCACGAACGAGTGCACGGGCCATGTATTCAACGCCGCGCAGCCATAACAAGCTGCAAATATCGTCTCCGGCGGCCAGGTGTCTCTATTCCTCGGTTCGGGAAGCCGGATGGGTTGGCCGTGCGGGATATAGGGCTTGATATTATCGGCAATTTCTGACGGACGAGGAAAGTAATGCAGGAAGGTGTGAGAGCCACCTGTATACTGCGAATTGAGATGCTCCGGTTTCAGGATAAAGTTCGGAGTCTGAGCGTGTACGTTGGCAAGACACCCACAAATAGATGAGCCAACGAAGGCGGCGTACCTGTAGGAAGGCGGCGTCCATGGCACCGATTGCAGAGCGCAGTAACAAGTTGACGAACAGCGCATTGCGAGGGTCGTTGATACTGTCAACGATGGCATCGTCTGCGTCGTCGTATCTCCTACCCCTCGTCAACAAACTGATATACTAGCGATAACACATAAGGAATGATGTTCGGCATTTATCTCGTCAAAGCGCGCACCTTGTTTCCCTTGCTAGCAGGGATCAAGTGCTCCGCACTGCATAGATCGTGAGGGGTTCCCGTCGCTACACACTCTGCATGTTCCCTTTCCATCAAATGGTCCCATAATTCATCTCCGTCGCTATTCTCCGTATCGGTCTCGCAAGGTAGTTCTCGCGCGCACATGTCCGGATCGATGAGGAACGCCGAACGCTCAGGATGGAAGTAGAAGCTGGCAGACTCGCCAAGGGCTGTCTGGTCGTCATAGTTTACATGCGGGGAGTCGGCCTGCGAGGAGCGTTTCAGGTCACCCCTGGAACCGGTCAGACAGAAACTCAAGTAGCAGAGCCAACGCAAAGGATAGGAAGAAAAGTTGGGCAGGCAGCTGGTCGGTATGTCCAATGCGGCGGCCCAGTAAAGTGAATCGATATCTGAGAAATCACGGAGGGGAATATGAAGAGTGACAATTGCTTCAGGAGGCGGGTTCGGAGTGAAATCTCGCACTGTCATCGCCGTCAGAATTTGTGAAAAGGATGAACCAACCGCCCCTTACATATATACTTATAGACTGCATGCCATTTGGGCATGTTTGTTGCAGCCAAGTTGCAGCCCAGCGGATGTCGGATGCAAATACGCAACGGATCTTGTGTTTCCCGCCACAAGTCGATCGGCGATCGGCGAACTAATGTGGAAACCGTCCTATTCAAAGTCAGAGGACCGACATTCGCCAGCCGCTATTAGTATTATACGCATCCCTCTCCGCCTAGTCCCATCGCTGATCTTCGTCGTGCCACCAATATTGGACGTTGCAAATTGGGTAACGGGTGACGTCACCCGTTACCCAACTTGCAACGTCCAATGACGGAGACTTTGTATGCCATATTCCTCGTCCGTCATCTCTAGTCCTTCGGATCCAGCGCTCACTTGCTTAATAGATCCGCTCCTGTGCCAGGGTCGGACGTCTCACCGCGGAATCTAGGTTCCTTTTCGCATTTTTGCATGTTACCAGCTTGGAGACTGATACTCACATGTACATATCACAGGCTCAGAGCTGGATTGTATGAAGGGGTTGCAGGCCAGGATGGACGTGATAGAGACGAAGGTAGATGCGATGACTGCGGCCATAGAGAGTCTGAAAGCCGCAGTTCGGCAACTGCCAGCCCTAGGAAACCAGCCGTATGCCGTTAATTTTTGCTCATTAATACCGGACCACTCTAGCGCCCATAGGAGTGTCACGCTCGACTTCTACTTCTAGCGAGGTCACCGTGCACCCCAGGTGCCACCACACTGCTTGAACTTCCTATATGATTTTCTCATTTAAAGCACACTACTTCCTCTGTTTCGAGGTCCCCCATGCGACCGGGGTTGGATGAGACTCATCCGTTCAATATTTATTGTCATACTCTATACACACAATACTGACATAACCATGTACCCTCGGGCTTTTTCAAAGCCACAGAGCCTCTAAACACATCGTGCTGAGCACAGCGAGCTTGTCGATCAACAACTGCAAAGATATATTTGGGACTCGGCGATGACAACACCAAGCAGCGTGAAGTTAACCTTGATAGGGCCATAATTCAGCACCCTGTACCATTCCTCGGGCTCTTCGGCAAGCTTTGCGGATGGAGATGCTGGTTTGCGGGCCTGGGACATCCGCCACCACAACGTATTCCTTCCCAAAGATTAACACGTGCGAAGACGGGTATAAAGTTCAACACTCACCTTGGAAGTCCACCCCTCAAGGTACAGTAGGGTGCAACGTCCGGGATACGCACGAGAACCCCTCGCACACGGCGACATCCCTCGTACCCAGCACCCCCCCGCTTCAGAATTTCCGGCCTCGAGTGTCCGTTCGCGCAGCACAGCGGAAACCTGCCGCTCTGTCGTTTCTTGGATGACGTAGATCACTATTTCTCCCGCCGTCGATGAGGGTGATAATACCCATTCTTCTCCCTAGCTGCCTCCGTGACTCCATAAGCGTGGACCCAGACCTGTACAGTCTGACCGCTCGCCTTGCCGCACTGCAGAGGAGAAAACGTACGTTGCAATAGCCTGCAGTAGCGTTCAGTCTCGGCGACTTTCGAACACACAAGGGGCGCAGCGGGCATCCGGGACCTGTGGGACCAGCAGAACAATAAAGGCAGCTCATCGCGACGAAATGTTGGAATGAGGAGAGCGGTGCCAATACAGCCAGCGCGAGATGGCGGCGCGCTTTCTCCTCTACTCTGGTTTAGCCACTGTCCTCGGCGTACCGTAGAGTGCGTTCCTGTCGCGGTGGAATATCAGCGCCCTCCAGGGAGAGTCGGTGAACATGGGGAGGATTCGTGAGGCCGGACGTCGGAGAATGCGAGTGCGATGATAGAGTGGCCTGTCCTACATGTACGTGTGCACGCGGAGCCAGATAGTATTGGCACCATATTCGCCAATGAAGCCCAGCGAACGCTGCATGTTACGCGTCTCGGTAAAGTCGTCACGGTCAAGAATGCGTGAGGGCATAGTACTACACACGAGCACGAGGCGCGGATATTGCAGATTTGACATCTGCAGCAGAAGCACCAGCATATATGGCTGCTGACCCACGATCGCCGCTAGTGTAAGCTTGCGGAGACTTTCCGCGTTGTCAACAGTCAGCGACCGCAGAGAAGTAACGGAAGGAGATGTGCATCCTAAGACGGAACACCCCCAGAAAGAAGACGAGGGATTCAGCAAGCATGAAGGCACAAAACCGGAATAGTAGCTTGGAGTGGGATCGACGTTGACGTTCGAGAGATACTGAGCTATAGAGGTAGCATATGCATAGCAGTCCGTGTAAAGTTGCCTTTTCTCTCTGTATGCTGCGTGGGCGGCGGAGTTTAGGAGACGAACCACGGACGAGGGTGATCGAAATTCTGGGAGGTCCAGATGCCGGGAATAAAAGAGTTGTACCGCACTGGATATATAAGATTGAGAACGGGATGAAGACAGAAAGAGGCTAGTGTGGGGTGTAACAGTCCATGTTCGAGCTGACGAACGTGAACAATAAATATTCCATGAATGGTTGGTGCAAGAGGAAGTATGGTCGGGAAGGGCTAGACAGAATAATGCAAGGAGAGAAAGAGATGAGTGACGAGAGCTGAGGCAAGTGCGGAGGCAATGCGCCTATGTTCCACAGCACGGGGCGGAAGGACGTCCGTGATCATCCGCGATCCAGCGAGAGTAGCTCCGACTCTACCACACCGATCTCGGCTTGTGATAGCACGTTGAGCTGGGGAAGGCAAACACCGCGGGTGGTTACGCGGAACCAGCAACAGGTACGAGGGAAACCCAGGCTATCCAGTGTATCAAAACTGATGTACTCCAGTGTCGGCAGCGCCACCACGATCCGTTGCGCAGTATCGCGGAGGCGAGGAACATCGTATAGTGGTGACTGGGTGCACAATCCAACCGAAAGTGCAACGAGGGGAAGCTTGCGGAGAGCGCGTGAGGTCGTCAGCTGAAAGAGAAGTTAGAGAAGTTAGAATGGCGGTCATTGTCACCTACTATTTATCACGACGTACCGACTGAGCCGAAACAACGAGATCTATTAGCTCACCGCGACCGTCCCTTAGAAAGATTGTTAGGTGCTTCAAGTCAGGTGCGACCTCTGGGATACGCTCAACAACTTCTGGGTGTACCTCGCACTTGAGTATCACTGGTGACGCGCGCTGCAACATGGCCAGCGCAACACGATTGTTCTCTTCCGGCTCTGTTCCACGATCGTAGCGGAACCTAATTCGGCGGACACGGGAGTAAAGCTCGATAGGACTGCTTGTATCAACTTCGTCCAAGTAGCTCCAATGTGGATGCAAATCCGGAAGCATTGGAAGGGGGTGTGAGCACTTGAAGTGTTGGACATTGGGAAATGCACGGGCGAGGTGAGATATCTGGAAACTCTCACTGGCATGAATGCGCAGCGTTGTCACGCGCGGCCAGATCATATCTGCATTTAGCCCGTACAAAGAAGTGTGGTTTATTTCTAACTGAAAGGTCTCCAAGCATTCAGTGAAGTTGTAGAGCATGAGTTCCTGGTCGCTGGTTCTGATCAGATGAAGACTGATGTTCCGCGGACGACTGGCCATCCTTGATAGCAACATGGAACAACGTTTCCCTATGACGGAGAAGGAGATACTGTTGAGGCCCACCAGGGCGGCCAACGCGTCCCCCAGCGACGGCTCGGAGAGGAAGCCCTCTACATTACCAATCGTCAATGACTTGAGACACTTCGTTTGACGAAGCAGTTCTGCTAGTGTGGGAAGATACCTTGCATTTAGACTCGTGTGCTTGAGACTAAGTGTATGTACGCTTGCCGGACGGCGGTTTGACCCTGTAAGTACGAAGGTACAAAATCCGTATAGCTGTACAGCGTCCTGGATGGTCACGTTAGAAAGATAATGAGGAATCGCAATGGCATATGTGTGACGGCATGTCCTCCCGAAGTGCATCGCATCGACAGGACCAGAGAAGGTCAAAATCTCTGCGAGAACGTCGTCGTTGAGTTCTAGCAATAACATGTTACTCGTTGGCACGATTTTGAATATGCTGCTGGCTGAATCAGTGGAATATTCAAGAGTTTCAAAAACTTTGCGGCACGACGTACTAGACGCTCCCCAAAGTATCTCCGAGTCTAGTTTCTCCAAAGAGCTGCCAAATAACGCTGAGAGAATGTCAGCGAGAACTGCACGCCATAGCCAGAAGACACATACTGAAATAGCACTGAAATATCTCCAGTATCGTGAGGAGCTGACTTATATCAGTCTGTCCCTCCTGCCTCTCGTAGCACTGATTTTGAAAGTCTGGCTTTGGGAGACTTCGTGAGAAGCGATACCGTCCCGTCTCATCCACCACTTTACAGTCTGCCTTTAAGGGACTACGGGAGGAGATGATTCATAGAGATGTGGGGTCGAAGCCAGACCAGTCGCGGATGTGTGCAGTAACTGCGAGTCACTCACTACTCGCGGAAAACTCCGGGTGGCGGCCAATACGAAACTCTATCATATTAATTCCTAGATTTCGTCAGTCCGTACTCGCGGCCTAAAGAGATCTCACCTACCAAGCGACACCGGTTCGCGTTTACTTTCATTCATTGCATCGAGACGGAAATATATCCACACGCCAGTGAGAGCACAACAAATACAGATCTTCGCGTGAATCAACAAGTACATTTCAACGGAGTACGATCAGTCTTAAAGCTTAATGGACAACAAATCCGAACTAGATCACCCGCACAACTCCAATCTCCACTTCTGCTTGTTGTCGTCCTTGACCGGGTCCACAACTGTCACCTGGAGGGCAAGCATGAGGAGGCATGCCCGTTTACATTTCGAAAAGAGGCACTGACCGCACTATTATAGGCAAGAGGCGTTCTCGACGTGAGGACTTGCCCAGTGGCGCCCGAGTTCGGATTGATACTGGGCACATCGGAATCAGACATAGATGGGTTAGCAAGGTGAACATTGCGCACTAGAAGACGCCATTCGTATCATCATCCGGAATCAAACGGCAGACAATGGCAGAGTTAGTGATGGCCGTGTCGTTGGTAACGTAGTTGAGACGAGACGGAGGAGCAGAGGGATATGAACACGCAATGACAAGCCCGGTCTCCGAATTGAAGCATAACAACCACTGCACACCATTCCTGAGCAGGCAGATAGTCTGAAACTTGACCAATGGACTCACAGTACTGTCAGTGGAATCACCACCATACTTCAAGGACAACCTGTAGGCACTGTTCAAATAGGTTATGCCCAGTCTGTAGGTTGTGTCGGCGAGGTTGATGAGTCGGTATGATCTTCCTGGTATGATGGTAACCTCCGGCGCTGTCCCTTCGACCAGGTCGAGGACCCAGACCTGTCGATCAAGACGTTTCTGTGAAACGACGTAAATGTGAGGAAGTATCGATGTGCAGATATTCAAGTGAATACCAGGGGCGAGTAGTAGTTGAGAACCACCTGAAAATAGTGCAGAATAGCGAGGACAGGGGCACGTCAGAAGATCGCAGAAGACACAAAGCATGGCAGAGAGCGTACATCTTTGTTGTCATCGTCGAGATCCACGACGTATGGGTTGCTAGTATCCCCAATCCTGGATATTATCGACTTGTCACGATGTAGGCTTGCGATTAAATACAAGTTACTTACAAGAAACCATTCCAGTAACTTGTGAGGAGCCATTTCCACTCCTCGCCAACACCGCGGATAGACCCGCGGACGTGAGGGACGTCCTTAGTGATCCCCATCTCAAGGTTCTTGTTGCAGTTCGTAAACTTGTACGTGTGATCGGTATCTACGTATTCAACCTTCCACTGTAAAAAAGGAATTTGGTGAGATTTGGGTAGAACAATAGTAGCAATGAGTCGCCAAGACTTACTTGTTGTGCTGTGTTCGTGCTCTCTGGCCCCTGAGCCGCAGTTATGGAAAAGTCGTCGACATTCAACTGGAGGCAGAGTGTGCTGGAACTCCTCGGCCTGATGTAGTAGATACCAGCGGGAATAATCGGACGAGCAGTCCAGGCTGTTGTGGACGACATGATGACGACGAAGACCGGCGAGCTTCATGTGGAACTGCTCACCTTATATGCTACGGTGACGGGTCATTGTTGTAATAGCGCAGGAAGTTCAGCATGACAAATATTAGAGCCTGGTGAGCCTCATGACTCGCGGCGAAGAAAGACGGCCAAGACAGAATACACACGCAGGGCATCCCGGTGGAATCCAGAGAGCGGTAGCTTGGAGAGATAGGGAATCTGAACACATTTCAATTACGTGATGGCTGGTAGAACTAAGCTGAGAAGGCGGCAGTAACAATGACTTGCGCGTCAATTACCATCAAGTTCGACTTCCCTGCGGCGCGCAGCTGCGTAACACACATACAAAGATCCGCGGAGGTAATTATACGGTGCCTCTTGTGTCGGAATTGCTGAATCGCCGGTTGCAGCCCTGTTCATTCGCGTTCTACGACAGGCGCTCGGATTCCCTGCATCCGTCCAGTGTTGAATGTCCACCCTCAGAACACGTGCATGGAAATCCTCCCAATCCACGAGACCCTTTGTTTTCATTTTTTCGGAAAGCAGAATCGCCGGAATCGCCTTCCCTTCCAATGTCAATGAGTCACTAATCGATGGTGGATCAGCGCTCAGCGCTCAGCACCCCCAACTGGCTGTGATGAACTGCTAATGATTTTGAAGCTCCAATTCAACGACTAAAGCGACACTTACTTTCACTCAGATAGACCCACACTGGGCCCACAAGACAGCAACGAAGTGATTGATGAACATAGTATGTGTTCACCGCGCCCACGCGAAGGCTGAATGACGTCAAAACAAGGCACAATGAATCTAGATAAGGATCCGCGGTATCGTCCGCTTCAGCGCTTGCGCAGAGCAGGATTCGGCCTAACCTTCTAAAGCTGCGCACTCTGGTACTTCCATGCCATCGCTCGTACTGATGATCAGTATTGCATCTCGGCTTTCTGTCAGCGCAGCGAGTTCGTCAGCGCTTTAACGGTCACAGGGCAAGGACAGTGGTCATGCGAAAATACCTGCTGCAAGGAACTTATGATTCGGAGGTCATATGCAGAGGCATAGTTGACATGCATGAATGGAAGTCTCTCAAAGTATCCTCGTGTCTTTCTTATGCCGTTGTTCTGAATAAATCCGTCATTCTCCTGGTAATATGTCGGCGACGTCTGTATTAACAGATTGGTCGACGGACCTTTTGTTCAGAGCCTCGTCTGCGCTTCTACGTGATCTCCGGTGAATCTGAACACTGTCGAGTGGGAACTTTGTCCTGTTCTAATTGTTCATGTTTTCCGCTGCGAGTTCACCGTGCTGACGAAGCGATACAGCAGGTATAGACTGGTGGCGATAGCTTGGGTCGCCTTGGACATTCACATTATTTCCCACATTTCAACACCGTGTTTGTGCCACTTCCATTTCGACAAAGATAATGACGAACGATCCTTATAAGTGAACAGCTTTGCACCTATCTCAACCATAAGACGCCGCACTCCAGCACGCATCTCTCTACACAGCACTATGTCTATAGCGGGAATCTACAAGATCGAGAACACGAAGTACGGCCTCATCGGTGCCGATGCTGGTGGCGTGACGAAGGCCCCTGTGGTCGCCACTACCAGTCCCACTACAGTGGGCATTGTATGTACCATCTCACCGACGAGGAAGTCAAATGCATGACCCATCTCTGCGTTCGTTTACAGTTCAACGTCGTACCCGCGGGTGACGATCGTTACTCCATCTCTATGATCGCCACGAACACTTTCCTCCCGGAGCAACTGTTGACAATGAACGACGGTAACAAAATATACGGTGTGAAGCAGAGCTCGACGGGTTCTAGTGCGCCCCTGAGTTGGTACATATACGAAGACACCGCGCAACGTGGGCAATATGTGTGCGTCCCTTCGCCTGCCCCTAGTACTATGTGTAGAGCTTCGGACCTGCTTATGCTTGGCGGTGCAGCATCATGAGCTCGGACTACAAGCTATGGTCCCTCTCAAGCGGGAAGGCTGGGACTCAGGTATGAATAATCATTGCCTACGTGCTGTGAGTGTAGACAAACGCTGTTACCCAGGTCCAATACAAGGGTCTCACCGCCAAGCAATTGGAAAATGTCAAACAGGTGGTGTCAGGCAAGCAATTGTTCTCGAGGCACCTCTTAGCGGCAGACAGTAACGACACATTGACTGAGGAGCCGAATTGGAAGTTCACTCCAGCTACCGAGGAGCCCCCGAAGCCACTCTCGCCAGGCCGGTACACCATCAAGGACGTCAAGAACGGTGCCATTAACGTTGAGTGTTCTGGGAATAACGACGCCTACCTCAATGTTGTTAGTGCCACCCAAGCTGCAGTCGTGCGTAATATTTTGTCTACGATTATCTTTCATGCCGTGTGCTCATCCTTGGGATCAACTCGTAGTGGAACGTCACGCAGGTTGGCACGACTGGCTGGGAGTATAACATCAATTTGGATGAAACTACTGTCAGTTCGGCGGAAAAGGACAAGGGGCCCGCAAACAACCGCTCTGGGATGCTTGCCGTCGCCCGCAACCCGGGAGTTCAAGCCGACACGTGGCTTATTCATCCCCTACAGCTGGCCGGCACCTACATGTACGTCCTCTAATGCAACACTTCTGAATGATAATGAACCAACTACCTCGTCGTGACAGGGTTCTACTCGTCGACCATAGCTACGGCCCGCTGCACTGGGCCCTGGATAGCCACAAAGCTGGCACTCAGGTTGGTGCTTTCTCTTCGGAACCAACAGTACACTCACTCTGAGAACAGGTCACTGTCAACTATGATACGAAGGACGTCGATCCTACTATCTGCTTCTGGGAGTTCAGGGGAGCCTGAAGATAGTCCGCTCTCTACGATTTTAGCGACTGCTGCCCTCCGTTGCGTTGAACGAACATCAACTGTATGTGTTGTCTAGGAACTTGTACGAGTACATAGCGTGTATCGGCTTTGCGTTGGTGACATGATTTGGTTGATGAATGCTGGAATACTGGATTAAGAAGACTCGTTTGATCAAGACAAAATCATATTAATTACTCCACACTGAGACGGGACAAAGAGAACCAGAACGGAAGAATAGTAAGACTACGAACAACGATCTCCCTCCGACCGATTGCGCTGACAATTATTGGTTGAAACGAGTGAGCGTTACAACTGTGAAGCTGCTGACTGCGCGGATGACGAGCGTACATATAGTCTCAGCTTCGAAAGTTGTAGAGTTAGTTTCAGTCTAGAACTGAGATGTGTAGAGCCTTCAGGTCTGGTGCAACAGACCGGATTCGTTTACTTGCGTCCGAGTACACCTTGCACGATAGGCCACCAATGAGACACATCGCAGCCAGAGGTGTCCTTGTCGTTCTGAGAGGAACGCACGCAAGTAATGTCGCGTAGCAGGACAAGTCGACAGACGTTGGACCGAGTCACGTGGCAGGATTTCCCAAGTGTGCGTGAAGCTCCAGAGGGGTGGCAGATATGTTGCAAGAAACCTCGAATACGCATGCAAAAGAACGACCGTCCTGGTCAACTTGTACTGCCAAGATCTGCTCAAGAGATGCAAATCTGCGTTAAATGTCCATGAGTACACGGCAAATTTCGTGGAAACTTCCAGCGATACAGGTAAGTTTTCTCTAGGTCAGGCTTCCGGTCCACCCTGTGGAGGCTACCTGCGCAGGGGAGATTAGGTGTCAGTGCAATACGGTGTAAATTGAATAGAGCAGAAGGTAATGCTTCTCGAACGCGTTAGGTCCCTCACAGGTGCCCGGCCGCGAGGCTGAGCTGATGTGCTTCAATTCCTCCATGACGATCGTGATATGATATACCGCCTGGCACCGCGCGTGCAATACGAGTACAGCAAGCGGCCAGGCCAAATATGCACGGCACTGAGCGATCAGCGATGGGTGGCTCGTCGTACATGCATTTCAGCATGATTGGAGAGAGGGAACAAAACTTAACGATTCAAAGCAAGATTACTGTGTCGCCCCCCGAGTTGGGGATGGTGCAAGACCAGTCACCAGTCTTTTTTGTCGCCGTGCCGCAGGTGCACCGCATAAATGCTAGCCCACCTTGGGGTCGCGTCGAGTTGCCGAAGGAAGCCATGTAGATCTCGAAAAACTTTAAAAGCTGTTTGTGAGGTGCACCAGGACGCGAATCACTGTAGCATCGACATACTGAGAATTGAAAGCGAGGACCATGAGTAGGCATTATACATGCGAGGCACGTCTATCCGCTCACCTTCGGAATAAAACGATGCAATGCAGTGCACACCCGCGAGCCACGTAATTATTTGAGCAGTCGTGCGGACTATATCACCAAGAATGCCTGCTGTATCCTTAAAGAGGGATAGTGACTCGTCGAGGCTAGAATCCCAGAGGGTTGAAGCAGTTCAAGGCATCGCAAGGTCAAGCGGAAGTTTGTCACAAGTGGTATGGTAGCTCGATGGTGCTTTCGTTGTTAGGCGCGCTCACGTGAGCGTATCGTTGCTTCCTGCGCAACCTGCGTGTCTGCCTAGCCTATCTTACTTTCTAACACCATGTCCGAAATATTCTACGCTGAAAAACCACTCCCATTCCGCTATGGCTATCCTCTATAGGATTCCGAATCAACCAAGTTCCGGGGAGTTCTCATCGGTGACGTGGGCTACATATACCAGGTAGCGTTCAACGGTGCTTCCACGCGTGTCTGAAGAAGGACCGTGAGGTGAATGCGAAATACTGTGTTCCCGAGAATTACGTCCCGTTTCGCCTTAGCAAAACCCAAATCGTGTGAAAAGAGTTTGACAAAAGGCCACTGTGTAGTTCGGAGGTGTCGCTTACAAGGGAGCCTGCAGAGTGTGCACTATGTCGGAAACAAATATTCCGCCCCACGCAATCATTGACACATCATTGAGGAAAGTTTCTATCGGAGTCTATCGTTTCCACTGCCCTACATGCAAGCAAGGCGCGATAAGAAAGTCATCCTGGGACGGCAGAGCATTGCATGATCTCTCACGAGCTCAGCAGACATGGGATAGGAGAAGGGACGAGAGCTACGACATGACTTGAAATAGCAGTGGCATAATGCAGAAGGCAAGGAGCGGGTAGTGACCTTCGACGGCGTGGACTTTGCTGATGACATTCGCACATTCGGGGAAGATGGTCAGCACTTAAAAACTATCGGTACTAGAGTGGGAAAGCTCCGCTCACCTTGCGTTATTGTGCCATCCTTCTAGCAGTGGTCCTGCACATTTAGGTTCGGTCCAGCTTGTCCAGCCGCTGCTTCAGAATCCCCGACTCTTGTTCATTCAGTGAGCGCATATGCGCGAGACCATCCTGGCGAAGCGTCACATAGTACCACTGCTGGATACGCTTTTTCTTCGACCTCGAGATTCGTACATCGAAGTGTATATAATTCAGTGTTGGGAGTTCTGCGGCGACCTCTTGCGCAATGTCCTTTAAAGTCGGCATGGGGATGGGTGTGGAGAACCGCCTTTGCTTATAACGGAAGGAAAGTGCTACAAGAGGTAAGGTGCAGAGTGAGCGAGCGATCAAGACCTAAGTCCAAACAAGTCACTGTAATGAGCATTGGAAAATGTTGCTCGCAAAACGACGCACCGACATTGACTTGATGTCGGATACTTCTCCGTTCATTCCAGGGGAGTCAATCGTAAGGTACTTCAAGTCGGGCGCAACCGGTGGGACGTCCGCAAAGAATTCCGGGAAGGCACTGCAAATAAGGACAACGGGCGACGTGTGCCGAACGATGGCCAACATTGCTTCCTCACCCGAGTCAAGCAACACCAGCCTGCGAATTGGGAATATGAGAGGAGCACAGGTGGGAGCTTCAGCCTCATCCAGATAGGCCCAGTGTGAAGGAGATTGAGGGGCAAATGAGCAAGTGGCTGAACATTTGAAGCTCCTAGTGTTGGGGAATGCGAGTGAAATATGGGACATTGCTATCGATGTGATAGAATCGGCCAGGTGCAAGCTCTGCACGTGAGGCCAGGTTCTACTGGGCTCCGACTCTCCTGGCAAATCCAAGAATCCGTCCAATAGCTCGAAGGTTTGCAGACATTCGGTAAAGTTTTCGAGAACGCCGAGTGAGAGACCGTCGGAGGACCAGACAATGTTCAGGTACATATGACGTGGGCGACTGGCCATCTTCCTCAACATTTTGCAAGCGCGGTCACCGATATGGCAAAACGAAACATGCTCAAGGCCTGGGATGGCAACAAGCACGTCCAACAACAACGGATTGGAGGAAAGAAGCCACTCCAAACTTCCGATACTGAGCGATTTGAGAGATGTCGCGCAACTCAGAACTTCTGCAAGTCCCAGACCACAGACGGATTGGGCATTATGCGCGAATGATTGCTGGAGGTTGAGCCTCCTCAGGCACCCGGATCGGTGGGAGGGTTCTGCGAGCACAAAGGCGCAGAAACCATCTAGTTGTTGGGAAGTACAAATGGTCACATCCGAAAGATAGAAGGGAATAGCTGCAGCATATGCATCACGACAAGTCTTTGCGAATCTGAAGGCATTGCGAGGTGACATGAAAGAAAAGATAATGCCGAGGACGTCGTCATTCAGCGAAAAAAGTGCGGTCATGGTTCCTTGTGAAACACAAACTGGAGAATCCTAAAGTAGGAGAAACGAGATATAGTATCGGTGACAAGGGTGAATCATCAGATACTCGCAAAAACCTCACCTACAGGTTTTCGACGCGAATTTGGCAAGCACTTCTGCACGAAGATCCAGGAGAAGCGAGGTCCTGCGAACGATAAAATAGATCAGCAGGTTAAATGACAGACCGCTAGCCCACCGGAGGACGAACTAACACACAAAGGATGGATGGAGAGACTCGTTAGGTACATCGACCTCTGTACACCATCGCAAAACTTGAAGCAGTATTCAATACTTGGCAAACGAGTATACGGCGGATGAGCAGGCAGTTTCAAGTTCTTGCCAGTCTCCCGAGGGCAGATGGTAGAGAGTGATAGACACTCTGCTTTAACGTTTGAATTTGAGGCTCCCTCGCGGCGGCGACGTCGGGTCACAGTGACTAATTGTGTGACATACCTCACATAACAGGACCCTCTCTATATATGGTAGGTGCCTTCCATATACCGTGAGAAATTTACACGGAGGGAGGGGGTGCTTAACTGGAATTTCTGACCTTGTGTCTGAAATGTGCATACCCCTTGCTCCGAATAGCGTATTGTTGTTTGGCGGTCATTGCAGTTGGTACACCTCATACACAAGAGCTTGTGAGCGTCTATCAATGATACTTTCCTCTCTGCTAATCCCTTGCCACATCGAGGCCTCTTTACAATATGGCGGTTGCACGTCTTAGTGATGATATATCCTTGCTCAACTTAAGTGGTCTCCTACATCCCACCTCCTAATAATGCCTTGCAATTCGGGAAGACTTGCCGCGAGTTCTATGCTGCAGCCATCCCACGCTATTTGTCATAAGTCACAATATGGGACTCTACGAAGCTTGCTGGATTCTGTGCGTTCGTGATCGCTGAACCATCTCGCCATCCCTCCTATATGCGTGCTGCGCTCGTGGACACAGTCGAGCCGGAAGATCGTGCTTTGCTTAACCAGATTTTCCGCAGTGCAAATTCCCTCAAGTCGCATGGATTGCATGCCTAGAATCCTTACTGGATGAAGACGAGCTGATGACGGATGTACTCTCCTCCCTACCTCGGCTTGCCGAAGTTTCATTTGGAGGTTTGGGCGAAAAGTCTCTTCAATTGCTCACGCGAATGGACAGCCGTCCGCGACATGTCACACTCAAAGACTTCCTGAATCCCGAATACACTGAGAATTTCTGTGCGCCAATCTGAAATAACTTTACCGAATGTCTTGAAACGCTAGAGGTGCGGCGATCCTACAGTTTTCTGGACCTATTGGACCCGAATATGATTTGGCCCTACGCACAGGAATTGCACTCGACGGCTCCGAGGACTGGAGCTCGCTGGCTCAACTCACACGCACATTCCCAAACCTCCGTCTTCTCAAGTCCTCAAAATTCGAGTTCAGGCACGAGTCGTCTGGTAATTATGCTTGGTATGCATATTCATCCTAGATAGTCGTGATTGACATGGTCGCTATTTGCAGGGAAGGTTGAAATGGTGCGTAATGGATCCGCAGATGCCAGAATCTATGTACCGGCTTAGACGACTAACCCGCAGCGTGCGAACCTCTTCTATCTGGTTGCAGATACTACCTGTCTTCAGTACAGATTCATGCGGCTTCAATCTCAAGGGACCGGGGCAAGCACCCCCATCTTAGTGCGAATTTTATCTCTTCAATAAGTGGTGCACCAACAAAGTGCACGTACGACTCGGTGGATACTCCGTAACGCTTTTACTTCCAGGAACGTCTGGCCCGATTTGCCAGAAATGGCTTCCAACTTGCTCCTGGGTTCAATAAAAATAGTGAGGCCACGGGATCAGCTATGCATGTGTACGGAGTCTATAGGCGGCGAGCCAGGGTCGCACATAGTATGCTTCGGAGAAGCATGATTCGCATGCCCATACAAGGTTTGCGCAGCAGCGTCGTATAAGTAATTTCCCAAACACTCCCATGCATGGATATAGCGCGCAACCGTCTTGCCGTCTACCCCCATGCAAATCGCTATGTCGCACGTCAAGGACATTCCGGTGCTTTTCCTCTGGAAAATTGTCGGCCCAGCTGGAGCACAGGAATCGCACCTGTCAGCAACAACGAACTTCCACACGCTCTTCTCCACGCGCGTGGCAAGTATCCTTATCTCGGAGCTCCACCCCGCGCTCGCCGCCGTGCAGGATATGCAGGAGTTCACGGGCATGTCGTGCATGGATGCGGGCACGTGGGTGAACGTCAACGAGTTTATCGTCGGCGTCGCGCGGAAGACGGCGGGTTTGCCTGCAGTGACTATACTTGGTGCGCTGAGATGTTTGGCCAATAAATATTTACCTGATGTTTTTGGGATTCTTTACAGGAAAGATCAAGGTGACTTATCGTACGTACGCACTGTCTGAAACGGAGTCTTCACAGTGCTGTAAGTGACTTCACTCAGATCTCCGCATTGATGTGTTGTTATTCACATTCTCTATTCTTCGTGCAGGCCATGCGAGCAAGCAAGTAGAATATTGATGGGTGCTGTGCCTCGTACTCGTTCACTGGTGCATTCCTGACACGTTCCGCTGATCATTGAGCCGTTATAGGCAATGTCTTCGTATATTCCGCTTCCCTTTAGTCTCCCAGAATGACCATTTTCATTTCAGTGAGGCGGAATAGCACTTAAGTGCGTACCTTGATTCAGCTATTGAAGAAACGGAGTACAGGCGATAGACGAAGCCAAATTAATAAATAAATGAGGTTGAGCTAGTGATATCCAACTCAGCTGCCGTCGTGCGACAAAAGTTTCAGGCACACAACTCGTCCGCGAAATGACCCCGAGTCACAGGAAAATCCGAGCAAGTCCGACGTATTGAGGAACGCGTGGTTGCAACGTCTTGGGTCATTTGCATCCCGTGATGGTCGTCATATTTTGCTTAAGACGTACTCCCAGCGAACGTGAATAGAATCCCGCGCAAGAGGCAGCATATGGAGAATTAGAGATGGGGGTCTGCAGGGTCAAATCAGAATTGAGACGAGGCGAGGAGGACAGCGGGGTGCGTACGAAACATGACTCAAGAGTCAATGGTTGATCCTCGTCAGGCGAGTATCGCCTTCCCCATGGAGATGTGGGTACTTCAGATTTCGAGCCGCATCCGATAGTGTAAATGTAGTCCTGCTTCTCCCGTCGTAAGGATCGCAATAATTCGTTCGCATCGAAAGGAGTTCGAGAGAAGTTCTGACAAAGAGTACGCAACAAAAATAATCGCGAAGATTAGAGAACACTCGGGTAAAGTGCAAGAACATTGTACTTTTCGCATGGATGATGTGCAAAGCTTGTACACGTACCCAGACAGCATCGGAAATCTCAAGCCAAAGAGCGACAGCTCAAGCACTCCGAGCTACTCGATAACGCGCGGAAACATGGGACATCTAGGCTCGCCGAAAGGAGCCTGCTATCTTCGACAAATCGGCCTAGCTCGAGACATCTCGGGCGACTGGCTACCCAAGATATGAGCTTGAATAAGCACACATATATCTCAGAGAACTAAACGCGCTCAAAGCAGTGTGGATTGCCAATGCGCCCATAAGTGCCGTGTCGCTGCCTAAACACTTAATATCCGACGACTAGAGCAAGACAGCTCGCCACAATATGCCAACGAGTAAATCACACTGGGAAAATCGTCCGCGTTCGGTGTAGAAGTAGTCGAAGCAAGTGTTCTTAAGGTAGATGTCAAGCAAGCACGAGGGAGAGGCCGGCTAATTGGTGTGCACCTCTGATTGTAATCTCGGGAAGGAAACGGGGGGCTAACCGCAAGATAGAGATCGTAGCATGTTCGCCCAAGATGGAGAGCCTCGAGTCGAGAGGTGACACATGAAGATCTGTGTGACATCGCTATTGAATGACAACCAAGATACAGCTTGTGAGATCCTCTAAGTAACCAAAGGTTTCAATCGTCAGGACAGGTCCCAACGCTTGCTACTAGTAATCAGCTACTTATCTTGTGGTACTGTTGCTTAGAAGCAATGGAGATCGTGATTTCATATGCCCAACGTGAGGAACCTCAACTTGAACCACGGGTCGCGAGGAGAACGAAAGGTGGCACGTCTCTAGCATATGATGTAAGTCATATAAGAGCATAGGTACGTACCTATTCGAAAGTTTATTCAGGAAGATAACTTGAAATGAATCTCCGAGTCTTACGACAAAGTCACGTTCGTGACATGGTTCGACCGTGACGTTGAATGCGCCTACACAAGCGCGCGTGGTACTCAGACCGCCCTTACTGAAGGCTCAGGCATCCCCGAGTTCTTAGTATTTATGATGTCTGTTAGTACTGTGCGCGGCTCAGCTCCTATTTGTGCTTTTCCGGGCTGCTCCAAGACAGCCTGGAGAGATTCAAATGGTACCTTCTCTGCGTATTGTAGTAGGACGCACCGCGAAAAAGCGGCAGCACTGTCTATCGATCAGACCCTCTGTGAAGTGAGTCGGTGTGTCTCTTCAAAGCTCGCCGCTAGCTCGATTGTCGCTCATCGTATCCTAGCATTGTGGTGCTCGCCCCGTCTATATTGAGAACGGCCGCCGTAGGTATCCTCGACAATCGTGGTGGCGTAGTACTCAATCACAGGCCATCTAGCTTTGGAGTTCTGTGGAAGGCGTTGCGCAACCGCCTATCGCAACCGAACACCATCGTCACCCTCGACTGCAAGCACCATCAACGAGTGCGGGCTCATTAATTGTCATCGTCCCGTATATGTCGACCAAGAGGGAACTTCGAGCAAGTACTGCTCCCACCGTCATCGCCGGTACGTATTCTTCGCATTCAATTTTACTTTTCATCCACAATGCGGTCAGCAGCCAGGCCGCACAGAATGGAGAAGCGGAAGAGTGTTTACTGTACGTGTCAGCAAATACGGCACGTCTACCTAGTCTCACGGCCAGCAACAGCTGTGGGCTCGACCCGAAAATGAAGGATGGTGGTAAATACATCGACTTCTGCTCAAAGACCTGCAAGGAGGACGTCATCTCACATGGTGAGTGATAGATGTCGTCCTCTTGCACGTTTACAAGCTGAAGAACGCGCTCATCAGCCCCGATCATCCTACAATTGAGAGAAACTCATAAAGCATATAAGGATGGTACGTCTTCTTGATAGCTGTGCCACCACCTACACAGAAGACTACCACAGTGGACACACAGTTCAAGAATGCGTGGAAGCATTCTATTACAGTACCTACAGTCGTTCAGGTTGCCTTGCCTTCTCACAGCTTCGCTCTTTCAACTCACTTATATTCTCCATGATCATTAGGTATGGAGAATATATGGCAGCAAGGCTATCAATGATCGCTTTCTCAAGTATAGGTGAGACTATCACCATGTTCGTTTACTCCTAACGATGGGTTTTGAAGAGAGGGCCAGACAAGATGTGGAACGTCGTACTGGCCTTACAGAAGGGAACAATAGGCGGAGATGGCATGGCACAATTCGCGCATGTACTTTGGGCGACAATGACAACCTTCGTGACCTCTGCACTTCGCAAAGCTGTTCTTTATGTCAGATCATCCGCGTATGTCACAGGATTCTCCTTATTAATGCTCTTTACTCACTACCTGATGATCACAATCCTTTGCAGTCATCGTTTCAACTGGCACGCGCGGGTCAGCGCACCAACTTTGGGCGATTTGGCGCGGGGATCTATACCTCCGCTACCTCCTCCAAGGTAAGTTCACGCACTCACGATCGTGCTGCGAGAAGTAGTCTTACAGTTGCATATAAGGCCAATGACTACGCTGTAAATTCTGGAGGTTCTCCATACAAGGCGATGTTTCTCAACGAGGTTGTCATGGGCAAAGGGATCAAGCTTACTAGAGATAATGTATCACTAACGGAGGTATGATTGTTTTCTTCGCCCATGCTCTCCATCCTTGCTTTTGCTTGCGTTGTTCTGCACGCTGCTGAATAAAGGATATCTACGCAGCCTCCTGTTGGATATGATTCCGTCATTGGCGAGCCCGGCGGCTCTCTAAATTACGACGAGAGCATCGGTACGCCTTCTATTGTTCTTGGCTATGCCTGTGCTAACAGCTACATTCTCTGATAGTCTACACCGTAAGACATTTTGTTTGTAAGATGTGCGTATGCTGACAGCTCATAGAACGATGCCATCCGGCCGATGTTCCTCGTCATTTATCGAGGTTGATCGGAGCCTCACAGGGCGGGATGCAACAAGAATTATTGAATCCAGGTCATATTTGTCGTCTTTGTTCCCTCAATTAAAGTCGTTGCCGACTCTTGTCTGGCGCATGCAGAGATGCGTCGTGATGTATCGGACACTGACATGGAGTTTACTGAGCAGCTCCAATTTTCAAAGTGCCCTATTTCACGAGGACTCAAACGAACAGATCTAGACATGATACTCGTTTCTTTGGTGTAGATGGCGCACGGTTGCATAGTATTCACGCATCTATAACTCTACGGACTACTTGGTAAATGTGAGGTTTACGTCGACGCGTACAATGGAAATGGGCGTGTCGGGACAGCAAAGCAGCCTTGTGCGCTTATCACCGTCTTCAACTCTACGCCTACCGTGCACAGTGATTGTCACAATGAGCGCCACTCTGATTCGTACAGCGGATACTCAGTGCTCGTACCCGGATTGCTCCAAGACTGTCTGGCAAGATCCAGACGGCTCCTACTCAGCCTATTGTAGTAGATCGCATCTTGAGAAAGCCCAATTTACTGCCGGGGAGCTTTGCAAAGTGAACTGTACTTGGGCTTACTTAGCACTTTGCTGACAAGCTCCCAGAACTGCCAAACCCGCCCGGTTTATGTCGAAAATGGCCGTTGTAAGTAGACTCATCAGGTGCACCTTTCATATGTGGCCATTGCTGATAACTATCTTGCACATCAGCTCACGACTTCTGTGGTGTCCGATGTGCCACTGCCTATCGTAATGGTACCCAGATCCGACGCGATGCTCCGGCACAAAGCACTGAGAGCCAGTGCAAGCTCGTCGAATGTAAACGTCCCGTGTACGTGGACGACGACGGTGTACCGGGCGAATATTGCTCCGAGAGCCATCGTCTGTAAGTCTGTTCTATATTCCACCGTGTTTTTATGAGTGACGTCCGGCGTAGTAAGGCTGTAAGGGCTGGCGCGGCTGAAGCATGTTTGTTGTACGTGATATTCATAGTACATTATGACGTAGTCTAACTGCTGGACACACAGCTGTGGGCTTGCACCGAAAGCCAGAATAAATGATCGATACAGTGACTTCTGCTCCAGGAGGTGCAAGGAAGATGCTGTCGATAGCGGTGGGTGTTTTTGTTGTGTTTCGTTTCTTCAGTCATTTGTTAGAGCTCGCGTCTTCAGCTCCGATCATTTTGCAACTGCAGAAGTCGCACGATGCATACATAGAGGGTGCGTTATTCGTCTGCGTGCACATCTTCCGTAGTCTCCGCCACTAAACAACACTTTAGTGGAGGAGCAATTCAAGGATACGTGGAAGCATTCCACGAACGTCCCCGTTGTCCACCAGGTTCATCTACTACGATCTTGCGGCTCTCTTTTCGTGATGACTCATTCAACGTCATGGGGAATTGCAGATCTGGAAGATCTACGGCAGCAAGAACGCGAACGACACATTCGACCGATATAGGTGCGAATGTTTCCAACCCTGCTCATGGAGAAATTTGAGGCATAGTTCGTGATAGATTAAGCTTGGAGCGCCGCACAGGCAAGAAAGATGGGAACACGCAAAGGCGCTGGCACGGCACGATTCGTGCCTGTACTCTGGGCGACAGCGAATTATTACGCGAGCTTTGCACTTCCGAAACCTGCTCTTTGTGTAATATCATCCGCGTGCGTGTCGTTCTTGGTGTCCCTGCCGGGTGAATGCGCTCACCGTCTTAACTAATATGCTCGATTCTTTACAGTCGTCATTTCAGTTGGCGCGTGCGGGTGAGCGTACCAATTTTGGGCGGTTTGGCGCAGGAATCTACACGTCTGGAACGTCTTCGAAGGTACGGTCGTTTCGTCCCTTGTCACACAGTTGATCCCCTGTGCGAGATGGAGTCTTTACCCTTAGGCCAATAACTACGTCGCAGAGACGGGTGGCTCGTCGTACAAATCAGTGCTTCTTAATGAGGTCATCATGGGGGAGGGGATCAAGCTTCATACCGGAGACGAAACACTGACAGAGGTAACAACTCCCTTTGCATCCATTGGCTCTATGCTCCTGCTACTGAGAATGGACAATTGACAACACATATACAGCCTCCGCCAGGGTATGACTCAGTCATCGGCGAGCCCGGAGGGGATTTGAACTACGACGAGAGCATCGGTGCGTCCCTTCCCCCCTCTACAGGAACACTGTGCCATTTATTCATGATGGGACTCATCTCACAGTCTACACGGTGAGTAAATATGATGTGTACGAGAGAAGGCCGTAAGCCGATCCCTTCATTTGCAGAACGATGCGATCCGTCCGATATTCCTTATTCTCTACCAAGAGTGAACGTTTGAACCGTCACTGTTGGGCGACAGCTTAGACACGATGTTCTTGTGCTCAAGACTGAGCTGTTTGTTTCTGTGTTCCTCCTCTCCGTTGACCTGGTTCAGTGTATGCCTTTGTGTTAAAGCAACAGCATAGAGCAGTTCTCTACATAGTTCGCGGCGCTTGAATGACTTATTCACTCACCCAGTGCTGTTGGTGTCGTCCCTTTCTTGGTTTGCCGTGAGTTCCCGTCACAGCGCAAGCTCGGATGCATAGGAATTCGAATAACACAAGCTGGTATATGTTTTTGTGGCGTATACGATGTTAACTTCTCCCGGCTCCTCGGCAGTGCTGCTGCGAAAGCATTGTGGCGTAAATCCAGTTTGCCGGGTCGATGTCAAAACTTGTTGGCCTCGCTGTTTGGTGCCGAGCTCGTTTGGTGTTATCGGTCGGCATGCCAATTTGCTGCGATGGCGAACAGAATATTCTGATTCTCACGGTACACGCCAGCGTCAAGTTCCCACGCCCAGCAGAATACGGAGGAATATTAATATGCTCACCAACCAGTCTTGGAGATATTATCTCGCCGCGTTCGTGATCAACGTTTCAACAACAGTCCACGGAGTTTTATTGCTAGTTCAAGGCGAATTTTGCGATGTTGTACGGAGCGGTGCTGTGGTATCCACTCAACAAAACTCGGGGTCCGATGCGCACGGTGCTCTCGTTGTCGCATAGATCGGTGAGCATTTACAGCCGGTCCCGACATGTTATTTCTGATCAATCGGCACGGTCAGGGGACATCCGTGGACGCTAAAAGGACTGAAAGGACCTCTCCGCATACCACCAACCCCTTGCTCTTGACGTTCGCTCGCACTTTGAAAAGATGGCAGAAATCTCCGGCGGTGCTCTCCCTCCTGTTCCTGATGACTTGACTATTCCACAGTTTATGCTCGATACCCATCACGTCACCAGGCCAGTCGTGAAGATTCCCAAGCCTTGGTACGTGGATGCCGCCACAGGTCGTTCGCTGTATGCATCTGAGGTATGTGTTCGTCGACTCTCGCACGGTGTTGGTTTCTAACTATGCCGTCAAGATTAGAGCGCGTGTTCATGGGCTAGCGAATGCTCTACACTCTCGATGGCACATAGGCATGTTCTGAACTTCATCCTTCCCCCTCCTTTCTCACATTTTTCATTTCCTTCCATTCGTTCAGGAGAGGATGACGTCGGTAAGAGCTAGACTGTTGCATGCTGGATATTGATTCTGAGGTAGGGTGTCGTGTGAAGTGTGTTTGTTTAGTCCAAATCACATTGGTATGTGTGCCTTACGCTGATGAGGCAAGCCAACAAACTAATATATCAGCCGTCATGAGACTACCCTGGCATCATCTGGTGGGTCTGAAGACCCCGTGCGCCACGTACTTTCCTGATATCGAGAATTTTAGGGCGATCCACAGACTTGGGGCTATCGTAACGTAGTCATCTCTCCCCTCATGCTGGAGCTCTCAGAGACTGAAACTCTGACTGTAAAAGTGCCGCGAATCCGGCTTACACTGCTGAGGAGCTGGAACACCAATTAGTGACGTCCAAATCTAAAGTGATCATTGCCCACCCAGCGAATCATCCTATTGCACTCGTGGCGGCCACAGCTGCGGGTATCCCTCCCGAAAATATCATGCTTGTGGACGCACTTCCTGCTACGGCGGCCGCTCCATACCCTACGATCTCTGCGTTGATTTCCGAAGGCTTGTCTGCGCCGCAAAATTATGTCGAGCAACGGTTGAAGCCCGGAGAAGGCAAGACGAAACTAGCGTTCCTAAGCTTCTCGAGCGGCACCACTGGCAAACCAAAGGTAGTCTCGGGTAGTATTATTTATGCGTCGCGCTCATAGACCATTTTAATCAGGCTGTGTGCATTTCACATTACAACATGATTGCGAACGTCATTCAGGTTGCTCAGCGGGCGACAGAGACGCCGTTCGCCGTGGAAGCGGACAGAGTACTCCGAGTTGACGCTGTCGCGTTAGGCGGTGAGTTGGTTAACGTTTACTTTATTAGAGGGGTATCTGACTCAAGCGACAGTTCTACCTTTCTTCCGTGAGTGTCTGTGTCTCCCCCCTCGAGTCAAACCTGCTCATTGGCTGCAGACATCTTCGGTCTCGTTGTACTCGTGCACTTCTCTGTCTATTATGGCGTACGTTAACGAGACGTATGACCTTCATGAGCGGATCTTACCAATGACGTACGTAGATGACCCTGGTGGTGCTCCCAAAGTTCGACCTTCCAGAGTTCCTCACAAGTATCCAGCGTTACCGCGTGAGCGTGATCTAGTAAGTGCCTTTACCTCGTCGGCATCGCTCTCGATACGATCCTGCGATCGCACAGTGTCGTACCGCCCATGCTCGTGCTCATGTGCAAGGTGAGTCGTCTCACGCCTTCTTCTATCTGAGTGCCCATTCAAATCGTCGTACAGCATCCGTTGGTTGAGAAATTCGACATAAGCAGCGTCCGCGCGACACTCAGCGGAGCGGCGCCGCTCTCTTCTGAGCTCACGAACCTGGTAGCGACCAAGTTCCCTTCGCTAAAACATGTCGGCCAAGGATTCGGTGAGCCATAACTTTACCTTCTTAACTGCCCATATCTTATGCACTGAACGTGGTCGCGGCAGGGATGACCGAGACGTGTACGGTCGTTAGTTTCCCGCAAACCCAGATGCGGCTCCCGACACCGGGCAGCTCGGGGCGCTTGGTCAATGGCATCATCGCGCGTGTCGTGAAGCCGGATGGATCTCTGGCTAAATTTGGAGAGCCCGGAGAGCTCGTCGTCAGGGGGCCGGCGATGGCTCTTGGCTACCTGGATAATGTGGAAGCGTGAGCATTACTGTTTCTTGCTGGAAATGAGCCGCTAACTGTGATTGGTGTCACAGGACTCGAGAGACGTTCAGGAACGGGTATGTATAAGCAAAGCCGTTGGAAGCCAACGACGGATACTCATTCTGTCTAGGTGGGTTCACACAGGGGATGAGGTGACAATTAACCAGGAGGGAGAACTGTTCGTTGTTGATCGCATAAAGGTATTTCTTTTACTATCCATGGTGTCGATTATCTAGCTGACAGACATACCCATCAGGAATTGATCAAGGTCAAGGGTTTCCAGGGTGAGCAGTAGCTGTATAATTGCACTTGGCGTCTGTCGTGTTGACGCGTGTTGCAGTGGCACCCGCGGAACTCGAGGGACATCTCCTTGAGCATCCGGATGTGTCTGACGTCTGTGTTGTTCCCATCCCGGACGAGTACCGGGGCGAAATCCCTCTCGCATTTGTCGCGCTCTCTGCCGGTGCTGCAGAACGTGTGAAGAAGAATCCTGCTCTGGCTCGCGAGATCAAGGCGTCTCTCGTGAAGGTTAGTCCATGTTTATGTTCTCGCTATTCTACTATGGTATACTAATTATGCCACTATCAGTACGTCGCCGACGCGAAGATAGACTACAAGCATCTCGCTGGAGGCGTCGAATTTGTCGACGTCATTCCGAAAAACCCCAGCGGGAAGCTCCTTCGCCGTGTCTTACGCGACCGCGCCAGACTGCTTCAGAAGGAGGGCAAGTTGTCGACACAGCTTAAGGCCAAGTTGTGATAGCAATGCAATGGCTGGCTATTGTTGAATATATACCCTCGTATGTCGGATGCTGCTGTACTGTTGCACTATCTGTCAGCCGTTCGTTTGCACGTCTGGTCGTGGAGTCCACGTTGGAAAAGTGTGGAATACAAGAATATGGTATGAGATCGTACTAGAAATACACGACGTCGCGTCCTCTGCACACGGGTCAGTGTGGCATTCTCTGCAACTTCTCGCGAAGGCGCATCAGGGCCTTCCCAAGTTCGTTTCTGCCATTTGCGTCCTCTCCTATGCCCCAGAAAGAGTCCACCTGCGAAGTTGATCAGTATCATCACTGAATAGACGATGTCCTGACGCAGCAGAAATATAAAGTGTTCGAGCAAGTAAGTGACAACACTTGATGTGGAAACGTACAGGGCTATTCTCGAACAAAGGCCGATCCCCTGTTTCAAGTAGCAACCGTTGGAGTGACGGGTGCTGTGTGAACTTAGCCTCAAGGACCATATCCATGATTCCGACGTTCACATCATACCAGTCCGCACGGCGGAGGCGGTTCAGACGGGTCGCTTCGCGGAGAGCCGCACTAGGTGAGGGCATGCATCGGATCCGTTCGGCAATGTCGGGGTGATAATCCAGAAATTTATGAGCTTGAAACACTAAGCACTCGGTGAGCATTGCACGTAGGCTGCATTGAAGCAGGCTCACAGTGCTCGGAAGTGGGGTATACACGTCCGCGGAATTCAATCGGATGATGCGAGAAATTCGTGAACCTGCATGGGTGTAAGTATCCTGTAATAATGAGGAGAGTAACTTACTCGTAATAGGGCTCATCGCGATTATAAAAAAGAAGAGGCTGCGGCTCGGGTTCACGCGGCCTCCATCGACGATGCTCTTCCTGACGAAGTTCTCGGTTCGATCGAGGGTGACTTCTTAGGTAAATTGCGGGTGAGTGTAGTCGTAGAACATTACCTCGCATGGAACGCCAATCCCTACCTTCGTGAGCGTGAATGATGACTCGGACCTGCCGCTGTTAGGTAAGACGAGCTTTATGGATGATAGCACAGGAAGCTAGGAATCAACTCACCTAGCCCATCTTGCTCGTCGACGTCCATGGGGTCGTCATCACAAGATCGCCGTCTTGAGCGGATATCGGGTGCCCAGTACGAGAAAGGGAACAAATAATATACTACTGCAGGTAGTACAAACCGCATATTCTATTCTCGAAGTCGAAAAAATGGTGCTTGTGAGCGGATGGTCTTGGAGTTCAAACTGAGCAGCTAAGCCTTGAGCCGCAGCCTAGTACGTGATGTTATGGGCGCTTACTGTAGCTCGAGTTAACGACGTGCCCCGACGACGACTACTACTACTACTACTACTACTACTACTACTACTACTACTGGACTTGGTACTCACCTCATAGCATTCCAGATGACTTCAGATACCGTTCGTACAGCAACTACTCCGTGTGCATATCCTGGTTGCAACAGAGCGGTTTGGCAAGATCCGGATGGATCTTTCTCATCCTACTGTGGTAAAACCCATCGCGAAGCAATGGCCCAGTTGGAGGGCAAAAAGCTTTGCAAAGTAGGCTCACTTAGATCGTTGCGTAGGGGTAGAGCTCTTCTAATTTCGCTCCAGAAATGTAATGCCCGTCCAGTGTACGTTCAAAACGGTCGTGGTGCGGCACTCTGAAATCAGAGATTTTTTCCTCTAATTCAACGGTGTATAACCCTATCCAGTCCACGATTTTTGTGGAATTCGCTGCGCCAATGCATTTCGTAGTGGTACTCCAGTACCCATGAGCCCACGCGCATCACCCGCACCTAGCGGGAACAGCATTTGCAGGCTCCCTGGGTGCCGTCGTCGTGTTTGGACTGGCAGGGATGGTATCCCTAGCCAGTTCTGTTCTAATCGTCACCGTCGGTACGCTTGTAATACCCTCTCACTATCCACAGCTTACATCTATGTCGTTGTTTAGGGACGCCGTGAGGACTGGAAACGCTGAAGGATGCCTGTTGTGGGTTCCCCTCCCAGGACAGTCGACGTCCGAACTGAATATTGTACGCACAGGTGCAACCAACTCCCGAAGGCGGTGGTGAATGGCAAGCTGACAGACTTCTGTTCTAAGACATGCAGTCTAGATGCCATCAATGCCGGTATGCTTTCCGTTCCATAAATTCATTAGCTGCATGTCAATTTCTGTCTTTTCGTGTAGCCCCGATCATTCTTCAAGTAAATAGAAGTCATGCTGAATTTTATAGCGGTACGTCGGTGATATTCGTTTACGCCATACCGGTCATATGGACATATCTCCCAGTCAAGCGTCAGTTCAGCGAGGGGTGGAAGCACGGCACAAATGTGCCCGCAGTCGTACATGTGATTTTCCCCCTCACTGAAAGACAAGTAATTGCTGACCAACGCCCATAGGTATGGAAGATTTATGGGGAGAAAGGTATCTACGACAAGTTCGCACGGTATAAGTAAGACCATACCCCCTTGTCCCACCTGATGGCCTATACTGAGATGGTCCTCATTGTCAGATTGGGCGTGGAGCGTCGCACTAGCCTGAAGGGCGGTAACACCTGCCGCCGGTGGCATGGCACGGTTCGCGCATGCCAGCTGGGCAACGACGACGGCATGCATGAGCTCTGCAGGAATCCTGCATGCTCGTTGTGCGAGATCATACGCGTGAGTACACCTTTCCACCATTCTTACCCGTCTGTGGTCTCGCTCTGACGAAACTCATCAAAATGTGCAGTCGTCCTTCCAGCTCACGCGCGTAGGCCAGCGGACGAACTTTGGGAGGTTCGGCGCAGGCATCTACACGTCAGCGACTTCATCCAAGGTGCGCCTGCTGATCTCCGTGTGTCGTTAATTAATCTTTGTACAGGCGAACGACTACGTCGCAGAGTGGGGCGACTCGCCCTACCGTGCGATGCTCCTTAGCAAGGTTGTCATGGGAAAGGCCATTAAACTTCAAATGGGTGACCAGAGGCTTACGAAGGTATGTTATCAGCGATGTTTTTTCCTATTACGGAGAGTGTTTATGCCCTATGTCTGGCTTGTGCCACACTCTAGCCGCCGCAGGGGTACGACTCTGTAGTTGGCGAACCTGGAGGTGACTTGAACTACGATGAGAGCATCGGTGCGTCTTGAGTGATATGGAAAGATATACGCGGCTGCTAACCTAAGGGATATGTCCCATCTGTCCGAACAGTGTACAAGGTCAGCTTGCTACGATTGGTCCTCTTCGTAGTCCATGCTAATGACTCATCCGTTCAGAACGAAGCCATACGTCCCTTATTCCTTGTCGTTTACAGGCCGTGAGCGGCAGTATTTTCTTGCAGCAGCTCGTTTAACACGTGGTGGCGATCCTCGCAAAATGCAAGCGTCGTACGGCTAAGTAGATCTATGTTTCTTGACAAACACGTTACCCTGCAATTGTAGAGTTATCCAGGTGATACTTTCTAGTACGATTAGAAGAATGATGGTGGTGCTCTGGTCTGCGAATATATTTAGATCGGCGTCCTTTCAGACTGTTTGCTGTTAAATCGCATCTCCAAGTTCGTACGGGCATACAGGTCTTATACAGGACCCCCGACAATTGGTGAATAGGCCTGATCTGGAAAGGGCAAAAATGTCCGTTGGGAAAAGGCCGTTTGGGGCCAAAAATGTCCGTGAAAAATGAGGCCTCACTATATTTTTGGCCCGCGTTTCTCCTCAGGCCTAGCGTGGGTTTTTAACCCTAAAAAGGTAATTTTGGGCGCTGGCTACTCCTCCTGCCCTCCCCGCCCTCCCCCGCCAGGCTTGCACAGGCGTTTTTCCTGCCCCGAATCAGGCCTCCTGGGCGCTGCCCCCCCGATTTCCGCGAAATGGCTCAGGCTACCCGGCGGTCCCGGTCAACCCCTGATTTGTCCGTGAAAATACTAGACATGAGGCTCTCGAAGGTCCAAAATTTGTCCGTAACTGGATCAGGGACCTTCCCCACTTGTCGGGGGTCCTTAGTCTGTGCACTTGAGCTTTTATGAAAGGTTGAATCTGGACTATTCATTCGGATTTGGACTCCGCGCACGCTAGCGGTGGGTAAACTTACCAATTGTGGCTGAACAGGAATACAGGTGGATCAATATTGTACTCTTTCATACAACTTTCATATCTCTTTCATATCTAATGTTCAACGTTCAGCGTCAATAGAATTCCGCGATTGCGCAGTAACCGAAGAAGGTCGATCAACGAACCACTACATACATGAAACAAGAAATAGAAGCTTTGCAGCTATGGAGGACAGTCTCCTCTTTCCTCTATCGCTTTTGAATCCACAGCTACAGATACACAAGCTTCAATTTTCAGTTTGTATCGTGTACGGGGTAGGCATAGATACGGTCTCACCGTATCTGTACTTTCCTTCGCGTCTATCGGAGTAAAGTCCTGGTACTTGAGGATTGGCTCGAGTGCACCACCGTCCACGCGCCACCACAGCGGCACCTCCGCATTTATAACAGCAGGTGTATCACCAACAGAAAATTTCTCCTTCTCCGCCACAGTTACCGCAACCCAGCGCAGTGAGGCAATGGTACATGCTATGTGCAAGCGAAACGCATGGAGCACGGACTCGGTGAGAGAGTCGGAGGTCGGAACTGGTCCTGCGACATGTCGAACCGGATTAAGAGCAGGAGAGGGTACCCGGAATGGCCGGATGCAGATGGACAGGGATTGGATGGGGATTGTGCCGAGGATCTGCGGGATGGTACCCTGCAAGCATAACTGCTTCAGTCACATGCGAGAGGAAATACGAGACCTAAAACATACCATCCAGTCGTCGACCTTGCTCGTGTGTCCCTCTTCAAGACGCAGTGCTAGGTGTCGCAGCCGCGGAACGACGCGCACAAATTGTCCCCAAAATGCAGCCTGACTGACTCGAGTCTCAACTGGGAGAGAGAGTATGATCGGATTCGTTCGCTCTATCACCCCCAGCGCAGTGGCGTAGTGGTATGAGGTTTGCTCGAGTTCAAGCAATCGTACAGGGCATGCGATGACCCAGTGGGCAAAATCAGGCACGTTTCCCCGAAGGCGGTCGAGAGATGGCCAGCACGCTTCAAAGTTCCCGGTGTCGTTGTCTCCTTCGACGGGGTCTGCGTATATATCTGAGACGACGAGTGTGTGTAGGTTAGGGAACGCGTTCACGAAACTCAACATTCGCGCTTTCGTGCCATGAACTGAGAGTGTGCGTAAGGACGGGATCTGCTTCCGCTCCGCCATTCCGAAGTCGGTGGGCGGCCAAGTCTTGTCAGTCTGGATATCGAGATGTGCCAGCTCGAGACAGTCGAGATTCTGCAGTGCACCTAGTCTCTCAAACAACGCCGGAGTCCTTTTGTTGAAGAGCTGTGTGAAGGTGAGCCTGCGCAGCTGGCTGCACATTTGGGGGAGATGCGTAAGAGATAATTCTCCACAGTTATGGAGTGAGACATCTACGAGGTCGGGCAACACTTCGAGCGCAGCAGCAATGCGGGGCTCATGTGTAATGAGCGCTTCAAAGCACGATATCGAGAGTCGGCGAAGGCGCCCCGCGCCTTCCAAGAGGTCCACTAACTGGGAAGAAGCGGAGAAGTCAACTGTGTGGGTGAACTCGATGTGGCGCGCGACACCGAATGCAGAGGAGGTAATGGTGAGTTCGCGAAGAAAGGGGAGCCGGACACCTCCATTCATTAGCATGGCCATGCAAAAAGCACGGAGCTGGTCTTGAGACTGTGTGATACAAACGCTAGAGAGGCTGCGAGCCAAGCTAATGTCGTAGGCTTCGCGAGAGACCATAGAAAGCGTCAGCGCGGAGGAGGCATTCAAGTAAGAAAGTACGATGTATAGAACATCGCGATTGAGTGACAGGAGGTTCAACGTCATGGCAGGGAGTTTAGTGGAGACGGAGCCGACGAGGTGGAGGTCTACTTGGGGGAGCTTCTGAAACCACCCTGGGATTATATGTTTCCGGCACTTCGCCAAGTACAGATGCACAAACAGGCAACTCCATGGCTGTTGGCGTCGACTCTGCGTGGGTGAAAACAACACGGAGGACTGTTTTTTTTCGCATACCTGGGAGTTTACCGGAGAATCCATTTACACCATGAATAAACATGCGGTGCTGATCTTCCTCATAGTGCTAGGGAGCACTGAAAATGATAGCCGGCGCAATGATTGCGCCCGAATGATAGTTTGCAGCCTCTGATATGAAGCTAAGTCACTCCTGCACCGATTAGTGAACGATACCGTGAAGGAGAGTCGGCACGTACTACGTGCGCTGGAAAGCCCTCAGGATCGTAAGATCTAGTACATGCCTGACAGTTGACTCGATGTGAAAGCGGTCGACGGTGATCGTCGTGCGAGTCGCGTCTGGTGACCGCGTCGCAAAGCACTGTGGAATGTTATGCTGCAGCCAGCGGCGTGCTCCGCTTGGGCTATCATGGGAGTCCCACTCACGCTGAACCACTGCTTCGCCGGATTGTGAGAGCATACTGCCATTGACAGTGCGGATGCGTGGGTGCGAGAACTGCGTAGATCTCTTGGGCCTGCGACCGAAGTTTATAGATCGATGCTGCCGCGGAAGCATTTTCCATCTCAATCATCTTAGCGGCCCCGCGCCCCGTTGTCGATTCCCACTACTTACATGCACCACAATGGGCTCATTGGTAGTCGAAAAAATTGATAGGCTACTGAACAACACGCAATATGCTTTACACACGGTATAACGCACCCCGGATGTTCTAGCTACCAAACTTCTCATCCTGCATGGTTGCCTCTTGCGAGTCCAAGTCTCTACCCACATCTGCGCCGATGTTTGCCACAGGACCTTGGAACCAGTACATGCCGCCGTACTTAGGCAAGAAATAGTAGCCCAGGCACAGCGCGAACCATCCTCCTAGCACCGCAATGGTGTAGTTCATGTCTGTTGCGTTCGGGCCAGGCGAGCTGGGGAATACTAAAACAACCAACGAGAACACCATCCACGCCACCGCTACCATACCCACAGGGTACCCCTAAGTGAAATAAATTGAGCCTCTGGTATCGGGAATAGATTCGCAGAACTCACCCATTTGCCTAGAGAGAATGGACCGGGTTTCCAGTCCTTTCCTCCGTAGAATCTGCTCATAATAGGGAATATGTACGCGATATATAGACCGATCACCCCCAGACCGAATATAGCGGAGATAGCGGCAGCCCCCGCGAATGCAAGCAACCCAAGTAATGCTGCAACGAAGACGGCAAACCAGGCGCAGTTAACTGGTGTCTGTGTGTACTTGTTGATGCGATAAAGATATTTCGAGAACGGCAGACCCCCGTCTCGCGCAAAGGCGAATGTCTGTCGAGAGCTAGCAACGCACTGCGGATAACTTAGTTCAAACTTCGACATCCACATGCCCAGACGTACCGAGCTTGTGCCCATGAAAAATCTATTCGATAATTCAGAAAACTACAGCTACTGAAGAGAGGTGTGACTCACTGCACGGTAACGACGAGAGACCACACAGCCAATGTGCCCCTTTGTCCGAAACTGTCATACAAGATCTAACAGCTCATGATCAACACTACCGAAGATAGTGGTCCAAGAAAGACGCACTGCAGCCATCGGCTGTCCGATAGGGCTTGCCAGGATTGTCTCGATATCGGTGCCCATCCGAAATGCAATCACGACATTGATAGCTAGCCACGACGAACTTCGTTAAGTGCTTACTCCTCTTACAGTGAGACAGCTAAGAAAAACCGACACACTGACCCCATCCGAGAACGCCGGCAACAAATGTGGCGCTAATTAGGGCATACGGGACCGCCTTGGCAGCATTCGTCGTCTCTTCACTGATGTGCAGTGCGGAATCAAAGCCCGCTGGAAACTAATCAGAATTTCCCTGAGAAGCGCGTAGTCGATGTAAGGCTGACATATTGTCCAGAGTGGCGCGAGGAAGCTCAGGACGAAGGCGAAGCCATCCGGCCAGCCACTATCTGTCAGAACAATGGATTTATTCAAGAATAATCACAATTACGGCGGGTGCAATTGAACTCACAGTTGACAAAACCTCCAAATGCATATCTTGCTGAGTTCTTGAATCCATCCGGGGTGGATGCGGGCAGAGCAATGATGATGCCAAGACACAACCTGTATCATCGCGTGAACCGCCGTTCACCATGAAGGCCAATTTATATTTGATTGGTGCACCCACAAAACATTTACAACCACATATATAGTCTGCAAACGTGCGATGACCGACGATGCTAAGGAGGCTACTGTAGCATGGCAGATTAGGATGAGGAGATACACGGCGCTGCAATCGAACAAAGGAATCAGTCTGTGAAGTGCCTCGCAACGCACAGAGGAAACGCTCACTAGGTCTGCCCAGTAGTCGGAGAGAATGTAGTTCCAGAACCGATACTCGCTGCTGCCTGTCATCTTCCTTTAGCCATGCATCGTCACATCGTCTGAGGAAGACCTTACCATCATCTGAACTGCACAACCCCAATCAACGGAAGCGATGCCCGCAATGAGCCCAATCGTATTGGAATCTTTATTTCTTCTTAGTCTCAGTTATGACTGGCACTCTGAATCAAGACTCACATCCAACAATCCATGACAACAGCCTGCGCCATCGTGGTGAGGCAAAGTTGAATGTCCACCAGTACAACCCACCCGAAGTCGGGGCCGCTGAACCCAATTCACCTAATGTCAAAGTGATAAGGAAGATGAAGAGGCTGCATGTCGCCCACTGTTGAACGAACAAAAGGACGACTGTAAGCGCGTAACTAGACGCATCAGTGCGATACTTACGCCCCAGATCATTGACACAGGACCACCGTTTGGAAGAGCGTATACGAGAACAGACCTACAACAAACACCGAGCAGTGAGATACCGCACACCGTGATCGAGCAGTGCTTCCTCGCAACGTTTCAAGAACACAGCAGCAGGCTTCGCCGTCTTTGACTTGTAGTATCGGACTTACGCTATAGAGGGAAACAGACCATAGATACTGAAGACAAGTCCAAAGACTTCAAACGGAGAGAATGCACGGCGGAATTCTTGCTTGTATCCCAACCGTGCAAGCACCTGTGCATCGCTGTCTGGCTCCATAGTAGGGTGAGATTCTACAGCCGTGCCGAACTTGTCTTTCTCTCCAGTATCCATGATGGTCAGATGTGAGTCTGAAGCACGGGCAGTACTTGGGAGTGTAAGTGCACACCGGGGGAAGAACTGAGCTTATCTGGTGGGGTTCTTTGGGGATATATATGATATTACCGTTTGGCGTCTCCGAGGACCATCGCACAAGGCCAATCCATCACCTCGGTAGGAGTTTGCTTATCACTCGAAAATTCTCCAGAGAACAGTTGACGAAGAAGCTGAGCGCTGATAGATACGTCAGATTAGATAGCACTTTTATTTCTCAAAAGGGCACCTTGCGCGGCTCATACATGTAACATCTTCTCCCAGTGCAAATCACGTTGAATTCATCCTGATTCTGTCTGATTCTGTGAGGGAGGATGTTCACACTGGGAGTCACAGTAAACAACGTGAAGGGTTACTGATAAGATAACAACATATCCTGGGTCCAGACATCTTCCCTGAATCAATGCGGTGGGCATTCACAGCGAGGAAATCTTGCATAGAGATGCACGCTCAGAACTGCATTGTAGAGAGTACTTTCGAAGTGCCCAATCTATGGCCAATGCGCCGATCAGGATCATCTGTGAACAGTACCAACATTTAGAAGAGATGAACACACGATTCACATTGCATACGAACACATCTGGTTATGTAAGTACGATAACACTGGACACCCGAGACGGCAATGTGGGTGCAAGCGCCTATAAGCCATGCGCACGTCCAGTCTCAGACCACGGGTATGACTCTCGGCAGGAAGCGAGATTGTGGAGAAAGATGCGACAAGGGAAGTATGCGTCCATCTCCATCCTGGCCAGCTGGGCAGACCAGTGTGGCTGTTCCCTAGCAATAAGAAACAAGGTATATGAGACCGGGACGACATGTAGTGAAATGTAACGATTCAGTGTCCTGACGTGGTAGACGTTGACACAAACCGTCACGGTGCACGTCACGGTGGCAGTTTATGAGACTTACCAGATACAACGATTACCCGATGTTGTTCGAGTCTGATTGGAACAGAACGATTTCACCCACGCACTGTCCAAAGTATTGAATACACTGCGTCGCCTTGGTCTCGCAGTCAGGCTTGCGGGAGTGATGTTGGACGGGGAGGCTGAGCTTTGACCAGGATAATGGTCATCATGGTTTTATATTCAATATCTCCATCGGCATTGGGAGTAATTCTGCAATCACAGATCGAGCAGTGTGCTTTGGAAAATTATCTACAGAAAAGTTCAGAAAATCGACAACGGCTATGCACCGAAATTACGATATCGCAGTGAACAATGGTTCCAACCTAAGCTCACTCGCTCGGGTTCTCACCTGCAAGGGACTCTGAGTAGATCTTCCTCAACTATATGTCCAGCATATGACGATAGCGCTCGTAATTGCACCGAACCACGTTCGTCGCGGGTGGGACCTCAAACCAGGTGAGGGAAGGCTCTGAAGACGTTGTCCGAGAGATTGAGTGGATGACGATATAGATGAGAGTGTTGACATTGGCTGCAAATGTTTGCGCCAACTCAATCATTCCCTGCTTTGAGAGAAACCTCAAACGACTCGAAACAAAGATGATAGCAAACCCGCGGGGAATGCTATGCAACACTCATACGTTCCAGCTGCGATTGTGAACAAAATTCGGAGATGAACAAGCGTCCCAAGTAAACACTTAGCTGCGACGCACCGCCCATGAAACACAATCATTTTCAGCCCGCTGGGATAGGGGAAGACAATTCACCGTAATTTTCAGGTATCTGATGCTCCACCCAGAATCTGCGATATGCCTGAGTGTGCCCAATTGTTCCCATTGAAGGTGACAATCGAGTACCGTCGGGGACATCCGGGCCAGAGTAATGGCGAGCTTTCCACAATGCTCGCCCCACATACGGCCAACGAGCCGTAACCAATGAACCGAAAACTGTAGAGGCAAATTACTCCGCGATGTGACATGGTCAAGACTTCGCATTTTGTCACCATTGGTGAAGGTGCCGTCGCCGAAGGAGATGGACCGAACGGCAGGAAACGACATTTGCGCCAAGTCGGTTGGTCCGGTCAAAGTCAATGTATGCACGGACGGGAAGACCATGTCGCCACCAAGATAAGATGCTAGATGCCTCACGTGCAATACGTTGAGTCACCCGGTAAGATTTTTTCAAGTATCGGCTGGATGTGTGACTTGTGGAGGCCTCTCGCAGTATAGCACATCGAGTTTCCGAGACCTGCTGGACATCCGTGCTATCAACCGTTCCCATGAAGAGAAGCCATAACGAAAACAGATAGAATCCAACGTGAGCAGCCCCGCTACAGCATCAGCAAGCGAAGGATGAGATTCTGATATGTGTGGCATGCCGCAAGACTTCCCCTAGCAGGATGGCCGAGGAATGGTCTATTCAGGCACCATCATTCACATCGGATGCAAATGTGCATGTCATGGCATTGAATTGCAGGGACTTGAGTAACGGCTGTAGACTTGTTCCCAAGGACCACGTCAGAGAGAAATCGCAATGTGTGTGCGGCTCGAGAAGTCATCGCGAGGTGCAACGCATCGTGATTCGATATATCAGAGAGAATGGTATCCAAAACATCGTCATTCAGAGATAGAAGATCCACAGGTTGCCTGTGTACCAATTTTTCTGGATAGCAAGCTCTGTCGAGGAAGACGTGAGTTTTGGATGATTATCCCTGTGTTCAAATATACAACCAGGGCTCACCGGCTTGTCTTACAACGGATCCCACTGGCAGATCAAATTCCGCATGTTTGGAGCAGGTGAATGCGATGGCGAGCAACGAAGCCCCAGTCTAAGTAGCTGCTAGTTCGATCTCGAGCTGGAGTTTGGACGGTCGTAACGGAGTTCAACGCGTACTAATACTAGTATCGAATCTCAGTTACAGATCTCCGTCGAAGGTCGCAATCGAGAGTCGATTCTAAGTCGGTATGTTTAGCTGCAGAGCATACGATGGAGAAAACATGCAGATGAAGACGTGCAAGTGCAGAGGATGTAGGCGTCGGCGCGAGGTGGCTGGTACCTGGCAAACGGAAAGTGACGGCCGTACGCGTCAACGGACGTCGAACGTCAGCGATCGTCCAATAATCACCGAGGAATTATGCACGTCACTACATTAACCATAGTCATCTCAATTTACGTGGCCCTGGAGAGGAATGTGCAATGAACAGTGTCCACAAGATACTCAAATTGCAGGTCGTAATGGTCGTTAAATAATGTAGCGTAGTCAGACACCAGTCAAGAGAAGTACATAATGCGCTGCCAAAAACGAATGAGGTTCCGTGGACGAATGGACGGATGGAGAGCGAAACAAGGATGATTGATATAGGCGTACTGCAGACGAAAATAGGGAGAGCGATAGAAAATGCATAGCGACACACCAAACATATTAAAGAGGGGAATAACCTGGTAGGGTGGGACGTTTTTGTTTGGATTATGAAACGACTATATTGAAGTCTCGGGTTTAACTCGCCATAACACCGCTGCAGTTGCTGCACTGAGCACCAAGATACCAACAGCCATCGATAGGTGCGTAAATTGAGGCTGTCGTCCGATGAGCATGTACGATACAAGAAGAGCCCACACGGCACTCACGATGTCCTTCGGCGGCTCTCTCGTACGTGCATCTGTTGCAACGCCTGAGACCGCGTCTGATTTTGACAGCGGCTGATGCACGACGGACGATTCTGGCGATGGGAAAGGCACATCCTTCTCGTTTCTCGTTGATGACGCAGCCCTTCCATTCTCGAGGATAACGGACGAACGTGTCTCGGAGTCACTGGCACTCGATTCGTCTGTCGCCCACGGTGACCGACGTCGAGGGTGAGAATTCGAATAAGGAGGCAGCTCCTGGCCGTTCAGATCACTGACCACCGAAGATGCAGAGGAACCGTCATAGGGCACCTCACCGGTGCCAAGCGATGCAGATCGTGACCGTGTCCTGCCTCGCGATTTGCTCACCCGCTTTTTTCTTGCCCGAGGACGAGTTGACTCCGCTGATAGACTTCTTGGACTTGGGGGAGTGACTAGACCACCGCTGCCATTTATCTTCGCATTGCCATTCGTAAGAGGGTGCCGCTGGAGAAGCTGGTAGTGCGCCTGAAAGGATGCGAGTGATGTGAGCCCCGACTCCATCTTGGTAACCGCACTACCAAGGCCCTCCTCGACAGAGCGCACACGCAGCTCCCATTCTTCCTTGGCACGTCGTAGCCGTTCACGTTCATCGTTCCACTCCTCTTGTACACCGCTCCACCGACCCTCCACACTCTTCTTCCACTCCGTGATCATCTCCGTCAGAGACTCCCGTTCACGGGCACGCTCCTCCTCTCTTGATTGCGCCAAAGTTGTAGGACGTTCTAGTGCGGTAGCCTCAGCAGCTTCCGCCAACTGCTGTGTCTTCTCTTCCTGTACATCCACCTGTACGCGGGTAGCAAGCACCAATGTCTCGAGCGCAGACACCTTTGTTTCAAGATTTAGGATCGTCGACTGAGCATTTGTATGCTGCGCCTCCAATGAGCGAGACAGTTCGAGCGCAGACTCGAGCTGCTTCGACAGTGTGTCGAGGCGTTCAGTGACATCCTCTGAGGAAGAAGCGGTAACATGGGGGACGGGCGGAGACAATGGCGAGTGCGGACGAGCACGAAGGTGAGACAGGTCTGAGTTGCCACCCTGAAGATGGTTGGGATGCGAATCATGGTCCTCATCATCGTCACCCATGCCCATCCCGGTCGGCTCGGGCGTTCTTGGGCGCCCCAACTCTTCCCTTCTCCGCCTTCGGTCTTCTTCCTCTTGCTCAGCGGCTAACTGCTCCTCATCCTCTTCATCAACCCGTTCCAGTTCATGCGGGACAACCGTCGCGATGCTACGCGCGTCATCGTCGTCTCCGAGTAAATCTCCGTCGTGATCCCTTTCGTCCTGACGCTGCCGCTGGTGAATAGGACTGCCGCTCTGCCTACGGAGCAACTCTATCTCGCGCATGCGCTCCTCCATCATATCGCGCATTGAGCCCACCTCGCGCTTGATCGCGTCGTGCTCGGCGAGCACGCCTTCCAGCGCGCGGATCTTGTCGACGTGGCTTGCAAGCGACATCTGCGTCTCGCGCAGCTGTGTCTGCAGTTCACTCAAGGTGAAAGTAGGATCAAAAGGCGCCGGTTGCTGCTGGTGCTGCTCCTGCTGCTGATGGTGCTCGACCGCTTGCGCAGGCATAACCGCAGGCAGCGACTGGGGATACGGCGGCACGTTTGGCGGCTGCATGTGTCAGGTAAGCCTGCCACCCATTGCGTAAGAACCGTACGCCTGCTCACGCACCATGTTTCCACCGAGCGTGTCGTGTATCTCATTCATCGACCCCGTAAGTGAGTGCAGCTCCGAGCCGGTGTCCCGGCTCTTCTGCAGCTCGCCCTGAAGCCTGCTCAGAATATGGTCAAACGTCAGCCCGCTCTTCCCCGGCACTCGCACGTTCCCTCCCATCCCGCCCATCCCGACCAATCCCTGCGGCTGCATCCCCGGCCTCCGCTGTGCTCCAGGCACACCGTTCCCTAGGCCTGCTGCACCCGCCTGCTGCCCGCCCGCGAAGTTGAATGCGCCTGCCGCCGATCCAGACGGGCCCTGGTTCGCGAGGCTCCCGTACGCTGGAGGGTTCTGTTGGGCTTCCGCCCGCGCTGCCGCTTGCGCGTCCTGCTCCGAGAATACGCACACCACCCGCGCGGCAACCTTATGGTGTATGATTGTCTTGTTATCTTCCCCGACGATGTCGATTCCAAATTCCTGTTCGCCCGCGGCGTCAGCTGAGCCACATGACCACCGCTCCGAGTCTACGCACCACAATGTCGTCCGTCTTCAGTTCAAATGGCTCCGACTCGAGGCCCTCTGGGCTGAGCCGTTCGCCGTTGATGAACGTCCCGTTGGAGCTTTTCACGTCCTTGATAAAGATCTGCGGTCCGCGTGAGAAGAGCTCGCTCAGCTCGCTCGCAACTGGATACATCGACCACCACGAACCTTTCCTGACTCCTCCCATACCTCTGCATGCTGTCTGCTGAGAACCTTGGAGTCGAAGTAGCCATTTCGCTCGGCGGGCACGGTCTTTGCGTTCGTTTGTCTTCCAATCTTCACGCGCTGGTTGTTGAGGAGAGAGATGTGTTTTGGAATAAATGAGTCATTCAGTGGGTAGAGATAGAGTGCTGGATACGCCACGGGGGTATGCGGTGTTGAGAATGGGGCGGGCATCGTGGACGCCGTCGGCAACGATGAGCTCAAGCTCGACAACAGCTACTATGAGATGGTATTGTTTGGCATTATTTGGCATGCTCACTGACTCTTCCAAATCACGTGCTGGGAGTGTCGGTCTCAATATGGCAGGTCTTCAAGTTTCCTCCTTAAGTATCAACATTCAAGTTAAAATATTCATACTAGTCGCCAGTTAATGCAAGCATGAAAGCATAAAAACTCAGGCTGTGTCACTAGATGGGCAATATATATGACACATCTATACAATGATCCGCAGTAATATCTCACAAGGCCTAGGCAAGAAAAAAAAGCGGAGACAGCGGGGTGCACACTGGGTTCTCAAGAGTTTGGACCAACACCACCACGATAATCTCAAAGTCTGAGAGACAAGACCTGGCATGTCACGTCAGCAATTACTTCAAAAGAAGATAGACATGGGTATAACACGCACATCATCGGTTGATCCCGGCTAAAACCCGAGCAGACACTCAGACATGCCCTTGCTCATGGCAGCGCGCCCAATATATTTAGCGAACTGCACGAAATGCGCCGCCAACGTACTGCAATGGCGCCCTCTCGGACGAGATTCTCATTCCTATCAGCGGAAACAAGCTCTGTGTCTCGAAGAGTCGCTAAGTAGTATGCATTGGAGTTTGCATCTCCAGGATAAGCATTCCCGCCGTTAACGTTACTTCACAGTACACCGCCTTGGCACGCAGATGGAGGGAAGAAATAATTTCTCGGGGCTGTTATAGAATCATTCATATGCGTATAATGAATTGCACTAGACCTTATGGGGATCCCGCTTGTCGAAAGAGTCGGGTTAGGGCTTACGTGATCTTAGGGTTAGGTGTGTTACCGGTCCGTTGGAGCGGTGCGGTCCCTGAGCGGTGTACCGCAACGCCGAGTACAGTGGGCACATGAACTGGCAGAACACAACGAATCCGATGAGTCTTCGCCGTAGTATAAGGGGCTGCTGCGTCCTGCGACACTCTCACCTTCACCATGGCTTCCCATCCTTTGCTCACAGCTTTCCGCGTGTCCAAGCCTGCTTTCGGCGCGTGGATCACCCTCCCAGGCACGTTCAACGCACGCACGGCAGCCCTCGCCTCTCCGCACATATCGTGGCTTGTCATCGATTGCGAGCATGGTATGACTTCACTTCAACCAGGTGTGGGGGAGTCCATCCAAGCGGTCGCTGGCTTAGGCGCCGCTGCGCCGAGCACTATCGTTCGCATCCCTGCGACAGGACCATGCGCAGATACCAGTGCAGCCTGGCAGATTAAGTATGTGCTCGACGCCGGTGCGCGTGGTGTGCTAGTTCCAATGGTTGTACTATTCAGATCCATAGATCCGTGGTTACCGATACTTACTTGGTCTCATCTCTGTAGGTGTCTAATCGTGCCCAGACGGCGTCTGTGGTTGCTGCCGCACGGTTCCCCCCTACTGGTATCCGCGGGTTTGGGAGCCCATTCACCCAAGCTGTCTGGGGCATAAGTGCCAAGGAGCACCTCACCACCGCTAACGAGAGTATACTCGTCCTCGTCCAGATCGAGACGCGCGAGGGCGTGCAGAATCTCGACGAGATTCTATCCGTCGATGGTCTTGGTATGTGCATTTGTGCGGTATCAGACCCCTGATCCTTCACGTGGTCCGTTGAATTCTCGCAGATGGCGTCTTCATCGGTCCATATGATCTTTCACTGTCGTATGGATATCCTGCGCCATCGCCTGACCCTCATCCCGATGTGGAGGTGATCATCCAGGAGATCCTCATCAAAGCTCATGCCAAGGGGAAGAAATGGTGAGTTTCGCATCCTGCATGCGGATTTCAATCGCCTATTCTGACACGACCATGCTCCTTAGCGCGTTCTTCTGCACAACGGGGAAGCAGTCTGCCAAGCGTGCTCAAGAGGGCTTCGATATGGTAAGTCGTTGTTCTTTCTGAGCGTCTGCTGCACGATTCAACATGCGCTTTGCACGATGACCGAGCGCGTGCTGACCTGACCCTTGGTATCCATCTGAAGATCAATGTCATCTCGGACGCTGGTGCCATGACAGAAGGCCTCAAGCAGGCTTTTGCCATCGCAGCTGGGGACGTTGCAGGGGAGCAGGCCTTCGGGTACTGATCCCGCCGCTGGCAAGGTCAGAAAAGAGATTGTATTGTAAATGATACCAAGTATACCTTTTTGCACTATCGTGATATACAGGAAGATTGTGCTATTGTCAGAACTCCATGATATTAACCCCCTCGTGCTGGATGTGTTACTGTGTCATCAGCGTGGTCTTAAGCCTCATGTGATTTCACCACTCTGAGGACACTGGTGAGCTGCGAAACGAGCTTTGAAGGTACAAGAAAGTGCTAGTAGAGCGGCCCTGACCGTCGCAGAAGTGGGCACGGCGCCAGCAAGCTTTCGTACCGTTGTGAAATCCGCCCACTGACGAAAAAGTGCGAGGGCCTTGTCAACACAGATCTCATGAACAGTGTGTTTCCACTCACACAAGTATGCCAACGCAACACGCGGTCAGCTATGTATTACCGAAAACACGAGGTTACAGCGATATCGGACTGACGGAGAGTAGTACACTACGACCATCATGCGTGACAATTGCCGCACCTCTTAGCTCAAGTAAGTATGTTAACCAACCGAACGATTTGCATCCACCTGTACTTCTGATATCGAATGTGCTACAGTGGGTCTGTAAGCCTGAAAGCTCACGGTACTGCAGCTTTTCGGAACCCATACCTCCTGGACCCAACCTAGTAGCCTCGCTCCCAATACAATGCCATTGCATCGCTAATCCCGGGCACACCGCGCATCGCATCAACGCCCAGTGGTGCGTAGCCGGATAATTTCACCGACGCACACCACACTGCAAGCATGGAAGGTACCCTAGACCTGCAGTCGGAAGATTTGAAGTACGTGCGCAAGAAAGATTGACCAAGGAGCGTCAACGGCGGTATGGCCAGCCCAGCACATTGTTCAAATGAGGCGGGATTTGCATCATCAAATGTCGATGCGGCGGCGGAGTAATTTTGGATGAGAATCTTCCGGGGCGTCTTCTCGTGACTAAGATCTCTGACTGTCTCGCGTGGAATACACAAGGTGGCACTCAATTATTGGAGGAGTTCAGACATACCGATTCGATGAGCTGGACACCCAAGCTCTTCCCAGCGAATATTGGGATCGAGAGAACTAATCACCGGAATAAGGGGGAGTGGAGAGTCCTTGTAACCAGCAGAAAGCAAGACTTCATAAGCAGTTTCGAGCTGGTCATCAGGAACAAGTAAATGCATATGCTGGATCAAGTTTCGGGTCAGACCGATGCGCTGGTGGCATAGGATATACCATCGACTCACGTTAGGACTGATTGGGACGCCATAGTACAACATTGCCCATTCGCCCCATAAGATAATCGGACCTATACCAGACTGAGCGAGCACACCAGTAAGGTATGCTGAGACATCCTGGCGGAGCTGGTCTGTAAATATGTCTCCAACGGTCTGAGTAGGCGTCAGCAGTTTCGTGGAGTGGCCCATTGAGATGATAAGTTGAGTTCAGTCTTAGCCTGTATCACAGCACAACGCCAGAGATTTTGGACGTGGGAAAATGTCAGCGGTTCCCAGATTTTCCACGATTCTCCGTAGGTTATGACGATTGTGAAGCCTCCGAGTAATTCCTACATGCAGAACCTTAGAAAATATAGATTTTCTATCATCATGCTTTCCGAATATCGAGACTTAGACAAAATAAGACTCTTGTCAATTAGCGCCCACTGGCACAGTCACGTTCTGAGTCGCGTCGCACCTTCTCGCGTCGCCACCACCTGACTACATGCGCTTCAATCGCCTATATTTCTCTGCGAAAAGGGCTACACAAGTATCTACCAAGTCTTCCCTGGGTGCTCGGGTCTCGGTCTAAAGGACAACACTCACTGATGTCTACAGCTGTTCGCATACAATGTCGCTGTGCTCGCGCTGTATCATACTTTGGATCGTGTCACTCGGATTCCTTGGGCATGTTGGTATGCTTACGGATGCGCACCTGAAGCTTCTATAACATATGTAAGCCCATGCCTTCGTTACTCAGAACTGCAGACAGTATGTGTTGACTTCTTCGCTGTAACGGGCATGTCTTTCACAGCGCCATTTCCACCGGCCTCTGCGGAATCATTATCCTCGTACGCCATTGCATTCATATCCCGCTGAACCGTTACTGAACGACCACGTGCACCGATCAGCTTTTCATCACGAAGAGCTTTTTGCAGTGCACGGAATTTCTTCTTCACGCTCTCCTCAGCATCAGATATGAAAAGATCTCGAATGGGCTTGGCCGCGCCAGGTACGAGTTCTGCGCCTGCAGCTCTGATGCCAAGTCTTGCAGTCCGCCAATGAGCCTGGCCTGTTTATCGAGCCGATCAATTGCGGTCTCGAGGCACTTTTCGTACGTCTCTGCAACTGTCTTGAAGCTCTCCATCTCCATCCTCAACAGCTCTTTTTCACCCTCCAGAACTTCGATGCGCATCTGGTGATCAGACACCTGCGCCACAAGCATCACCGTCTTCTGTTTCTTTGCATTCTCAGTGCTGTTCATTTCCGCCATGGCAAGAAAGTGAGGTCCTAGTACCGTGAAGGTTGAAGGCGCATATGAGGCCGAGCAGTGGATGCAGATTCCGATGCTCGGGATGCAGTCTCTCTCTGCGCGCTTCTCGTTCATCAGCTGTACAATGCGAGCGTGCGCGGATATGTGATTATTTCATTAATCTATCCTAATACATCATTTCGGTGCATGCATTACTGCTTTTCATACTGCGGGAGACTGTTATATGGGCGGACAAGGGTAGGGATGGTAAGGAGGAGGCGAGGGAAGGCAGGGTGGCACCCAGTGCGGCCGGTGAGAATATGGTAAAATGTGAGCAGAAATGCTCAGTAGAATGATGGAACAATGCTGCAAAAACGTGTAATCGGAGGTAGATTCTCTGCACGGGGTATTTAAGGCACAATGTTGGGGAAATGTTCTAAAATCTGACATTTCTCTAACAATCTGTCGGTGTCAGAATCCGGAGCGTTGTGCTGTGTATACGTACGTAGTCTCTCCAACTTGACTCTAAGTGCAAGGAAACAAGAATGGAAGCATCCAGTGGTCACCGCACGTGACACATTTCACCTCCCAGCCAAACAACGCGTCAATACGTTCGACTGACGCGTCGATGAACGTTTGAACTTCGTAGCGAATTCTGTGACGGTTGCTTAATCTATGCATTCGCACTGCAAATCTAAATCTCGACATTCAGCACACACACGCTTCCCTTGGATCCGTCACGCGTTTCAATATATGGAGACACTATGATTTCATGAAATTTCTGGATCTTCTCGTACTTTACTCTCTGCAGATCAATATCTATGGTGAGACACCTGGAGTTCTTCGAGTCCTGAGGAAACAACGATAGCGGGGAAAAGGAGAATATCAGAATCTTTCTACGTCCGGCCGAATTGCCCCTTCCATTTCTCATCCTGCTCGACAGGTCTTGGAGCCTTCATTTCGATACGTCTATTGAGAAACCCCTGCAACCTCCCTTCGATATCTCTGCAAAGAATGCTCAATTTCCCGGGGTCCACTGCAGCGCGCCCCGGCGGTGGGCGTTGTCGTCGCCGCAGATGCGGGCAGCGTCCAACGGCGTACTAACGCACCGAACTCCCGACGCGCAGGGCGTTAGACGATGCTGAGAATACCTCTGACGTGGTGCTCGAGATTGGACACTGGCGCAGCCGCGGATTATAGGCTGTCGTTGGGTCGAAGCGGCGGCGTGTGACCTCGCAGAAATTTACTTTTACACTGCAATTATTGGTGATTGTTGGTGCGTTATTAGCAACTCGCTGTTGTGCATACCTTTATTTCGCTTCTGTCCAATTCCACGTGACTGCGAATCCTCCATGCCAGTTGTCGTCCCCAGCGGCATAAGAGTAAAAACGTGAAGTAATTATCTTGAGTGCCCGAACCGCAGAATTTCTGGGAGACAGTATTGATTAAAAGTTGGAATAAACCATCTTCAATACACGGAATTTGGACGGTGACCTGGCCGTCAATATTTGATCGAAAGCCTTGGCGGACAACATCGCCATGTCAGCCTCAACCGCAGACAAAGTGCAAAGAATTTGGTCGCTCTTCCTCTTGCATCCACGGTCACACGACTCGGTCAACCCACAAGTCAAACCGCCTCGTAGTCAGCAAAATTCCGGAAGCCGAAACCGCACCAGAACTCACGATGGCCAACTCGAAACACTTTACCCCTGGTAAGAATTACGTTCTACGATGCCGCTGGCCACTGAACACTCACTCCAGCTGTGATCGCCGGTCTCGTCCTCGTTAGCCTCACCTTACTTACCATGCTGGTCGCGACCGGCGTCTTCCTCTGGCGCACGCGCCTCACACAAACAATCCCAGCACCCGTCGCAAAGTTCGGAAGGGAGCTTGATATTGAGGAGAGAACCACTGGAGGCACGGACGAGAAGGAGGGGGTCGACACCCCGAATGTGGCGGGCAAGAATATCAGAAACGGCGGGGCGATCCTGGACGTGATCTTACCCTCGGAGATGCCGCGACTATTCAGGGTGGCGGCTCGGGGCGGAGGGAGTGTTGGAGTGGAGGTATGCGTGACGCCGCCCACACCGGTTGGAGTGCTGAATGCGTCCGGGTCCCCCGAGCGGCGCGTACGATTCGAGACAGTACCGGTGTCACAGAGCGAAGCGACCGCTGTCTGGTTCTTCTTGTAGGGTATGGGGCGCTCGGTTGGGTTATATTTTCTTTTGGCTTGCTTGGGTGTGGTTACGATTAATTGTCCGTCTTTTGCGTCTTGATTCTCCTCCTGGCGAGTATGTGATAAGCGGCTGCGAAGCAACTGCGAGATATGAGGAATTGCATGCTAGTTTTCAGGTTTGAAATGCTCCTGCATCCAAGAGCTAACTTGAAGGGCTGAATCATGGACAGAGGTGCGACTACACCCCGTAATGGATATTACGGGAATATGGGTGCCGTACACGCCTCTTCTACTCGCCTATGACATGTATACATTTTTACTTGACGATCCAGAATTCATGCGCCCTGTCCGCAAGAACATTAATCCTGGCAGAGTGTAAAGTCAGTTGTAATGGTAGATTCTGGTTCATGGTTCAAGATGAAAAGGTCTGGAAACCGTTGCATTCCAATAGAGCATAGCACGCACGGACTATCTGTCCGAGTGTAGTCATGAAGGAATCCCCAAAAGCGAACCTGGTGTTCATCATTAGTAGATGGAGCTCATGATACCTAGAATTATTTCACAATGCAGCGGAGCGAACATACGCTGTCATGGACGTGATCAAGCAATGTTTGCACCCGCCAAATGTTTTCTCGATTTTTCGAAACTTCTGAGATTTATCGGGAATTCCGTCCTGAACGATGCATGCGTCGCAAGTTGGACTCGCAACAGCTGAGTGCTGAACAGTTGCTTGAAATAGTACAGTATCATTTTCTTCGACTTACCTGTGAGTTGCACACAGCCGATCTATCAGTCCTATGTATATGTGCGCGTTTTTGCCCTCGGCATGTCCAAACTCCGCAGTTTCCATTTGGTTTCCATGGGTAACTTCTCAGAGGCCGTTACGCAGCCTCCATAGAGGAACGACTCTTTCTTCCCGACTACTACTTAGAGGCTGGTTCACGAGCTTACGTGGTATACTGTGATAACGTCTCACCAATCATCAACGGTGCTTGTGTGTGGCCTATCGTCTGCAAACGTGAGTCGATCAGACCAGGGCTGATGTACGACCCATTCTAATCGCGTGGTAGAAAGGGAAGCGACCTTCAAGTGCACTGAACTAGACTGCGACAGGAGCGTAGTGACAACTCTAACGCGTGTCTGCGTCAATTTGCGAAGCAGGTAATGAATCTCTCAAATAATCCACTGCCAACAGCGTTGCCAGTGATCGATTACTGACTACTCTGTGCAGAGCTTCACGATGGCAAAATTCTATGATTTAGATGACGACATCCTCCTTATTATTCTTTCTCTCATCTCACAGCGTGACGCACTGCGACTCGCGTCGACATGTCACTTCGGCTACAATATCGCCCTGCCCCGTTTTCTTTCCAAGGTAGATATTCAGTATTCCATGCGGAAGTCGCACAAAGTTGCCGGGTTTTGCAAGTTCATGCTGGCTGATGCGCCCCGTCGGTTGCCGTATCTTCGCGAATTCTCCCTCGCAGATGGTTGTCCTTACTTTCCGCAACCCTTTAACCATTCTATCGATCCCGAAAGCGTGGCTCTGTTGGTGCAGGTGCTGCGTCGAGCTACTGAGATCAAGAAACTCACTATCGGCAACGAAGACGACTTATTGATGAATCATCCGGAGCTTCTCGATGCGTTGGCTGCACTTCCTCATCTCCAGACCATTCGCTTGGAGTACTGTGGTTGGCCATCATTGACCCTCTTGTCTCGCAGCATCAGTTGTCCTCACACACTAGACATCTTCGACTGCAATCTGGGTGGCTCTGAGGGCGATGACGACCTTCCTATCGCTCAGAACATTGTCACATCTGTCAGAAATATGAAAGTGCAACTCTCACATCTGGGCATTGACGACGATCTCGAGGAGGATGGTCTTGAGTTTGTACCAACTCGATTGTTGACCCGTACCGTTTGGTCATCCGTTCGTGCGCTGAACCTCAGCGAATGTTCCGACATGAGCGACATCGCCCGTGCTTTCCCGAACTTACATAACCTCACATACTCTAATACCGACCCTCGCCCAGTGGACCATGACCCCTTAGTCAAATGGTCCAATCTTGACAGTGTCATGGCAAGGTGCCGCGTGCCCCTAGCATCGCGTGTGCGCAGGCTCGTGCTACGGTACACATGTCCGCCGGAGGCCGAGTTCCTAACGCTGCTGCAACGCTGCACACCCACTATCCTGTCCTTCAATGCTAGTCTTGTCTATGCATCCTATTGCGAAGGCGTGCAGGGACTCATGACACGAGCAGTGCGGTCCAATTTGAGATACCTCGAACTGTACACCTTCTGGCATGAAAGGAATCCGGACCAAATCGTCCAAAGTGAAATAGTTCCGGGTATTGTGAGTGCGATCTTCCACGACCTGGTGAATTCAAATTTTCTGACAAACGAGCAAGATAAGTTACGTGGGGATGTTTTCCCAAGTTCCGCTTACCGGAATAGCAATCACGTATTACAAGCCGCTAAGTCTCGAGGTGGATGGCTTGATGGGCTTGGCGAAGAAGATCGCGGCGCTGATACCTACACTAGCGTATGTGGGATTGGATCTCTCTGAACGCAAGTCAAGCCTCCATCCGATTGCGTTTAAATGGTACTCCGTGACATCCAGAGCAGGAGAGTCCCCGGAGTTAGAACAGCTCTCCGAGGTCGAAGGACGGAGGATCGAGGTCGAACTGAACGATATTGACCATATTTGATGGCATTCCAAGGCTATGAGGCAAGTCTGCACCTTTGTCCTCCGTGTATCTGAACTGAACATGTAAACGATAGTTGACGCACCCCCAGACTGCAGTTTTTAGATGCAGATGTCTTGAATTCTTCCTAATTGGGGGATACCTGGAGATGCGGTGCGCGGATGCGCAAGTTGGTCAGGACAAAAGACGGCGAGATGGGCAGCCAAGCGTGATTGAGCGGTCGAAAAAAAACACATACCGAGGTAGCTAAGATCATGACGTGAATTTGTCCTTAATTCCCAACCTTGAAACACTCCCCAAAATCTCTGTAGAACTAATAGACTGACCGTGGACTATCGCGCAGGTACACGTAAAAGGATTTGTATCAGGGCAAATGGTTACAGTGTACAACCTGTCCGAGTCGGAACAATGCTTGTATGCGACACGTTCACAATATTATTTGGACATGGTGAAAGTTGTTTTGTTCTCACCTCTGTTGATTCTATGTAACAGGCCTAGGAAACGGCTTGAACCGACTGATGTGATGTCCTGCGCACACGCCTGAACTTCAACTTCGGCACAACAGAAGACAACCGAAGACAAGGGATCGACAGCAGCAAGTCAGAAACCGGCTAGCAGCGACACGCGGGAAAAGCACCACTCGTGGAAAGCTGATTGACGGATCGCGAGGCCCCGTATTCAATGACGCGTTTATGCGTTGCTGCACGAACGCACACGTCAGGCAGCTTGTAGCACTTGTGTTAATAGAGAAAAGAAAATTTTCGCGAGCATTTGTACGCAGAACATTTGGAAGTCGTCGGTCAGTGGAAGAATACCAGGCGGCAGAGGCGAACTGCGGTACTTGAGACTAGCAGGATTGTTCGCTGATCACGGATCGAAAAAAAGGTGCATATATGCGCAGCTGGGAGCAACTTTGGAGAGTCCCACTGAGTATATGAAGCACCCGCCGGACAAGAGGATTGGCGGACATCCTGAACGCGTCCAAGTCATTTTGAACAATCGCCTATAAATAAGGATCAGCTGCTACGTCGTATCAATGCTTTCTCAATGCGAGAATTATTCTCACCCAACGGCAGTGTCCGACCTCGAGTCGAATTCGACAGAGTCCCTTTCGGCGAAGCACGCGTCTTCTGGCCCCCACTGGCAGCAAGTCGACATCATAATTAACGGATCGCAAGGGCCCTTATTTAACGACGCGTTTACGCGTCGGCTTGCGAATGGAGAAGTGACTTTTCGCCGATACTGGAGCTCCGCGTCTGAACGCAGAATAGGGCGACACGTTTCGAAGCCGATAACCAGCGCAACGTTGCAGGCTTGCAGAGGCGGTCTGCGGTACGAAAACTTGAGACGCGCAGGACTGGCAGATCATAAATCGAGAAAAAAGTGCATATATGCGCGCAGCAGGGAGTAACCCTGAAGACTGGGAGTTCCCTAGGATACAAACCTGCTAGATGAGAGAGTCGCCGGATATCTAACACGTCGAAACCACTTTGGAAGACGACCTAGGTAGATCAGCTGCTACGTCGTGTCGATGTCAGAACGTCGAAACGCGAGAATTTATTCTCACCCAACCGCGGTGTCCACAGTCTGAGTCCCTTGTCTCCTAGGCAGCCCGTAAATGGCGACCTTGTCGAGAGGGAGAGGACGATCACGATACGGTTTATCTCCTGAAGGCCTTATCCCCAGTGAGTCGACATGAGTTACGCGCCAAGTTCCAACGTGCACGGCCGTTCCGAATTATGATTGGCAGCGATTGCGCACCACCACGTAGCGGTGGAAACGCAGCGGTGCTCGTTCGTCGCGACTGGCACGTCGCGGTACGTATCCGGGAACAGGACCCTGCATCATGGCTATCAACGTTCAGCCGCCACAGGCGTTTGGACGCGTTTGCCCAACGTTTGCCCGCTTGCTCACGAGGGAAACATGGGAACTCGGGATGCCGCCACGACCGAAGACTATAGTGGTCGCTTCCATAGCGCCATAAGTACGAGCCTGAGCTTCATGGATGTGTTTACATGGAAGGGTTGCCGCAGCAATGGCCAGTGGGCGTACAGCTAGCTGAAGCGCGCAAGCGTCGCACGGGCCGGCAGACGCCGCAACTAGAGAAAACTCAGGCACGGACAGATATTTATCGGATTCAACTCGGCGAACCAAGAAACAGTATATATTTGATACAGATGCAACCTCAGTCCTCAAACGCCCCAGGCCTCAGCATCTATCAGCTCGCGCGACGCGCTCAGAACTTGACCTTGCTGACGACGCCGTAGAACTGCCCGCCCTGGGCCTTGGCGAGCTCGAGCTCGAGTGCGCTAGGCTGGCGGGAGCCGTCGGTGCCGGCGAACGTGCCTGCACCCCAAGGGGAGCCTGTGAGGACGATGTTAGCGATGCCCACGCGTACATTGAAATTTAAAGGGGGGTGTAAATATAGCCTTGCGTTCGATGTATGCGTGGGTATATATGCACATACGCAGCGCAAGCGAAGGGGTGTGAAAGAAAGACAAAAAGTGGAAGCTCCGGCAGCGGAAGAACGAAGGACGAGAAGGCAAGAAGCAGAAACTCACCACCGCGGACTTCAGTCAAGTTCGCGAGCAGCGGGAAGGTCTTGCTGTAGCCGAGAGGCACGTAGATGATGCCGTGGTGGGTCAGCGTCGAAAGCGCGGAGATGACGGTTGTCTCTTGGCCTCCGCCGGGGGTGCCGGTGGACACAAAGAAGCCGGCGTACTTGCCGGCGAGCGCACCCTGCGCCCAGAGCGCGCCGGTGGCATCCCAGAACGCCTGTGGGGGATGACGTCACAGTCAGTGTCCGTCGACCGGAAATGATGAACGATGGAGGCGAAAGGAGAGGGAGGGACGAGGAGGAACGGAGCGGGCCTACCTTCCACTGAGTGGGGAAGTTACCGTAACGGGTGGGGACACCGAGCAGGAACGCGTCGAACTTGGTGAGGTCGTTGGGTTCAAATATGGGGTAGTCGGGCTTCGGGGGCGCGTGCATAAGTTTGAGGATGTCCTCCGGCAGAGTCTCGGAAATTCTACGAGCAGTGAGCACGAGTGGAGTGGACGTAGAAATGTGGAGAAACGCACTGGTAGATGGTAGCGGAACCACCTGAGGCCTCGATACCGCCTTTCACAGATTCTGCCACTGAAGTAAACGGTCAGCGGGATGGAAGTGTGTGCGCAGGAGATGAGAGCGTACACTTGGCGATGTGGCCGTACATGGTGTAGATAACGATGGCAATGCTAGGCTTAGACATGGCTGGCTCGGTGGTGGCTGCGGTAGAGGATTGGGGAGGAGGAGTGGGCTCGGCTTCAGGCTTTATAGCGGGAGCTGAGGATTTGGAGGTGTTTGGGACCCTATCGTCTTCGGAGAGGTTCGCTTGCTGTTTCTTTGTCGGGAAACACATCCACTGGGTTGATGGGAGAGAGGGCGCGGTGGACGGGGGACTTTATAATCGATTGAGCGCCTACGGACTAGGGGCAGTAAGGCCAGGGCCGCGTTCTGGAAGGACGGCATGGCGAGCAACCGTCGCCGCACCCTGCACTCGCTCGTGAGACGTCCGAGCTCGTTATGGCCTTCCACATCACTCTTACCCAACACGTCCCTGCACCGCGCGCACCTCACTCGGGTATCCGCACGGCTAAGCAAGCGGCGTTGGAGAGGCTCGACTAATCGACCGCGATGCTGACGGCGGGAGTTGTCTGCCTCTTTCGGAAGTGATGATGCGCTCTTGTCCAAATCGGGCACAACTTGTCCGCGCTAGTGCTTAGTCAGCTCAGGACCCACATCTGTTCCGGCACCCTCGCCCTCGTCGTCTCCGTTCCTTCTCCATCTGGCCCTTCGCTCTCACCCCGGCGTCCAACTTTCTCCCCATTCTTGTCTTCATCGTGCCACCCGAGCCACCGGATTTGTTCGCTGTCCAAGGCCCCCTACAACCCCCACGACGCTTACGTCAGTCATCTGACTTCCGTCAACCTGAACTCTAGATAAGTAACTACGCGCTTTATACGCGTTTCACCTCTACAATCGCGTCAATTATCGTGTGCATCGGCCATCCCCATCCCGCGATCGCGTCCCCTCATCCTCCTGACCGAGCTGCGCGACTTGACTGGGAACCAGCCAGTCATCGCTGACGAAGCCCAAAAAGGCATTCGAGATGCCTAATCCATGACATCTCGCGATGACCGTTCTCGTCGATGCGGATCTAATTATAGCATCTGCTTTGCTCAGCATCAGCCAGATCGATGCGCGCCAAGTCATGATTTTATCATCCACTTTACTCATCCTGCACATCTCCAAGTTTTCAACCATACCTCGAGGGCGAGAGTACTAGTGACACTGCAGTTGCCATTAATATTCGGAGCAACCGCCAACTGTAGGTGCTCTCGGACATGCACGCTCGACGACCCTCAGCCGCCAGGTGTGTGCAGCGGAAAACTCTAGTGCTGCCCATGCAGGTCGCGGGAAGAGTCTGGCCGCGGGAGACCTTGTTCGTCTCAAGCCTTGGCGTCCATTTTACGAAACCGTTCTAGACAATAATGACACAGGTTCTCCGAAGGTAATTCAATCTCTTTGAGTACCTTGACGGCGATCTGACGATCTCAACACCCCCTCTCCTCCAGCTCGACATTCTGACCATCTCAGATGCCTAGCTGAATGAGCGCCCCCGGCTCGTCGGGTCCTCTCCACTCTGTTCAGACGCTCTGAATTAGGTTTGAAACCTGCTGAATTTCTACTTCTTCTCTTTTGTGACTAAATTTACGGCACTGCTGCGGAAGTTTCGCTCTTATAAATTGCCACAGTCTGTGGCGTCAAATTTTGCGGCCGCCGGTCTATGGATATCTCTGCTCAGGGCGCCACACTATTTATCTACGTTCTCTGGGCTTCGGCTGCGAATTCGAGATGCGAATTCGCTGGCGGAAATTCTCACGTCAGTGGTTCTGCGTTGTCGACGAATTGGTGCCGCGGAAAACCCACTGGATAATGGTGCACTCCCGACGAAGCGGTGCGCATTCGAATGATACGGACGAGGACTGACCGGGAGCATTTTTCTCTCCGCCAGCTGTCCCATATTTCGTATCGTCTCAACAGCGTGGGCTTCCACAAGTGGGGTCTGGTACTCTGCTGCGGAATACTGGGTCGCAGGGCCCGGAGGGGCGCTGACTGTCGTTGCAGTAGTCTATGTACGGGTTCTCGCTGATACAATTGAAGTCAGTTGTCTCATGCTATGCGCATGTTCCATGATCGGCGCGAGGAGAATACTAGGCTCTGGCTTGCAGACATGCGTCCTGGGTATGATATCGTCATAAGACGAGTCTGCTTTCCGAGGAAGATTGCTTGGTCCGCATCGTGTAGCTGAGCACCATAAATATTTGTGAAAAATGGAATTCACAATGCACCGCCACCGTAATCTCAAGGCCATCGCGATGTTTCTGGAGCACAGCTGCTCACTGCAACTATTTTTTTTTGACCCAAGCGCGGAGGCAATGCGATACTGCTGTAGGTCAAGTTTTGAGTGAGACGTTCGCCAACTACTGGAGCTACCGACCACGCATGGAATTTTGATGGTATGGTAATGTTCAGTATGTACCGCTGCAACCATCGAGTTAATTGATAGTCAGGGAGCTCACTAAACTCTGCCCTCGGTACTTCTCGCTCCGCCGGTGTCGTAGTAAGAGAGTGTCTTTGGACTCCTCTTTGCTTCGTACTTCCATCTCAGGCAATTCTCCCACGGTCCTGGCCCAATAGGAGTAGGCCACCCGTGCGGTTCTTCTGGTACTACAGAGCGCCCATAAGTGCTTCCCAGAATTAAAACAGTACATACCTGAGTCGAAAACAATGAACACGAGCCATAGGCTCGCTGAAAAGCCCGCGCCAAACTCGAGCGCGAGCTCTAGCAGGCCGGCAACCCGCTCTAAGTCAGACCCCTTCGCGAACAAGAACTCCACCCTAACGGATTGGCTGAGTACTTTCACCCACGGTATTGATACATCTGACAAAGCTCTGATATTTCTATGCAACAACGAATACGCAACTACGGGAAGAGCCGCGGAAATGAGAACGCTAACGCGAGCGCTTGCCCGGCTCGCTCCTCGGACACCAAACTAATGCAGTCCCTCGTCGCACTAGCCTGGTACTCGGAACTGATTGTCCAAGAGCACAGTGCAGTCAAGGCCATGTCGAGCATCTGCTCTCGCCTTGAGCAATACCAGGTAAAACTGGAAAAGACAGCTGAAGCAGCTACAGAGGCACATGCACAGGTCAAACTCGGGACGGACAGACTATCTAACCTCTCGCAACAGCTAGAACAGGATGCCGCCAATATCAGGGAGACCCACCTAGGTCTACGGACCATCTCCGACAATTTCGACAGCATAGTTGCCGACGCCGGACAGTCCATGAGGGAGGCCGCTGAGACCTTCATTGAAGCACACAAGCCCGACCACACTCCGCAGGTAAGCAACATTTCCCAACCCGCATCACTGACCTATGCCGCAGCAGCCAGCCAAGCCCTCCCCGCCACGCATGCACAGACCTTAGCCAGAGAAAAAACCCGTGCCTGCCAGGTCATCGTTGACGGAGCTACTTGTAAGCACGCTGACAGCACAGGCCTGAACGAGGACGAACTCCTCGCCAAGGCAAACACTGCGACCGACCTAATGGGAGTGGCGCGGTCAGATGCCCCCCCGGACTTCAAATTTAAATCAGTCAACTGCATGCGCAACGGAGGAATTGCTTACACCTTAGACAGCCCAGAATCAGCTAAGTGGCTTCGTACTCCCGACGTGATGAAAAGCTTCTTAGAACACTTTGGTGACCAGGCCTCCCGCGTGAAGGCGCACATGTACTCGGTCCTCATCGAGTTTGTCCCTGTAGCTTGCAACCCAGACAACAGTGGCTACCTCCGGGTCATTGAGGGCTCCAACAACCTCAACCCGAACGTGATAGAAGAAGCCCGCTGGATTAAACCCCCAGAATGCAGAGTGAAGGGTCAAAAAGTCGCTCACCTCATCGTACGCTTCAATAATCCGAAGGCCGCTAACCGCGCTATATGCAACGGTCTCGTTATAGCCAGTAAGCAGGTCTCGGCGAGAAAGCTAATCCGAGAGCCCCGCCGCTGCCTGAAGTGTCAGCAGATCGGAGTCCCACACCTAGCTAGTGACTGCAAACAGATCCACGACACCTGCGGGAACTGTGCCTCAATCTCCCACAGGACCTCTGCGTGCGAGGCAGACCCTACAGACTTCAGATGCAGCAACTGTATCCGGGCAGGACGTGTGAATGCGGATCATGCAGCTTGGGACTGTGACTGTCCGGTTTTCCTGGAGCACTGTTGCCGCATGGAAGAACGCCAACCAGAGGCGAAGTACCGCTTCTTCCCCACTGAAGACCCATCTACCTGGGAACTAACAGGACAGCCACTGATGCCAGCCGCTCCCCCCTACCGCCGCATCCCTACGCCCGAGCGTAAGGAGCCACCATTGCAGAACTGGGCAGATGAGGCAGATAACCTCTACCCACAACCCAACCTTTTCCCTCGCCCATCACAGGCCCGCCGGGCCAGCGAAGCAAGAAGCTCCCAGAATGCATCACAGCCACGGCCCCAACTCCACCAGACATTCATACACCGCTCGGGCTCCCGGGCATCATTCAAGATCTCATATGGCAGAGATTCCCCCGTAGGCTTCCATGTCTAGTACACCAACGCACGACAACTTTACACTGCGAATACTACAGCTGAACCTGAACAAGTCGCTCACAGCACAATCAGCCTTCATCAATTCCTTTTCCACCTCCGACTTCGACATCGTTCTCTTACAGGAACCATACCTCGATCCCCGCACCTCCCTCACTCGTGCTACATCACACTGGATAGTGGTATATCCCCATACCCACTACTCTGAAGCTAGAGAACGCACACGCTCCGTCATCTTTGTCAGCAAGCGGATCTCAGGAGAAACCTGATCACAGGTTAAGGTCGACTCCCCGGACATTACTGCCATCTCCCTGCGCACTGTGTCCGGCCCACTACACATCTTCAACATCTACAATGACCAACATCACCAGGACTCCATCAATCTACTCGCGCAAGCCACCATGCAACTCGCACAACCAGGAGAAGCGGAAGCGAACGTAATATGGGCAGGAGATTTCAACCGACATCACCCCATGTGGGACGAGGAACGGAACCATCACCTTTTCACCCAGGAAGCTCTGACGATGGCCCAGCCCCTTCTCGACAACATTGCAGCCTTTGACCTCACAATGCTCCTCGCCCACAGCACACCAACGCTGGAAGCATCACTTACAAAGAACTACACGCGCCCTGACAACATCTTCACCTCCTCAGACACGGCCAGCCAGCTCTTGTCATGTGACACCATCCCCACACTCCACCCTCCATTCACCGACCACATTCCCATCTCACTTACACTGGACGTCTCCACACACACAATGCAGGAGGGCCCACGTCGGAACTTCTGCGAGGTTGATTGGGAGGATTTTCGCTCGTGCTTGAAGAGCAACCTGAGCTCCCGCATGCTTGGGGAAGGGGAGATCTCTACTCCAGAGCAGTTCAACACTGTCCTGAAGAACTTGACAGATGCCATCACTGCGACGATTGAAGAAAAGGTCCCACTCTCGAAACCAATGCCGTTCACAAAGCGTTGGTGGTCCAAAGACCTCACCAAGTCTCAGAAATGTGTACAACGCCTTGCACGAACCTCCCACAAATTCCAGCACATTGCAGACCACCCATCGCACACGGAATACCGCAAGACATGCAACCGATATGGTGAGGAGATCAAGTCTGCCAAACAAGACCACTGGGAGGCGTGGCTGGAGTCTGCAGACCCAGACTCTATCTGGACGATCAACCGATTCACTTCAGCAGGACCGACAGATGGTAGCCGACCGCGAGTGCCCCCACTGAGGGAAGGTGGTGAGCCACCTGTAGATGACAACGCAGCCAAGAGCGCAATTCTGTACAAGACCTTCTTTCCACCCCCGGGTCCCCCACCGACCATACCCAATGGCCACAGATATGGACGCCCTGCATTCCGCTTCTCCCCTATCACAGATGCACAGATCGAGGCCGTTATCAAGAAGCTGCGTGATCACAGGGCACCGGGGCCGGACGGCGCTCCTAATAAGGTATACAGACACTGCATAGCCTTACTCCTTCCACATCTAGGTCATCTCTTCCATGGAACCTTCAACCTGCAGGTCTACCCTACTGAATGGAAGACATCGAACACAGTGGCCCTACGGAAGCCTGGCCGCCCAGACTACTCCGTAGCCAAATCCTACCATCCTATCATGCTCCTTAACTGCATCGGTAAGATCCTATCTGCGTGTGTTGCTAACATCCTTGTCTACGAATCAGAAGCACACAACCTCCTTGCCCGCAACCACTTCGGAGGTCGCCCAGGCCGACACACCACAGACTCTCTCCACCTGCTGGTCAAATCTGTCAAGGATGCGTGGAGACAAGGGAAAGTAGTTTTCATCCTCTTCCTGGACGTCAAAGCTGCCTTCCCCAGCGCAAGCCTAGACCGCCTTTTCCACAATATGTGCAGGCGGGGAGTCCCCGTAGAGATTGTCAATTGGCTCCGCAGGCGCCTCGAAGGCTGACACACCAGAATTCTCTTCGACGACTTCAAATCGGCACTCTTCGAGATCCTCAGTGACATAGACCAAGGCTGCCCCCTCTCCGTCATCCTTTATGAGTTCTACAACTCTGATCTCTTTGAGATCGCCTACAGGGTCCCCCACTCACTAGTGCTTGGTTACATTGACGATGCAGCGATCATTGCCACAGGAAAGGACTACACAGAAACACACGCTACGCTCTGCAGCTACATGAATGGTCGTAACGGCGCGATGACATGGTCTAACACCCACCAGTCGGAATTCTCACTCGACAAGTTCGGCCTCCTCAACATGTCTGCAACATCGCACGACCCGGGCCAGTCACTCCGACTCTGTGCGGCAACAATCGAACCTGCAGAGTCGCACAAATTCCTGGGCATCATCATCGACCGCCGCCTCCGATTCCACGAACAACATGCAGGGGCACTAGCGAAAGGCACCGCCTGGATACAGCAGTTCCGACGTCTTGCCAGAGCCTCTGGTGGCATACCCTTCTCACACATGCGACACCTCTACCTTAGCATAGCGGTTCCACGCTTACTATATGCAGCAGACGTGTTTCTCACCCCCATCAGAAAAGTCCCAGGCCGAAAGACGATGTACGGATCTGTCGGTGCGATCAAGCTGATGTCACGAGTGCAACGCCAAGCTGCTCTCCTTATCACAGGTGCAATGAGAATGACGGCGAGCGACATGCTGGACACACATGCCAACCTCCTTCCATTCCCACTCCTGGTCGACAAGCACTGCCACCGCGCAGCTGTCCATCTGTGCACTCTCCCTCCGGAACACCCGCTACATGTGCATGTGAAGACAGCAAGCACACGCTTTGTCAAGCACCACCAGTCCCCAATCCATGAACTCCTCCATGCCTACCAACTACAGCCGGACACCATCGAGACGATCTCCCCGGCCCGCTTCCCGCCAGCATGGTCTCCCCCCTTCCAAGTCTCCATCGCTGGCAGCAAAGATGATGCCCTGAAGGACGAAGCCCGATGGGCAGGAAAACAAGGCATCCATGTCTACTCAGATGGATCGGACATTGACGGGAGAGTCGGAGCGGCCGCCGTGCTGTACAGACGAGACCGTGCGGCCCCCAAGACCCTGCGTTTCTACCTCGGAAAGTCCACAGAGCACACAGTATACGAAGCAGAGGACGTCGGCCTCATCCTGGCCGTCAAGCTACTCCACAACGAGTTCATTGTCTACACTGCCTCGTGTGCAGCAGACAATAAGGCAGCAGTACGAGCAACTCAACTACGACGCCCCGCCCCCAGTCACTACCTCCTTGACATGCTGCACGAGGACATCAAACGACTCATCTGAAAACACAAGATCAGCCGAAAGGACCTCACGATCCGTTGGGTACCTGGTCACAAAGATGTCCTTGGGAATGACCGAGCAGATGCCGAAGCCAAGAAAGCTGCCCATGGAGACTCCAGCCCGGTTGCAAAGCTGCCCGAAAGCTTACGCTCCCCACTCCCACTCAGCACGTCTAAGCTCAAGCAATGCCATCTCGAACTCCTGAAGTCCCAAGCCGCTATAGCCTGGAAGAACTCGGAACGTGGCCACGCGTTCGGTCGCATCGACCCGTCCATCCCCTCCGCCAAGTTCGAACAACTCGTCGCGGACCTGCCACGTCATCATGCCAGCCTCCTCATTCAACTCAGAACGGGTCACGCGCCACTCAACATGCACCTCCACCGCATCAAGCGCTCCCCAACTCGATCCTGCCCCGCCTGCCACAACCACCCGGAAACGGTGCACCACTTCCTTCTCACCTGCCCCGCATACAGCCTACAACGTGACGTCATGACGCGAGAACTGGGACGCACAGCAAGATCACTTCCCAAACTGCTCACCAGCCCGCGCGCCATCCGACCCCTTTTCCGCTACATCCATGCCACGGGACGTCTTACCGCAACATACGGCCGACTGGGCACATTCGACAGCCGCCGCCGAACCGAGTGTTAACACACCGAGAAGTCCCCCCCCTACTTCAGCACTGCAGACCACTGACTACATCCTCACACAGACTGCACTCTCAGTCCGATCAAGTGGCAACCTACGTTACTCACATCATGCCCCCTGTTCCCTTTTCTCTAGCACATACCCCCCCCTACTGTACATACCGGCAGCCTAGAGACACATCCTCGCCCTAGAGACTTGGGGAGTTTTGATGCCTAGTGCGGGACCACCAGGTGTATCCCTGACTGCGGCAAGAGGAAAATCCCGGGGGTAATTTCTACCACCCACAAGAGCAGCAGGTTTAGAACCTAGTTTCTAGTGTTCACTCGCCGAGGGCCTTGGATGTGTGCCTGCAGGCTTGCCTTACTGCTACCACCCCCCCATGTATACTCACATTCCACTTCTTCACCCCACAGCTCCTCCCAATTTCCTGTCTGCAAAAGCCCCGTGCTTGCGCGGGCACAATGTTTCATTCGACACTCCATTAGTATGTACATCAGCTAGCTACAGTAGATATTGTCTACCATAGGGCTTCGCCCTCGAGGACAATAAACCGGAACCAAAAAAAAAAAAAAAAAAAAAAGAGTGTGTCTTATTACATCCTGGCTGAGTGTTGACATTTTCCCTCTTCATCAATGGCATGCAATATATTTGCGTCGTTGAGTAGAAATCCTGTTCATTAGACGACGCAATCGTTTCTCTTCGAGGCGAATACGTTGTTTCTACCGTGATCCAATCTTGGAGAGTTGCCGTTCTGGGTAGTCTCCCAAAGGCAGTGTAGCTACTCTGCTTCAACCTTCGTACCTCAGGATATCCGTATCTGACGTCTGCTTTCCTTAATGGGGGTCTTTCTAAGAGGTCGGTCACTGCCGATCGGCATATCACGTGCAATGACAAACGAAAAAACGCGTCCCTCTTACGGACGCGTCGCACTGCGTCTCACGGAATGGAAAACATGCTTAGTTGTGGTATGTGTGTGCCATACATTCTGGTTTGCCTCAGAAAAATTTTGACCAGCTATATTTATTGGGAATACTGTGATACTGTACATAGAAATAAGAATCAATCAGTGGGGTACATTCATCCTCATGCACTACTGCAAGGGTAAAGCCATATGATTGACAGGGCATGTATGCCAAGGTGGATGAACCTTATAATCTTGTGTAGGTTGCATTGTAATTAATGTTACGGCAGTCAAACGAGAAGAACTGAGGTGTCGAAGCTGATGAATATCATCTGCTGACCTCCCACTCCTCGGCAGCAGCATTCAAGTTATACTCACCAAACTTCAGAACATGGTCAGATTATGCTGCCGCAATGTCTGTTTCCCGCAGTACAAAGATGAATGCATGAGTCGACGAGCCAGCAGGTGCATTAATGAAGTTCCAAGGGTGAGCGGCCGCTGAGCGCTGAGCGGGCCCACTGGCAGAGGTCGTAAGCGCCCGTCGGCAATGGAACGGGTTGTAACCGCAGGCTTATTGATTTGAACTGCCGGTGTATCGAATCCTTAGTAAATTTCAGGCTCCGTCTAAATTGTCCGACCTCTCGATTAACCCCCCGCGTCAGAAAGCAGACTAGTTCCGGGCTACTTACTCCTGATCACGTGGCCGTGATATTCCGCCGCGAGGCTCTCAGAGACTGGGAATACAGTACTCTACTTATTAGCCATTCTGTCTCTGGTCATCGAGTCTTCCAACCTCTCTGGTACATTTTCTTCCATTTATTAACATTGGATGGTCCCTGGCAGTGCTCGAGAGCACACTCTCCCACCAAAACTATTGACTTGAAGCGGAGCTGGGTGACAGGGACTAGGACAGACTGCACGTCAGACACGGATATCCTGAGGTACGAAGGTTGAAGCAGAGCGCCTACCATCTGCCCTCGGGAGACTAGACTGCACGGGCCATTGTGAGCGGAATGTCCTCTGTTGATTTTCTTCGCGAGCTTCTCATCAACTTGAATGCTAAGCTCTACAGATGCCATCTTATGATGCCGCCAAGCAGTCCGAAGTCTTGTCCCCTTCCGACCTGCTGGGTTCTTTGGAGAACTACACGGATGTCGTCTCTTGGATTAACGACATAATCGATACTGGGGATGCGGCGGACGAGACGCAGCCCATGAAGCTTACGGACTTGGACCAACGCGTGTCCCGCCTGGTGGGCACGCTCGAGATCGCCAGCGAAGACACCTCCGCGCAAGTGGAGCGGATCATCGAAGAGATTTCCAGGGGAGCTTCTCGTCTGATTCACGACCTCCACTTCATGCGTGAAGGAGCGCTGTCCCTGCAAGGCCTGCTGCACGAGGTCGACTCCAAGTCGAAAGCCTCCTCGGACGCAGAGACGAGCGCCGCCCTCGATCGGTTGCACTTTCTGGACACCGTGCGGAAGAATATGGAGGCTGCGCGTGCGGTGTTGCGTGAGGCGGAGAGCTGGGGTTCGCTCGAGAGCGACGTGACGTCCCTGCTAAGCGAGAAAAACTACGAGAAGGCTGCGGAGCGGCTTTCTGAGGCAAGCAAGAGCATGGTCGTGTTCGCGAACACCCCCGAGTACGAGAGCCGACGCACGTTGATGGTCAGTCTGCAGAACCAGCTGGAGGCGGCCCTGAGCTCTGCACTCGTGGCAGCCGTCACCTCGCAGGACGTCGCGGTGTGTCGAAACTATTTTGCCATCTTCAGGAACATCCAGCGGGAAGCAGAGTTCCGCAACTATTACTATGGCTCACGCCGTGGACCCCTCGTGGAGACATGGCAAGGCGCACGGCTACGCGACTGTGACGGGACGGCCCCAGCTGACAATAATGCTTTGGCGTTCTCTGCATTCCTCACGAGCTTCTACACTTCTTTCCTGTCTATTCTACAGACTGAACGTACGTCCATACCCGCCATCTTCCCAGATCCTCAACCGACACTTTCCGCCTTGATTACCTCGACGCTTTCTGCTCTACAGCCAAGTTTCTCCGAACGCCTCTCCGCCCTCGCAACCTATTACGGTCCAGCGACGCTCACACAGCTCATCGCCGCCTTTCGAGCGACAGAAGAATTCGGAGTGACGGCTGAGAAGATCTTTGAGAAAATCGGATATTCTGCTATTCTCGCCAACTCCGACAACTCCTCTCAACCTCGTACACGACTTCGCCGTCGCTCGTCTGTGCGCATGTCGATGTCGATGTCTCAGCGTCCAGGCTCGCATCGTGGTTCGATCAGCGGTGTCGTGCCAACCGAGGCGGTTCCTGCCGTAACTATCCCGGTGCTCGAGTGGGATCAAGAGCTTTTTGCTCCGTTCGCAGACTTTCAGGCCGATTATGGGTTGCTCGAGCGGCGTTTCCTAGATGACGTGCTCGCCAACGCAATGCGCACTGCTCCTCGCGCGAGTAGCGATCGCGCACGGATCTTGCGCGAGCGGTCAGTGGATGTTTTCGGTGCTGCAGAAGATGCTCTTGGTCGCTATGCAGCCTTCACCCATGGATATGGCGCCGAGGGTCTACTGCAAGCCGTGGACCACCTGGTCTCCGCGTTCGCAGATGCATCGCGTGCAGAGATCGCTGGACGGCGGGGTGCATTTGGCACCTCGGGATCGCTAACACCGTCGTTGTCGGGTGAAGACTTCTCTGACATGGATTACGCTGCTGAAGACTGGGCTGAGATCCAGGCGCTTCTGCATCTCCTCGAGGCCGTGCGTGCGCTGCAGGATCGGACGCTCGCCTTCGAGACGAAGTTACGGTCCAGTCTTATTCAGGTGTCAGGTACTCTTCGTGCAGCCAGGACAGAGCCAGGAACACTACAGATTAGTGGGACGACTCGCGGAGCTATGCAGCTCCTCGCTCAGTCATCGCTGAACTCTGCGAGCCTGCACGTACTTTTGGATAGTGTTGATCCGGAGTCAGCTTCGCAGCCTCAATTTCGGAGTGATGCTCTGCTCGCTCCCGCACCTCCTTCGCCAGATCCGCGCAGATCATCATACGCACTTCCCCTGCCAAGTCCTCCAGCAAGTGCGCCTCCACTTCTCAACGGTGCTCGGACTGCGATTGCCGAGCTCGCCAAGGCTTGTCAGGTGGCTCTGCAGGACACGATCCTATCACCGCTGCACAAACACCTTGCATCTTATGCATCTTCCCCCCTGTGGTCATCCGCAAGCGACACACGACCAAAGCGCGCCACGACCGGCAGCGCGGTGAGCGAGGTGCAAGTCCCGACGTTCTCTCGATCCTCCAGCGAAACAATCCAGCGCGTGGCAGAAGGCCTGCTCAATCTTCCCCGCTTATTCGAGGTGTACGCGGACGACGACGCGCTCGCGTTCTCGCTCTCCACGCTCCCCCACATTGGTCCCGTGTTCCTCCGCGCTCTGGCGGAGCCTGTTCCGCAGGAGCCATCCGGCTCCCCTTCGATGCAGCACACTCGCCGCTCGCCCTCGCTTGCACTGCAGAAGAATCCTCTCGTTGCTGCACCTGCGCAGGCGTCGTTGCGCTTCCTGCCAGAGGCTGTTACTGCGGTGTGGCTCGCATCGCTCGGGCGCACGCTGCTTGCCCACCTTACTGGCGACGTGCTTCCGAGCATCCGCATGCTGACTCCCGCAGGCGCAGCGCAGCTTGCAGCGGACCTAGGATATCTGGGCAACATCGCGGAAGCGCTCAATGTGGAGTGGTTGCCGCTCAGCAGGTGGAGGATGTTCGTGGAGATGGAGGACGCAGATGGCCGGAAGAAGACGAAGGACAGCGGTAAGTCTCAGGTAGGCGACAAAGTCAGGGATGGTGAGAAAGTGGCCGAAGAGACCGATGACGAGGATGATGAAGGAGAGTCGGAAGACCAAGTGCTAGCAACTGTGGCAAAATTGAGAGGCTGGCCCATGTAGTGAGTGCGGAACGTAAATCTTTTGGAGGATATCAGTGTGAGATATGGATGGTGATGATGAAAACGAGATAAAAACGATCGAGTCCTGGATTCATGGCAGACTGCCCACAATATTATTATCTTCCGGCGGACATCACTATCCAAGAGTACTATCGTTTCGTATTTCCGAGCTTTGCTTGAGGTGAGGATTCAGCTAGGCTCATTTGCCTGCCACTCATGATCAGTTGGAAGTTGGGCGAACAGCGTCACATTGGAGGCGGTTACCCAGTATGTATGTAACGAATCTCAAGGTGGCAAATACATATCACTCTCCTAGCCCCTTTGCCTTTTGATTTCCCCTCTGCCTAATGGTAACACATCATGGCATAGAAGAGAGTTTCTCCAAGATTCGCTTGGTGATTGCTGCGATGAATGGACTGCATTGGAAGGTATCAGCATCTTCCCTAGACGTGGAAGAACATGACGCACTATGTTAGTGTACGACCACCGAGATATCACCAGACATCGCTGACAAGTCATGGATAGCATCTTGAGATCAGGCCAGCACGTAAAAGGCTGAAAAACGTACCTTTTAAATAGTGAAGAAGGCGCGAGACAACAGAAGTTGATCAGAAATGAATTAATGACCGGTGTCGTCCAGCCTCGCTTGAACCTCCTTCCCCTCTCTGTCGGAAAGAACATTCAATTGCGGGAGCTCTTCTTGACGAGACGTCACGAAGTGCCATTCAAATTGGACGGGGCGGTCACCAAACAGGGGTTTGAACCTGGTGAGATTCAATCCCACGTACGTCACGGTTGGTATCAAGGCCGCAACTTGTTGCGCCAGCAAGGTCGCAGCATCTCCATCCATAGACAGCGAGTCTTGGTATAAAATGGAGATTCCGACAAGTGGCACTTCACGGAACATTGACACATAGTTCAGCTAACACCTGATAAGCGTCGCCAGAATGGGACATGGGAAGAACTTGAAGACTCACGATACCTGGCACTATTGCAGACTCGTTGACATTCCCCTTTCTAGTAGAATGCCAGAAAGTGAAGAGCTCCAGATATCTCAACTTGTGTTGCACCGCATGCGTTATTCGTTCTCGCGCTTCGTCGCATATCCCAGCGTAATCCAAACTGGCGTTGAAGGACAGAATCGTGGGTTTGGTGCGTTCCAACAAGGACAGGAAGCCGTTCTCCAGTGCGCACGTATAACGCAGTACCAGCCTACGCACAGGGCATGCAAAACGCACGTGGGCGTATGTTTTGACGTTGTCTAGTGCCCACCATTCGACCAAGTCATCATTGTAAAGAGAGTAAACATCACTGCCGGAATAAGTGAAGTCGCGTAGGTTGGGGAAGGCATGGGGGACGAGTCCTAGTTTAGTGTCGAAGACGATATGCAATGCGCGAACAGAAGGCCAGACAGCATCGGTGACTAGCTGAATGGGCGCAAAGGGACTGGTGAGATGTAGTTTGAGATTTGTGGCAGATGTCAGGATGTTCTGCGAGATCGAATGTTGGTCGTCTGAAAATGAGGCACCCAAATCACAGCGCGTGAGCTCGATTACGCGAGGCCGACTAGCTGTGCGTGATAAAAGGGCCAACGAAGGGAACCCACAATCCTCCACACAAATGGTGTAGAGATGGCGAAGTCCAGCTAAGGCCTCCAAAAGCTCCGGATGGTCCGTCAACAATTTGTCAGAATAACGCCCGATGGTAATTTTCTTCATTTCTGTACTCTGTCGTACCACTTGGACCAACAGCGATACAAGCTCAGGATCGATCGTTTCATCAACAGAAGGATTCGCAATGATCTGTGGATCACCCGTAACGCGGAGAACTTGAAGACATGGCATCCGTCGCGGAGCATCGGCCAGCATGAACTCGCAGAAGTTAGCAGCTCCGCGCCATTTGCTCCTAAATCTGGAAAAGTCGAATTCGTAGAGAAAAGAGGGCATGGCAAGCTCATATGCAAGGCGACAGGTCATTGCAAACTTCAGGGCGTCAAGAGCTGGCAGAAACCATATAATAATCAACAGGACGTCATGGTTGAGGTTGAGAAGGTCCGCCATTAGACCCTTCAAAAGCTGATAAGAGCGCAACGACAAACACGACTGCAGCGATAGAAAACTTACCTGGCTGCTATTTGCTTGCACCTCACGAAATCCTTCGATTCGAAGCCCAACATATACAGAGGTGAGCTGCACTTATCTAGAAGACCTGCGAGTGACTCACTGCAGCGCCGTGGACCAAGGAGCGATCGGAAGAGGGAGTTGAAAGCTAAACACAGCGCATCACACTGAAAGCTTAATATGCCGTCGCTTATTCAATCAGGTTAGCCACTTACTTTATGGTGGCATCTGTCCAGCGGTGGAGCCGTTGGTTACAGTAGTTGACGGGATCAAATGATGCCTTGTCTACATCTTCTGGGCTCGATTCCCTTGAATCTGTGCTAGTGGCGAGTGAATGTAGCAGCGCTCATCATGCATCATGGCCCAGAAGGTAGAACCTTTTTCATGTCACGAGGGACGAAGAGCGGCCAACATTAGGAGATGATGACAGATGTGAGTCGTCAGGCAAGAAAGGGGAATCACTGCATGTTATAACTAGAAGTGACCGAATTCGAGTCAGCGAATTTGTCAGCCGTCCTCAGCAGTTACATGGATATGGGGTACTCAGGCCAATGTGGGAAGTCTTTAGAGGCAATGTCGGCAAGTCTGACCTCAATAATCCTGGGTTAGCATCAGTAGGCCTTGTGGTCAAGCATTAATTCCGCACAAGTGTATGAATGAATCCAGGTATGCCCAAGTAGACAATGGGCGACTGAAAATGAGTAAGTTAGTAATAGACCAGTCCCCTCCTATGAAAAATTGAGGCCGATAGGGTGCAAAGTGGTATTATGTTTGGGTCCACTGTGACTCGGGATAGATCCATAGGCTCCATATGGTAGTGGACGGAGCCCCGGAGTGATGGAGATCCCCCCCATAATATGGAGCGGGCCGTCTCCGTGCCGTGCCTGATGGAGATCGCGTCTGCCTGGCCCTGGATGGAGATCGCGTCTCTGCCTGGCCCCGGATGGATATCGCATCTCTGCATGGCCCCGGATGGATATCGCATCTCTGCATGGCCCAGCTCCGGATGGAACCGAGGAAATCCCATCTCCATCCGGAGAAATCCAGACTTCCTGATGAGTCGCTGGGCCGGAAGTGAGGTGTAGGCCTCAATGGTGGAATCAATTCCATTGAATAATGAGGAGATGGGGCCGACGCTCCGGCAGAGATAATCCAGTGGGGACTCTGTGGGACACACCTCTAGTGACTGACTCCTCGGCTCACCACTTATCGATACTAACATTATACACATTTCGATGAGAGCGGTCGCACAATTTGGGGGTGTCTCCATGCCACTGCCCACTGCTGAACAGTATAACAAGCATCTAAGTGTCAGCCCATGGTGACGAGAAAAATATTGAGAGCTCACACCAATATTCATCTCAATGCAAGATGCCCCGTGATACTCCCTCTACCTGTATAATGCTCGGTACGATCGCAGGCGCAGGGAAGCCAAGTATCGGCAAAGCGGTTCGAAGGTCTCGACTATGGCATGCCAGTCAGATTCCTCGGTATCGCCGCTCACTGTAGGTCGAGCATAATGCGGCCGGTCACAATTGACATCATCCTAGTGGTGAAATGTCACAATGTCAGCATTCAAACACGCATCGTGCTAAGACAAAGCTCACCAGCAAGAGTACATATGGCAAGAACAGCGACAGGTCAAGTTAGTCACCCGCAGGCATACTACAAAATGATCCCTACTATGGGTTGGGGGGCGGAGGGGACGGATCATATAGTCACTTACCACGAATCTAATGCTGGGGCACACATCTCCTGAGGCACGAGAGGATTCAGAAAATATGCAGATTCTAGGCCTCCGACAAGCACGAGTTCAAGAGGACTTAGCGCGTTGATATCGACCTGCTGGGGGTCGGAAGACGCGTGCTTCGCCGGCGGAAGGGACTCAGACTGTTGACTCGAGCTCGGACTCACCGGGCCTGCGGTTGAGTGAGAATAAATTCTTGCGTCTAGAGGCAAGAGGCAGGCAAGACTCGGGCTCCCAGCGAAATGATATTTCATGACATTCAATGAGATTCGACTGCTTTCAGCAAAGGATGGGAGAGGCCGTCTACGGTTGCCGAGCAGGCTCAGCTTCATTTTCAAGTCACAAAGCGCGAAGTCAAAACTGATCCGCGTTCATACCCCGTTCCCCAGATACTATCGTTACCCCAGTATTGCAATCTGGTCTAGTTATGCAATTTCGCCGTTTTGCCGCATTTTGCTGCACTAAAAATCACAAAGAAATATGCAATAGATGTGCACAGTCCCAAATACCTTGGCTGTGCAACTTGGGAGTCAAACTCGGAGGGGAAGAGTGCGAAGTCTCTGAATTGCAAGTTTGGAGGACTCAGGCGTGACAGTGAAATGTGCCATTTAAAACTCCGACTAGAGGGAGAACAAGGGAACGGCACGTCGGCAAGCGTGACGATCTGTGACCGATTCGGCGCTCTTGCGTGCAAATGAGTCTCTTCACTGCGTTCGGTCTTGGAGTCGCACAACATCAGGAAAAAAATTGGCAGTCACACAGAAGGTAGCTTATATGTTGTATATTTGATCCAAAGAGGTTCGAAGGAAAACGGGCCCGATTTGAAGGAACGATGACAGAGATGCAATCGCAATTGCATTACTGGGGTAATGATAGTAATCTGAGGATCCCGGTTGACCTTCCGCCTATGCAACGTTTAGATCGACCCGGGACACCGGCACGCGAACCTAAAAGTTCGCGCTCCGACCAGCTGAGCTGCTCTGGTTCGGCTCCTTGCCGCCGTCCGAAGCAGTCGGGGCGGGCGTCTGTGAGCGCGCGCGCACGCCAGCCGGAAGCAAATGAGCGCGTCAAATTCGAAGTACATACCGTCGACATTCCTGCGTACCGTATCGAGGCCTCTGTACGTTCCCAAAAAGTGACACACCGCCTTCCCGCTGACCAGAGTACCAAAGAGAGCGGAAACGAGGCCGCAAAGACCCTTGTCCCTCCAGTACATTCCCTGCACACCTGATCTACCTCAACGCGCACCTCCAGAGCCGAGCTGGCGGCAGCTCGCTGTCTCCTTCATGGATTATCTGTGTTGAATGCCGAAAGCACCTGTGAAATATCTTCCTGAAGTTAAATTTTGAACAGAACTGGCAGGCTGATGAACGACGCAGCTGCTGAGCAGATCTGTACAATTTGGCGAGGTACCTCTTGCAAGTCCTCCATCGTGCCTCGCGTGCTGAATGCGGTGTCTGGCAAGATTTCGGATTGTGCGGAACGGCAAATGCATCTGACATGCGGGAGCCAAGCACCTCCCCTCCCTTCTCGTGAGTGTGCTTTTGCATTGTCTCATGTATAATGCATGGCTGAAGTGTGTTCCAGATACATCTGTCTACACTCCTAATTCTCGGAGTCTGCATGCAGAAGGGCTCTCAGTACCACATCCCCGTGCTCTCGCAAACTCGATATTCTAGTGTACCATCAATCAGCGTTCTACCGATCAAATATGAGACTTGAACTTCGAACATGAAGCTAAGCCTGCTCGGCGACCATACCGTCTAACGACATCAATTGCCATCAAATGTTTGCAGCTTCTCATTTGATTTCATTTGACCTCAAACGTTTCAGTCTCATTTTTTCTGCTGAGATCAAATGCCGTCGGCGGACAGCGAATACTCCGCCATTATTCGATAGGAATCGACCTCAAAATCCGACGTTTTCACTGAGGCTCAGTTCTTCCCCCGGTTTGCACTTACACTCCCAAGTACTGCCCGTGCTTTAGACTCACATCTGACCATCATGGATACTGGAGAGAACAACAAGTTCGGCACGGCTGTGGAATCTCACCCTACCATCGAGCGAGACAGCGATGCACAGGTGCTTGCACGGTTGGGATACAAGCAGGAATTCCGCCGTGCATTCTCTCCGTTTGAAGTCTTTGGACTTGTCTTCAGTATCTATGGTCTGTTTCCCTCTATAGCGTAAGTCCGATACTACAAGTCAAAGACGGCGAAGCCTGCTGCTGTGTTCTTGAAACGTTGCTAGGAAGCACTGCTCGATCACGGTGTGCGGTACTCACCGCTCGATGTTTGTTGTAGGTCTGTTCTCGTATACGCCCTTCCAAACGGTGGTCCTGTGTCAATGATCTGGGGCGTAAGTATTGCACTGATGCGTCTAGTTACGTACACGCGCTTACAGTCATCCTTTTGTTCGTTCGACAGTGGGCGACATGCAGCTTCTTCATCTTCCTTATCACTTTGACGTTAGGTGAATTGGGTTCAGCGGCCCCGACTTCGGGTGGGTTGTACTGGTGGACATTCAAGTTTGCCTCGCCACGATGGCGCAAGCTGCTGTCATGGATTGTCGGATGTGAGTCTTGATTCAGAATACCAGTCATAACTGAGACTAAGAAGAAATAAAGATTCCAATACCATTGGGCTTATTGCGGGCATCGCTTCCGTTGATTGGGGTTGTGCGGTTCAGGTGATGGTAAGATCTTCCTCAGACAAAGTGACGTTAGGCATGGCTAAAGGGAGATGACAGGCAGCAGCGAGTATCGGTTCTGGAACTACATTCTCTCCGACTACTGGGCAGACCTAGTGAGCGTTTCCTCTGTGCGTTGCGAGGCACCTCACAGACTAATTCCTTTGTTCGATTGCAGCGCCGTGTATCTCCTCATCCTAATCTGCCATGCTACAGTAGCCTCCTTAGCATCGTCGATCATCGCACGTTTGCAGACCATATATATGGTTCTAAATATCTTGTGCGTGCACCGATCAAATATAAATTGGCCTTCATAGCGAATGGCAGTTCACGCGATGATACAGGTTGTGTCTTGGCATCATCATTGCTCTGCCCGCATCCACCCCGGATGGATTCAAGAACTCAGCAAGGTATGCATTTGGAGGTTTTGTCAACTGTGAGTTCAACTGCACCCGCCGTAATTGTAATTATTCTTGAATGAATACATTGTTCTGACAGACAGTGGCTGGCCGGATGGCTTCGCCTTCGTCCTGAGCTTCCTCGCGCCACTCTGGACAATATGTCAGCCTTCCATCAACTATGTGCTTCTCAGGGAAATTCTGATTAGTTTCCAGCGGGTTTTGATTCCTCACTGCACATCAGTGAAGAGACAACGAATGCTGCCAAGGCGGTCCCGTATGCTCTAATTAGCGCCACGTTCGTCGCCGGCGTTCTCGGATGGGGTCAGTCTATTGGTTCTTCTTAGCTGTCTCACTGTAAGAGGAGTAAGCACTTAACGAAGTTCGTCGTGGCTAGCTATCAATGTCGTGATTGCATTTCGGATGGGCACTGATATCGAGACAATCCTGGCAAGCCCTATCGGACAGCCGATGGCTGCAGTGCGTCTTTCTAGGACCACTATCTTCGGTAGTGTTGACTATGAGCTCTTAGATCTTGTATGACAGCTTCGGACAAAGGGGCACATTGGCTGTGTGGTCTCTCGTCGTTACCGTGCAGTGAGTTACACCTCTCTTCAGTAGCTGTAGTTTTCTGAATTATTGAATAGATTTTTCACGGGCACAAGCTTGGTACGTCTGGTCATATGGAGTCATATGGATGCCGAAGTTTGAGCTAAGTTATCCGCAGTGCATTGCCAGCTCTCGACAGACATTCGCCTTTGCGCGAGACGGAGGTCTGCCGTTGTCGAAATATCTTTATCGCGTCAACAAGTACACACAGACACCAGTTAACTGCGCCTGGTTTGCCGTCTTCGTCGCGGCATTACTTGGGTTACTTGCATTCGCGGGGGCTGCCGCTATCTCCGCTATATTCGGTCTGGGGGTGATAGGTCTATACATCGCGTACATATTCTCCATTATGAGCAGATTCTACGGAGGAAAGGACTGGAAACCCGGTCCATTCTCTCTAGGCAAATGGGTGAGTTCTGCGAATCTATTCCCGATACCAGAGGCTCAATTTATTTCACTTAGGGGTACCCTGTGGGTATGGTAGCGGTGGCATGGATGGTGTTCTCGTTGGTTATTTTAGTATTCCCCAGTTCGCCTGGCCCAAACGCAACAGACATGAACTACACCATTGCGGTGCTAGGAGGATGGTTCGCGCTGTGCCTGGGCTACTATTTCTTGCCCAAGTACGGCGGCATGTACTGGTTCCAAGGCCCTGTGGCAAACTTCGGCGCAGATGTGGGTAGAGACTTGGACTCGCAAGAGGCAACCATGCATGATGAGAAGTTTGGTGGCTAGAACATCCGGTGTGTGTTATACCGTGTGTAAAGCGTATTGCGCGTTGTTCAGTAGCCTATCAATTTTTTCGACTTACCAATGAGCCCATTGTGGTGCATGTAAGTAGTGGGAATGGACAGCGGGGCGCCGGGCCGCTCAGATCTTGGAGATAGAAAATACTTCCGAGTCCGCGGCAGCATCGATCTATAAACTCCGGTCACAAGCCCAAGAGATCTACGCAGCTCTCGCACACACGCATCCGCATTGTCAATGGCAGTATGCTCTTACAATCCGGCGAAGCAGTGGTTCAGCGTGAGTGGGACTCCCATGATGGCCCAAGCGGAGCACGCCGCTGGCTGCAGCATAACATTCCACAGTGCTTTGCGACGCGGTCACCAGACGCGACCACGACGATCACCGTTGACCGCTTTCACATCGAGTCAACTATCAGGCATGTAGTAGGTCTTACGATCCTCAGGGCTTTCCAGCGCACGTAGTGCGCGCCGACTCTCCGTCACGGTATCGTTCACTGATCGGTGCGGGAGTAACTTAGCTTCATATCCGAGGCTCACGCTGCAAACTATCATTCCGGCGCAATCATTGCGCCGGCTATCATTTTCAGTGCTCCCTAGCACTACTAGGAAGATCAGCACCGCATATTCTCCGGTGAGCTCCCAGGTATGCCAAAAAAACGGTTCTTCGTGTTGTTTTCACCCACGCAGAGTCGACGCCAAGAGTCATGGAGTTGCCTGTTTGTGCATCTGTACTTGCGTTTTGCTTCTGTACTTGGCGAAGTGCCGGAAACATATAATCCCAGGGTAGTTTCAGAAGCTCCCCCAGGTAGACCTCCACCTCGTCGGCTCCGTCTCCACTAAACTCCCTGCCATGACGTTGAACCTCCTGTCACTCAATCGCGATGTTCTATACATCGTACTTTCTTACTTGAATGCCTCCTCCGCGCTGACGCTTTCTATGGTCTCTCGCGAAGCCTACGACATTAGCTTGGCTCGCAGCCTCTCTAGCGTTTATATCACACAGTCTCAAGACCAGCTCCGTGCTTTTTGCATGGCCATGCTAATGAATGGAGGTGTCCGGCTTCCCTTTCTTCGCGAACTCACCATTATCTCCTCTGCATTCGGTGTCGCGCGCCACATCGAGTTCACCCACACAGTTGACTTCTCCGCTTCTTCCCAGTTAGTGGACCTCTTGGAAGGCGCGCGTCGCCTTCGCCGACTCTCGATATCGTGCTTTGAAGCGCTCATTACACATGAGCCCCGCATTGCTGCTGCGCTCCAAGCGTTGCCCGACCTCGTAGATGTCTCACTGCATAACTGTGGAGAATTATCTCTTACGCATCTCCCCCAAATGTGCAGCCAGCTGCGCAGGCTCACCTTCACACAGCTCTTCAACAAAAAGACTCCGGCGTTGTTTGAGAGACTAGGTGCACTGCAGAATCTCGACTGTCTCGAGCTGGCGCATCTCGATATCCAGACTGACAAGGCTTGGCCGCCCACCGACTCCGGAATGGCGGAGCGGAAGAAGGGACAGATAGCCCAGATCCCATCCTTACGCACACTCTCAGTTCATGGCACGAAGGCGCGAATGTCGTCCTTTGTGAACGCGTTCCCTAACCTACACACTCTCATCGTCTCAGATATATACGCAGACCCCGTTGAAGGAGACAACGACACCGGTAACTTTGAAGCGTGCTGGCCATCTCTCGACCGCCTTCGGGGAAACGTGCCCGACTTTGCCCACTGGGTCATCGCATGCCCTGTACGATTGCTTGAACTCGAGCAAACCTCATACCACTACGCCACCGCGCTGGGGGTGATAGAGCGTACGAATCCGATCATACTCTCTCTCCCAGTTGAGACTCGAGTCAGTCAGGCGGCATTTTGGGGACGATTTGTGCGCGTCGTTCCGCGGCTGCGACACCTAGCACTGCGTCTTGACGAGGGACACACGATGAAGGTCGACGACTGGATGGTATGTTTTAGGTCTTGTATTTCCTCTCGCATGTGACTGAAGCAGTTATGCTTGCAGGGTACCATCCCGCAGATCCTCGGCACAATCCCCATCCAATCCCTGTCCATCTGCATCCGGCCGTTCCGGGTGCCCTCTCCTACTCTTAATCCGGTTCGACATGTCGCAGGACCAGTTCCGACCTCCGACACTCTCACCGAGTCCGTGCTCCATGCGTTTCGCTTGCACATAGCATGTACCATTGCCTCACTGCGCTGGGTTGCGGTAACTGTGGCGGAGAAGGGGAAATTTTCTGTTGGTGATACACCTGCTGTTATAAATGCGGAGGTGCCGCTGTGGTGGCGCGTGGACGGTGGTGCACTCGAGCCAATCCTCAAGTGCCAGGACTTTAATCCGATAGACGCGAAGGAAAGTACAGATACGGTGAGACCGTATCTATGCCTACCCCGTACACGATACAAACTGAAAATTGAAGCTTGTGTATCTGTAGCTGTGGATTCAAAAGCGATAGAGGAAAGAGGAGACTGTCCTCCATAGCTGCAAAGCTTCTATTTCTTGTTTCATGTATGTAGTGGTTCGTTGATCGACCTTCTTCGGTTACTGCGCAATCGCGGAATTCTATTGACGCTGAACGTTGAACATTAGATATGAAAGAGATATGAAAGTTGTATGAAAGAGTACAATATTGATCCACCTGTATTCCTGTTCAGCCACAATTGGTAAGTTTAGCGTGCGCGGAGACCAAATCCGAGTGAATAATCCAGATTCAACCTTTGATAAAAGCTCAAAGTGGCTGTGGCACAGACTAGTCCTAATTTACTATCGGTGTCGTTTACAGCGATCAATGGGCCTTGGGTGTTCCTTGCTCTGAGCAATTTATTACCTGCGTTCGTGCACAAATCAGGAGATAAGGTGGTGTAGATCGACCTCGAGCGCTCAGTTCGGCTCCGTTTCTGACAACGGACAAGAACTACACTCAACGCTGCAAAAAAGTTCGTCGACGTTCCCGCTGCAATAGGTCCATTCGAACTTATCCTGCTGCATATTTGAAGGACACTTATAATATACGTAGGTGCGTGTTTATTCAGTGCAACTGTTCAAAGAAGTTTATCTGCCACTGGTTGTCTGTCTACTTACCTTTTCTAGACACATGAATGCCTCGCTGGTAATTGGGTTCGTCGACATGCGGTGGTCGTTACCTTCCCAGACATCCCGGAGCGCTGGGTTCATCCGAGTGCCCTTCAGCTTATCCCTCAACCGCCATGTCCACCCTCTCCGACACCCGGAGACATACCAAGCCATGCCGCCTGTATGCACAAGGTCACTGTCGCTTTGGAGCATCGTGCAAGTTCAACCACGAGCTTGCTTCACAAGTAAGTAGTCCAGTGATGTGGATTACCATTTGCTGCCGAGTGTTGTTACATTCTTTCTGTAGGTCACAACTCACGGCACACCAGCATCACAGTCAGAGACTCTCAACTATCCTGTTCATACGCAACGCGCTCCTCGCGTTCGCACGAAGCGGAAGTCTAGTGCACGGCCACAGCCGCCGGCTACGGATGATGAACAGCCTTCTCCAGTGACACTGGGCAGCCTGCAATACCAATCTCGACCCTCTCCGCCCATCGCTGAGAGCTCTAGCTCCACGAACACGAATCCAACAGTTTTAGCCGGTAACCCACGCCCTAAACGCGGCGAGATACCGTGCCATGCTTGGAAGACGGGTTCATGCACAAAGGGCGCTAAATGTTGGTTCGGACACGATCCCGAAGTACTTCATCCACTTATCCGTAATCAACTACTTCTATGTCTGATAATCGTTTGGTAATTGTCCCCGTAGGTACAAGAAGCTGCACGCATCCGCGCAGAACAAGCACTAGAGCGTGCCAGGCAGGAAGTGGCTCAGCATGCTCGCCAAGTGCAGGAGGAGGCAGAGCGCCAGGCCCGCCTCGCACAGGAGGAAGCAGAAAGGCAGGTCCGCCTCGTACAGGAAGAGGCAGAAAGGCTAGCTCAGGAACGAGCTCGAGAAGAGCATGAGCGTGCACGCCGGGCACGTCTTGCGGAGCGGGAGGCGGCCCGTGAACGAGAGCGGCAGGCGCGCACAGCGGAACTCGCGAAGGAGGACGCCGCGAAGACAATCCAGCACGTCGTGCTCGGATCCATCGTCACATTTAGCGCTGGCCTGAGCGTTGACAAAATCATTACTGGCTTCGAGTCCTGCACCGTGCGCACGAAGAACCTTCCACTCGACGCTCGAGAAGATGAAGTCCGCGCGTTGTTCACCCAACAGGGCATCGATGCAGGGCGTTTTCATATCGTCAGCTTGAAGCGGACCCCGGACGGGAAGCAGGAGGCCGTTGTTGTTATGGAGGCGGAATCCGGATCTGCTTTGGCGGCAGGCCTCGACGGACTTGAGTTTAGGGAGGAGACGTTGGTTTTCGAAGTTGGCTCACACAACATCCCCGGAAGCATGAACTCAGCTACTGGACGGGATGCCGACGTGCTCACGATCTCATGGCGCGCTCCCTCTGCGCGTTACGTTGTCGAATATCCCGACGTTCTTCACGCTAATCGCAAAGTCCAGGAACTCAACAATCGCATTTGTGCTGGGCGCCGAGTGAAACTGGAGATGAATACTCTCCCCCCCGGACGCTTCGTGCCCAGTTTCCGACCTAACTCCGTCAAGATCAACAACCTTGCATCTACCGTGGCTGACCAAGAAGTTAGAGACTTCGCTGGCTCTGATCTGGTCAGACGACTGAATGGACTCTCTTATAACGCCGAGCACGCTATACGGCAGTTACGCCACGAAGTAGAACTCCTGGCTTCTGGAGCAATGAGAACATTTGATCAGACATCCACTCTGGACAGCGTCAATGGTGTCATCTCCGTCCGCGTACAGTTCACGTCATGGGAGGAAGCTCAGAAGGTTCATGATTCTCTCGCCGACCGGAAGATCCATTATATTGGTTATTCTTCGTTCTGGCTCCGACTTCCCAGCCCCTTGCTCTACACGGTCGTCATCTCGGCTGAGCAATACAAGGCACAGAAGACACAGTGGGCCTCATTAATTGACAGCATCAAGGACAGAAAGGCTTGCAACTTAATCGTCAATGAGCAGGCAAACTTTGTCCGCATCCGCTTGTCGGGCTCAGTGAAGCAGGCTATTGGTTCTCTCAAGGTCAGAGTGGAGACTTTGATTGCTGGAGAGCAAGTAGAGGGATGGCATTCATCGCTCGGATACTCCAGGAGCATGTTTGTGCGCTCGGTGTTCGACGAGACGGGCGCGTATATGCGGGGAGATTGGAGGAGACAGGTCCTCAAGGTGTATGGAGAGCCAAGAGCGGTCGAACGCGCACGCGAACTCATCAAGGCCGAACTCGAGCGACTGTCAGCGACGGAGAAGACGGTCTCTCTAAAGAGACAGTCGGTCAGCTTCTTTATCCGCCATGGAATCCCAGCTCTGAAGGAGACGTTTGGCGAAGACAGTGTCAAGTTTGTTGCCTCGAGCAGCAAGATCACCATCACAGGGGGCGAGGAGGTCCGACATGCCCTGTCGCGTCTGATCGAGGAGTCCCTTAGCGAGCTTCACACTCTGCCCAATCAGCCTCTGGCAGAACAGGCCTGCCCGATCTGCTACGACAGCATCTCCTCCCCACACTACCTCGGCTGCGGACATGTCTATTGCATGGCGTGTTTGCGCCATTTCCTGACGAGTGCTGTGGACTCGGATGAGTTCCCGCTTGTCTGTATGGGCGACGAGGCTCGATGCGGCGTGCCGATTCCAATCCCGACGATCCAGCGATTCCTCCCACCTGCGTCGTTCAATCGCCTACTGGAGGTGGTGTTCAACAAGCACATCGCCGAGCGCCCGCAAGAACTCAAGTACTGTAAGACGCCGGACTGCACGCAGCTCTATCGCGCTGCGACCCAGAACATACCGGCATCTGCGCTCCAGTGCCCATCGTGCTTCTCGACGGTCTGCTCGTCATGCCATGAGGATGCGCATGAGGGTATGAGCTGTGCAGAATACAGGATTCAGAAGGATCCAACCGAACAGGAGCGCTTGAATGATGCATGGATCGCTCAGCAAGGTGGACGTGTCAAGAAATGCCCATCGTGCAGTGTTCCGATCGAGAAGCTGGAGGGGTGCAACCACATGTCTTGCCGGTGAGTGCCACAGTATTACTTGGTTCCGTGCTCGGAGTTGATTTGGACGTGTCGCAGGTGTGGTGCCCACATATGTTGGCGGTGCATGGGCATTTTCACTGCTGATACCATCTACCCGCACATGCACGCGCAGCATGGAGGAATTCATGATGATGCGGAACCGGCTCTGGACTTTGACTATCGTGAACAGCAAGAGCTATTGCGGCAAGTGCAAGCTCGTCGCGCACAGCAGGCGCAACCATTTGAGTTGGATGCTCAGCGCCGAGCGAGAGCACTCCAACTGTGGGACGAAGAGCAACAGAGGCGGTTACAGGAAGACATAGAACGAGGACGGCGGATGCGGTTGCAGATACAGGAAGACCGATTGCGGGAGGAACAGCGGAGACGGGCGCAGGAGGAACAAGCACGGCAGAGGCGCGAGAACGAGCGGCCGCAGGGATGGGGTTGTATAATCATGTAGCGTAGGTATGCCTGAGGTGTCTGAAATGGTTTTTGTAGCATCGACTCTATCTTGTACTTGCAATCAAATTCTGGTACTTATCTTCTTTTCGTACAATGCACAGCTGGAAAGGATGTCTAGTCGTAGCGCATCTCCAGCTCTGACGGTGAACCCGAGGTGGCGAGACAAGGTGAAAATGCTGCATTACAGCCTCCATATATACAGATGAATTTCACCCAAAACCCCTCGATGGCCAAGGTAATAGAAAATCTACAGTCATATTGCATCCACGAGAATATCAAACAAGGGCGCTGTAAAGACTCTGCACTACTCCATACACTACCTACCACTTCTGAGGCTTCTCACTCAAGAGGCAATCGGTAGACGCACAAGCCTGCAAACAAAAATTCAATCAATATCCAATGTATACGCATCAAAAGGCACGTACCGCATAACTTGTCTTCAGTCTCACAGAGAGGCGGGAAGTTCGCCATAAACGCCAGAGGCATAGTTCGGATGGATAGTAGGTATACGTCTTTCGGTGGGATCATAGGAAATTCCCCGCACGATACTCAGCACTCTCTTGACCTTGACGCAGTACAAAAAAACGCATTCGTTGCACTTAAGCCCGCTGTCACCTGTGATGGAAGTGCCGGAGGATTTGCCGTTGGGAGCAGTAGTAGGGCGCCTCTAGCACGTCATAGCCAGCTTCCATGCTAGTCTATATGGCCTCGAACAAAGACGGTTTCCTTTGCTGTGACGTCATGCCCCTTGTTTTCGATGAGCTTGATCCAACTTGCGTAGTTCTGCAGGATGTAATGACATAGTTCGTCACTTGGAAGTTGCACTTCGCGCGTGGTATCTCCAATAACCAGGACCGCACCCTCCTTGTAGATCGGGCAGTTGGAATGGTAAACGCCCTTGCAATCGTTCCTGGGTTATGCGTTAATTATGATATAAAGCAGTAATCAAATTAATACTCACTCTCCGACCGTCGTGTAAGTGAACGTCACTTCCGAACTGCACACTGGCAGACTCCACCTTCATTGACCGTATGGTGGCTGTCTAAAACAGCGTTAAACACCGAGAAAAAGTGTCCGCCCTCTTCTATGCCTACGTCGCCGATGAGCACTGAGTCCCCGACGCTCGCTTGTTCACTGGCAGGGAACCACAGAGGATACCCATAGCGGAAGTTTCTTCGGGTAGAGACAACTTGGGTAGCTTCCTCAGTCGGTCATAGTGCTAATGAAGCAGATGGAATAGCAGACCGTGGTGCGAAATCATCTGAAGGCCATTTAGCCAAAGAGACGCTCACGTGACTTCCCTGGCGAGCAGGCACTTACGTGCTCTACCCCCTCCTCTCCCATCTCTTCCGACCCATCTTACACATCTTACTTCACCCTTGTAATTACCTGTCATCTTGTCTCCTTTACTTCGTACATTACTTTCATCACTTTCCTTTGTCTCTCCCTACTTTACACTATTCCGTGCTACCGTACTGGCTGACGAGGTGCCTATTACGTACCTGAGCTATTGTATTAGCGTAGTCAGCTAATCCAAATCGTTTCATCGTAGTAGCACGTTGCTATAACATTGCTTGACCACTCACCACACTTAGGGATACATTATAACCATCCCGGGAAGACCAGCGGGTGCTTTGGCCTCGTGATTTACGAGGCAGAATAGAGAAATGAACAGGAGTTCGAGGGACAGTAATTTGAGGCTATCCTGCAGTCGGTTTCAATCATCCCATTGGGAGATCTCGATCAACGTTCTTGCTCGGAGAGCAAGCTCTCCCGACCCAAAAGTGAAAGTGTCCTTTTTACACAGTTGTTGTGCGTTATTTGTTTTGTGGCAATCCCGTCTCCGAGCAAGTTCCGCCGCCGCCTGGCGGCCTTTCGAGTTAACAACCTTGAACGGGTTAGCATCGCCAGTAATCGTCATAGCCTTCGAAGGGAAAGGCTTACGCAGGACCGCCCGGCACCCAACCTTTTCCGACGCTTTAATCTTACATCCAGCGTGGTCTCGACTCACTATTTTCTTCTGCGTTGCATGACCAGTCGTTACACCGGAAGGGAGAGGAGTGAAAGACAAACGGAATATCGATGATATTAAATAGACTCACAAATCGTCACCTCAAGGATTCAGAAGGCATCCTAAGTGAACAGCTCGCACGATGAGTCAAACACATGGCTCGCGAGTGGTGCATCGTCTTATTCCAATTTTCCAGGATAAGTGGATGAACGTGCATCATCCGTCCTCAAGAGCGTTCGTGAGAATGCGTCTCTGTACTATATAATTGAAGGATCTTCTGAACCACAGCACAACGCCAGAGATTTTGGACGTGGGAAAATGTCAGCGGTTCCCAGATTTTCCACGATTCTCCGTAGGTTATGACGATTGTGAAGCCTCCGAGTAATTCCTACATGCAGAACCTTAGAAAATATAGATTTTCTATCATCATGCTTTCCGAATATCGAGACTTAGACAAAATAAGACTCTTGTCAATTAGCGCCCACTGGCACAGTCACGTTCTGAGTCGCGTCGCACCTTCTCGCGTCGCCACCACCTGACTATATGCGCTTCAATCGCCTATATTTCTCTGCGAAAAGGGCTACACAAGTATCTACCAAGTCTTCCCTGGGTGCTCGGGTCTCGGTCTAAAGGACAACACTCACTGATGTCTACAGCTGTTCGCATACAATGTCGCTGTGCTCGCGCTGTATCATACTTTGGATCGTGTCACTCGGATTCCTTGGGCATGTTGGTATGCTTACGGATGCGCACCTGAAGCTTCTATAACATATGTAAGCCCATGCCTTCGTTACTCAGAACTGCAGACAGTATGTGTTGACTTCTTCGCTGTAACAGGCATGTCTTTCACAGTGCCATTTCCACCGGCCTCTGCGGAATCATTATCCTCGTACGCCATTGCATTCATATCCCGCTGAACCGTTACTGAACGACCACGTGCACCGATCAGCTTTTCATCACGAAGAGCTTTTTGCAGTGCACGGAATTTCTTCTTCACGCTCTCCTCAGCATCAGATATGAGAAGATCTCGAATGGGCTTGGCCGCGCCAGGTACGAGTTCTGCGCCTGCAGCTCTGATGCCAAGTCTTGCAGTCCGCCAATGAGCCTGGCCTGTTTATCGAGCCGATCAATTGCGGTCTCGAGGCACTTTTCGTACGTCTCTGCAACTGTCTTGAAGCTCTCCATCTCCATCCTCAACAGCTCTTTTTCACCCTCCAGAACTTCGATGCGCATCTGGTGATCAGACACCTGCGCCACAAGCATCGCCGTCTTCTGTTTCTTTGCATTCTCAGTGCTGTTCATTTCCGCCATGGCAAGAAAGTGAGGTCCTAGTACCGTGAAGGTTGAAGGCGCATATGAGGCCGAGCAGTGGATGCAGATTCCGATGCTCGGGATGCAGTCTCTCTCTGCGCGCTTCTCGTTCATCAGCTGTACAATGCGAGCGTGCGCGGATATGTGATTATTTCATTAATCTATCCTAATACATCATTTCGGTGCATGCATTACTGCTTTTCATACTGCGGGAGACTGTTATATGGGCGGACAAGGGTAGGGATGGTAAGGAGGAGGCGAGGGAAGGCAGGGTGGCACCCAGTGCGGCCGGTGAGAATATGGTAAAATGTGAGCAGAAATGCTCAGTAGAATGATGGAACAATGCTGCAAAAACGTGTAATCGGAGGTAGATTCTCTGCACGGGGTATTTAAGGCACAATGTTGGGGAAATGTTCTAAAATCTGACATTTCTCTAACAATCTGTCGGTGTCAGAATCCGGAGCGTTGTGCTGTGAACCTGGACGCAGTCACGACTACTCAATAAGCGTATGGACGCTGACAACTCGTTTGATGCTGATTTGCGGTGCGAATTGTCTGCTGCAAGACGTGAGCAGGGGTCATCAGCACGATAGACTTACACATGTCCGTGACCTGGCTTACTGCCTTACTCCGACGTGTCATCGCCATCCGATATACTGCAGGGCTAAACGCGTCGCCGCCTGAGAACTTACACACATACTGAGGCGAGAAACCGTATGGATTTGTGAGGACAGGGAGACCGCGACACCGATGACCTCAAAGGCGTTGCTGAGCTCATAGTTCACACGATCGGAGGGCCACTGTATAAAGGACACGGTCGTATGTCGGGCACGTCCCCTCCCATCCCTCTTTCCTTCCTACCATCATGAGCGGCAGACTAGCATCAGGTGAGTAGTGCGTTTGAGACGTCGTGAATCGGCCGAGATCGCAATATCAGGACAGTGATGATGGTGGGAGGGGCGTGCAGAACATAGAAGTGGCTGCGACTTGGCACCCGGGCCCCTATATGCGCCTAACAGTGTCCAGGAATTGAAGAAGAGTGTCCGAAACGTCGAGATTCCATGATTTGACGGGCAATTTCAAGACGAGCTTCGTCGTATATAACGACTATGTTTCCTCTGTTTGTTTCTGCACGTCGTGAACGTTTCCCTCAATTTCAGATTCCAGCTCCTTACGTCCAAGTACCTGACTGACCACGTCGTGACTTGTTTTTCCCAGATTACTCGGCGTGGAAGCAGCTGCAGCAGCTATATGACACCCAGCACTCCAAACTCGTCCTGAAGGAGCTCTTTGCGCAGGACCCCTCGCGTTTTTCCAAGTTCAGCAGAGAATATGTCTCGCCCGATGATCCCTCCGTGACGTTTCTCCTCGACTACTCCAAGAACCTCATCACCCAGCCCATCCTCAACACGCTCCTCTCCCTCGCCCGGGAGGCGCAGGTGGAGACGTTCCGTGACAAGATGTTCGCCGGCGAGCATATCAACACGTCTGAGGACCGTGCCGTGCTTCACGTCGCGCTGCGTAACTTCGACGAGTTCAAGATCAGTGAGGCGGGCGTAGACGAGGTCTCGGGCGTGCTCGCACACATCAAGGAATTTACCGAGGCCGTCCGCAGCGGTGCGTGGAAGGGCTATACAGGCAAGCCAATCAACACCATCGTGAACATTGGCATCGGTGGCTCGGACCTTGGCCCCGTCATGGTGACGGAGGCGCTCAAGGCATATTCGAAGCGCGACCTGACGGCGCACTTCGTGTCGAACATCGATGGGACGCACCTCGCTGAGACGCTGCGCGTCTGCAACCCTGAGACGACACTGTTCATTATTGCGAGCAAGACATTCACCACGCAAGAGACGATCACGAACGCGACGAGCGCGCGCGACTGGTTCCTCGGCACTGCCAAAGACAAGGCGCACGTTGCGAAGCACTTCGTTGCGCTCAGTACTAACACCAAAGCCGTCACTGCGTTCGGCATCTCCGAGGCGAATATGTTCCAGTTCTGGGACTGGGTCGGCGGCCGGTACAGTCTCTGGAGTGCCATCGGTCTCTCGATCGCGCTCGTTATCGGCTACGACAACTTTGAGCAGTTGCTCAAAGGTGCGCATGGGATGGACAAGCACTTTAAGACCGCGCCGCTCGAGCAGAACCTCCCCGTGCTGTTAGCGGTGATCGGCATCTGGTACAACGACTTCTACGGCTCGCAGACGCACGCCCTCCTGCCCTACGACCAGTACTTGCACAAGTTCGCGGACTACTTCCAGCAGGGTGACATGGAGTCGAATGGCAAATTCGTGACTAAAGGCGGCCAACGGGTCAACTACCAGACGGGTGTACGTACGGCTCACTTTTCTGCATTTCATGCATTAAACCCGCGATGATCCAGCCGATCATTTGGGGAGCCGCTGGCACAAACGGCCAGCACTCGTTCTACCAGCTCGTACACCAAGGTACGAAACTCATCCCCGCGGACTTCCTCGCCCCCGCCACGACGCACAACCCGATCGCGAACTCGTTACATCACCGCATCCTGCTGAGTAACTTCTTCGCGCAGCCAGAGGCACTCGCCTTCGGCAAGACCGAGACGGAGGTTCGCAAGGTCTGTCACCGTAGACGAACTCCGCGAGGTTGCTACTGACCACACACTGTGCGGGCTCTCTTGCAGGAGCTCGGCCCGAATGCGTCCGAGCCACTTGTGAAGTCGAAGGTGTTCGAGGGCAATAGGCCGAGCAACAGCATCATCTTCCCGCTGCTGACCCCGTCGACGCTTGGTGCACTGATCGCGCTCTATGAGCACAAGATCTTCACGCAGGGTGTGATCTGGGGGATCAACTCTTTCGGTGAGCAGCAGTCCATCTGCATGGCGCTGAGTGCACTTCCTGACGCGACGGTGCCCAGATCAAATGGGTGTTGAGCTAGGCAAGGTACTCGCGAAGAACATCCTTGCACAGCTCGAGAAGCCGGATGATGTCAAGGGCCACGACAGCTCCGTATGTCCTCTTCCCGTCGTATCTGCGGATTCCTACTCATTGTTGCCTCCCAGACGACCGGTGTCATCCACTACTACCAGAAGCACAGGAAGGAGTGACTCCCCCAGGGAAATGCGCGGTACTAGAAAGGAAAGGAGAGAAGCAGTACGAAATTTTTTGTACTAGGATCGAGAAATTGAGGCAGTTCGCACTGCATGTCAGAATAACATAAGTAAAGAAACGTGGAAAGAGTTCCTTGCACTGGACGGGTTCATACGATACAATATCAATTTCTAGCAGACAACTACTGGATAGCAACCGATAAACTACGTAGTCTTCTAGAATCCAGAATCCTCGACCCAACCACCGCCACCGCTCGTGTTGGGACCGCTGAAAAGATCCTCGCCATCAGGGCCCCAACCAGCCTCATCCTTGTGCTTCACCGCCTGCGACAGAAAGTCAACAAAGGCACACATTAATCGACAAGAACGCACCTTGGTGAGGTAGTCTTTGTTCGAGTTCATCGTGCGCTCGAGCTGGAGCAACAGGTTGCTCTGCTCTTGTGCGAGGCTGAGCATCCTGTCTACGTCTTCCTTTGAGTACTGCGGCACAGGGTCGGAGAAAGTGACCGTCCCATCAACCGAGATCGTCGCACTGATCTCATCCGCCTCGATCTGTACCGGTCGAGACCGGCGGCGGAGTAAGAGATGGACAGGGAGGGAGTTTGGGAGATAGGACGCACCATGCTGAGAATCACCATGCGCACCTCGGGCTCTTCGAGCCCAACCTCTTTCCCGATGTCGGCGAGCCCGAGTGTGAGGTACGTGTTCGTGAGCTTTTTTATCAGCCACCGTGGGGCGCGCTCAATCGCCTGGTGCACCAGACCGAGATTCTTCTCCTGTGACAGACGCACGATCAGTCGTATGAACTTAGACATAATTCGCGCGATGGAGCCCACCGTGGCAAAAGTTTCCACATCCTTCTGGATCAGGTTGTGCAAGGTAGCTGTTCGTTGCGGGTACGCCTTGATAAATGCTGCGTACGGTGAAGACTTGAGGAGGCGCTGTAGCACCGGGTTAGTGTATTTTGGCGGCGGAATCGTCTGGCGACGTATCATCAACAAGGCAATTACGCGACACAAGGGAGGATACCTACTTTTCCGTGCAGAATCAGCTGCACGAGGACAAGCTTCTTCGATGCTTCTAGTTGAATGGCCGCAGGAACCTGCGCGGGCGCACTCGCACAGATCTCAAAGAACTCCTCCGCTTCATGCCACCGCTTGAGCGCACCGAACGCCATCCCACCGGCGTAGTGGTAGATGAGGTTGTCATTGTAGTGCAGGTCGGAGAGCGTCGTATCAATCGTCGTGATCGGCACCGATAGGACGGGGAGTGCCGCAGTGAAGTGGTGGGTAGCTACGCACGTCTAACATGGAAGTGCAAACCCGTCAGCTACTGCGGATAGAATCGTGACAAACGCACTCACTCTCAAAAAGATGGGATGCAAAGTAGTTAAATGAGATGGAGTTGGAGGGTATCGCGTGACAAGATTGAACAAGGGGCCAAGTGCGTACTTCAACTAGAATAGGCTCAGTACCACAAATTGTAGCACATAACGAACCGCATACGCTGTGAGATTCTTCAGACACACGGACAAGCCTTTTGGCCAGAGATGTCACTTAGACAAGATGAGCGCATGCCTCACCTAGAGAAGGTTACCATATACCTCGATCAGGGGCAAGACGCGCCTGTACTGGATCGAAACGAGTGCAAAAGTCCTCAATGGATTCAAGTGGTGGTTTCGGAGACGTCGACGAATGCAACCGCGCTGATCTGGATAACAGTCGCACATTTGTAACGGTTCTGCCACAGCACAGGATGAAAGCTACTCACAGGATGTATAGGATCCCTAGTGTATGTTGAGGTGCATCCAGCACGGTCAACGGATCTTCGCCATGTGCCAGGGCACCCGCCAAAATTGTATCTCGAACATCCTTCGGAGCAAAGCTCTTGAGAATCGTGTTCAAGCTGGCGGAATTCTCCAACGTCCTGATGCTATTGACGAGACTGTCAAGCGAAGGAAGTCCATCGTCCCCACGAGACGAGCTAGAGGTATTGAGATGTGCCTGGTAGCTTGAAGACCCTGATTGAGCCATTGTGCGACACTGCACTGTGAGAGGGGGGATTGTCAGCAATTTCTCTAGACGGCTCAGTCCTGTCCTCCTCCATAAACTCGGAATGTCCCCTGATACTCAACGCAGTATACATCATACATGCCACATAAGTTGCATAGTAGCGTCAGAATCACGATTCGAAAGGAATGCAGAGCCCACCTGAACGCGTCTAATGTTGAATAAAGTCAACAGATTTAAGTTGATCACAGGACGTGAGTCACACAGCAACGTAGGGTAGCGAGGTGTTGTTACACGATTCTACCAGATACTATCAGACAGCCTGCAAATTTACGAGACGCAGGGCGAGGACAAGGAGGACAAGGAACACGTTGAGTGCAGAAGCCGCACGACTCGAAAGACGCCTCAGCCACAGCTATAGGCGCCAGTGCGCGCGCACAAGCTTTAACTTATGACTTGTATAACACTTTTGATTGAGGAGGTACACAGGAGACGGTGTAACAGTGAAGACACTTGGCACATAATTTATGAGGATTCAAATTGCTCAGTTTCGTCCTAAGAAAGCTGCTGATTCTGTGTTTGATGCAAGGAAATTTACTGCTTTACGACTTCGTTGTATTGAGTGTGCACAACCACAATCGCCACAGCGTTGAATGAGTGCTTCAACTGGACAGAACCAGAGAGAAAAGGAATCACAGCCACGGAAGCCTCGAGGCTACGAGCGAGTCGGATGACTCGTCCGATGGTGATAGGACAGTGAATTGGAGGGAAAAATGCGAAGTGTTGAAAGTATTAAGCCGAGGCTATTTGGTGTCCGAACAACTGACCCCCAAAGAGTCTTGCGAATCTTCCGCATAGTGGATCTACAGAGCAACTCACTATGGTCGGATCAGAAATTGTTGCCGCAACGGCGAACTTGCTCTAGCAGGGTGTCAGAGAACAAGACGAGGGAAATACATCAATAGACGTCGTAAACTCCAGTGTGTTCGAAGTCGCCAGTTGAGACATTACAGGCTGAAGTAGGCCTCGTAGCAACGAGAGTGTTAGCACAACATTCGAATCGTAGCAAGATAGGTGGGCACTTATGCATAATGTCCTCTCAATGTTGTCGGAGCACAAATGGGCTTGCTCACAAAGCCATTGGCCTGCCTCATCAGCATGTCAGTTAGCAAAAACTGGCATGAAATCCATTCTACAGGGCGCGCAACATCATAGTACATACAATCCGTCCTCAAAATACACGATAGTTCCGCCTGTCCTTCGCTGAGATTGACTACTTCTTGCCTGCCTTCTTCGCAGCGGTTCTGGCGCGTGTGATCTGCTTCTTCCATCCATAACACTGGTTACAAGCTGTAACACATGATATCAGCGTCTCCTGTCTGAAGTGTGCGAATCAGCACTTACCTGCAGAACCATGCTTCTTGCACTGGTACTGGCCCTCCTTGTTGACGCTGGAAGCAGGAGCCTCGATGCCTTCACGGTCGATGGGGTCGAACTACGATCATAGTATTATCATGCGTGACAAAAGGAACGATAGCACGATATACCCCAAAAAAAGTATCATTCTCCTCCCTGCCATCAAAGCTGCACTCGGCACACTAGAGGCGAATTCGCGCATGAGTAAGAGAAGATCCTAGATAAACTGCTTTCACTCACCACTTCCTTGAAGTGAGGGCAAAACAGGGCGTCGTTGATCTCAATCGAAGCTGCTGTAGTTTCCGACATCTTCGACGGGAAGGTTAAGAGTAATGAGCAACAGTTCTGTAGGTTGCGCGACGAAAGCCTGTCGCCGCAAATCGAGTCGTGTACCAGTGGGAGGTCAAGAAGGAAGAGTGGGAAGGTCGTCCTGCGGTTTATATAGGGGGTCAGCTGGGGTACACGGGGGTTATCACTTTCCAGTCGCGACCATCTGACGGAGGTTCTGGGGCAGATGACCAGAACGCGACGTAACCGCACGTGCACCAGCGACACTGGCAGTACGAGTGTCATACGAGCTACAAAATATGAGAGATTACGATGCTACCGTCTGCATACTATGTCACTCATTTAAAGGAATCGTAGACATCAGTACCACCAAGGCTCCTCGCTGAACACCTCATGCGGATGCTAAATGCAGAGCCATTATGTCGATCCGAGTCAAGGCATTGTATCACAGAAGACAATTCGATATCGCACCTTCAATACAGCCTATTGTTAGGAAGAAGGTGCAGTCGACAGATGGCAGAAGGAGCCGCCAAACTCGAGTGCAGAACAAGGCGTACCGTCCTCGGTCATCCCGCAGAATCCTTTCTCAATCAGCTTCCAGTTCTGCCATGGCCAGCGCCGACTCCACGCTTCCACCCACGTCCGCGCCTTGAAGCTCTCGTATGCATACCCCGACCGATGCCCCTCCTTCAGCGGTGCGGGAAAGGGGAGGAATGAGTCGATTGGCGCGTCCATTCTGACGACCAGCTTCCTTGTGAATGTGCGCAGCTCCATGTCAACAGTGCCCTTCCGGCTGTCGTGCTTGATGATTATGAATGGTGAGATAAGCCCGATAGAGACTGTGAATGGCGGTCTGAAGTCCCAGTTGCATGCAGCAGAGCGGTACCCAACCAAATATGCATGCACTCCAGGCAGCGCTGCTCCGCCAGCAAGACAGAAGCTCCTCGCAGCCGTGCTGAACGACTGACCCCAGATCCAGCCCTCAGGAAATGATGTGCCCCAGTTTTTCTCCATGTGCGTGACACCGCTTACTGAATGAGTCTGTCCAGAATACGTGAGGGTGAGCTTAGCGGTGCTGGAAATGGAGTGCACAGTCCAGTTAAGTGGCAATAGATGTGAAAGGTGAGTGAATGGGCCCATAGGACCCTCCAAGGGACGTGATTTCGACCAAGGAGTAGGATTATCGAGAGATAGGGTAAGGTCAAGCTGACAATTAGAAACGGAGATGGCGTAGTTCATAGACCTAGGCGTAACCTCGAGAGATCCAATGCTGGGTGCACGGAGGGTGAAAGAAAGTGGTTGGTTCGGAGTGTAGTGATCGACTTGAGCATTGATGCAATCAACAAAGAACACATGCTGAAACTCAGAGATACCGCCTGCCTCGGTGGGGTGGTAAGACACATACACCATGTCCCCGCGACTTTTCGCGTCTTTCACCCAGCAGAAGATGATGGCCAGCGTCCCTCCATTGTCCAGAAGCGTACGAGAATAGTAGCCTTCAAATCCCGAGGGTGGATGGGGAGCAAAGTGATCTTGCTGGTGAACCAGAGGTGATTCCGGGAAAATAGAAACGAATAGAGTTTTCCACAGCGCAAGTGGGGAGGTGAGTACAGTCTGCAGGTTCATCTCTGCAACAACGTGCTCAAAACACGATAAGAGGTTACCAGAACTCTACATCCTCACCAATTCTCTCTAAAAATCCACGTGTGACCAGATACGTGAGCCACTGCCAAAGACGTGAAAAGTCGACTCTAAACGATCGTAAACGTCGGAAAATCACGCTGTTGCGTGCTTGCTTTTGAGCAGTCCAATCTGATGTTGACTGCGTTGTCGAGATGCAGGAAAAAGCCTCTTTTCGTGTGGGTCCGACATGATGACTGATACAAAGAGTAGTTGTTACAGAGGTCAGTGTTTTCGCACCCTATTTGATTTTGTGACGAGTCCTGTTTTCTCCTTCAGTACCCGAGGCGCTTCCCTGCGCTTCTAGTGCATGTACTACGGATGTAAGTATTTGCCCACTTCGCAACCTCTCCCATCAATCATATATTCCATGTGGGACTTTGAGCTAACTCTGAAGTGGATGGGGTGCATATATACCTATTATGATGTCTATAACACGCACAAAATGAGCGACACTCGGATCGATGTATAGATACTTACTGTGCAGACACAAAACTCCAGCCACGGTACCGCCTATCATACCGCTTTTGGAAATGGTTGGTAAATGTTAAGCCACGTGCACCGCCCATTTGAACTTCGCGGACCCGAGAGGAACGACGACCAAACGTTTGCTATTAGATAGCTATAGGTACGTTCCTAGAAATTTTAACACTGCCTTTACTGAATAACTAACCGGTATATAGCTCTTTCGAACATTGCGCCAAGGGACAATTTTCTTTCAGGGGCCCTGAAAGCCGGTATAAGTGAGCCCCGCTACATTTGCGTTCTTAGAACACACATACTCATACTGGAACCGTCAGCTCCATGTCGGAAGCAGTATGGGACCCAGAAACCGTCTCCAGCACTTTCACTAGGCACCCTGCGTATGACCGGATTTTGTCTTGCCTGTCTCCTGCCTCACTGGTCTCCATGGGGCGTGTCAGCCGTATCACTCGGAGGGCTGTGCAAGACTACTCCAGCCGCGCTTTCAGCGTCAACCGTCTCCTTACCAGGTTTTTCTCTGACCCCGTTGCATTTCGGTCCCTCCAAGCGCGCACCGCGACTCTGATATCTGGGTCTTTCGGCGTGCAATTGTTTGACAGGTCATTATACTCGGAGTCCGATCTGGATCTCTACCCGCATTCACAGCATGTCCGCGAAGTGGGAGAGTGGTTGCGGCGTGAGGGGTACATATTTATGCCCTCCTCCTTCCAACCCGAGTCATTTCTTGAGGCATCTGCCGCAGATCCTATCATGACTGGAGTAAATGGCGTTAATCTTCTGCCTCTTGACCACTACTGGACAAAGAGCGTCGCAAACGTCTTCACCTTTCTGCGACCATCGACCGACGCGTATAATCCGGATCAGCCCGCGAAAGTCCAAATCATCAAATCTAAGGAATCGCCCTTTGAGTGCATTCTCAATTTTCATTCCAGTGCGTGACGTTTGCAATATGCCCATATTCTGCTGACGCTGTGGCAACCTCCAGCTTGTGTCATGAACATTATCACATATAATGCTGCGATATCACTTTATCCATTTTCGACTTTCGAGAGAAGGGAGGCCCTCGTTATTGGGGGGCACGATCGACAAGCGTCTGCGTTGCGCAAGTATGCAGAAAGAGGCTGGAGAATGATCGCACATTCTTCTCCTCTCATTGTCTTGTCGTCTCCAGACTCGGTCACCTTCGGGGATCACTTTTTTGTCCAGAAAACGCGTTGGACAGATGACAGGCATAGTTGGGTCATCCCTCTAGATATGGATCAAGTATCTGAGCCGACCCCGCTTTCACCGACTTCGATGCCTCTCACATGGGATCCTGTCATGCAAAATAGCTGGACTCTCAACGCTGATGAATACAAACATGGAGTCATATATCAAGACATAATGTACTCAACAGCAAGAACCTCTGTGCTATATTACAACTATACTGTGGCGGATGAGAAGTACTTGGAGATGCTCATTTCATTTTTCAGAAATCAAGGGAAACTTGAGCACTCCAAACTTGGACCGGAAGGTTGGACGGCTGACACTCCACAGTTTTGGACATGGTACAACATATCTCACTTTGATTTTTGATTTCCTTGCTCACATCAGCTGTAAACAGGTGGGATTCTGTAGTCCCATTGTTTCGACAGAATTACTTGCGAAAGCTTCAATGCGAGCCAGAGCCGTAGACGTCAGTTAGTGTTGTTCTTTATCGCACACATTGATTGGTACGAGCCTACGTTTGAAAGACACAGTATCTCCTGCTTTGTCCATACTTAATGCGGCACTCCGGGTTATTGTCACAGTCCCACTTTCTGCATGCTCCCATTTCTGTGGAGTTGCATGCGTTTGCGCCTCTCCTGACCAGTCATTGGCCTTGTTATTCGATACGTGAACATGGACGAGGCTTGCACAGCCATATTGTAACATAGGCTGATAGCAATTACTAGGTTCTTTTCTTTCCCATGTATGAACAGTCCACTGGGATGGCTGTGCAGAGGGTGCCAAGAACGGCATGGCACATCCTTTTAAACCTTTACATTAGCGACGATCGCAAAACAACTTCCCGAGGCTCATACAACATAGTAAGGATGTTGCAGAGATCACCCATAGTTGTGTAACGACCAGGCAATTTGAATCCAGACGGACTCATCAGCTATTAATCTAACAGATTCCGACAGCTTTAAAAGAGTCAAGTCAACCAGATAATGTATATACAAAGGGGGTAGAATTACTCGCGGGCATTTCACAGTTGGCCAAAGAACGTCGAGGACGACAATGAATGCGGCCTGATCAGACACCAATACATCTTGAGGCCTCTGATCGACAGCCCCTTCCGAAGACATGCCAAGTTCGTATCCACGTGCCCACTGATGGTGCTCTTGAACTTCAAGTTGACAACTCGAAGAATACGTCGTAAGTGCTAGCCTTTGAGCAAAGGTGGATTTCATATCGTAAACATCGTAAACAACTAATGGTGCGCCATGGATGCCGGCCAGTTATGGGTCTTTTCTTAGAATTTGTTTCCGGAGACCGCTGAAATGCACAGCAGAACTCTCGAAACGATCCTTGGTCCACACCCCAGCATTAGACTAGGTTCATTCTGTTAGCTGTGCTAGCATCGTAAGCGATCCTCACTATTCTTCCATGATCCCTATATGTATATCCTCATTACTCATATTAGCCCCATGTCCGACGTGCCAGAAACTGTCTTCAACACATTCCTGTACAGTATGACCGGATCTTTTCCTGCATTCCATGGGGTGTGTCTGCCATATCACTCGAAGAGCTGTGCAAGACTACCCCAGCCGCCGCCCCTTCAGCAACCGTTTTCTAACTAAGTTTTTCGCTGATCCGCTCGCGTTCCGGCCACTTCAAGCCCGCACCGCTATTCCGATATCCCAGTCTTTTGGCGTCCATTTTTTTTACAGATCGTTTTATCTGACGTGCGATTTGTATCTCTATCCACGCTCGCAGCACGTCCGTGAAGTGGGAGAATTGTCGGAATGTGAAAAATGCGAATTTACGCCAACCCTTTCCAGGGGAGGGATTTCTTCAGGGCTTGCTTTCAGGTCGCAGATTTCTCAGCGGATGTTGATGCATCTCTCGACCTAGAGCATATCCAGCGCTACATGCCGAAGACTGTTGCGAATGCCCACGTTCACGACTGCCCACCGACATGAATATCCACAATCGGCCCGCAAAGTTTCAAATAAACTGTGATGCTCGCCCTTCAGTTGTATTCCAAATTTTCATTCAAGTACGTCTACGCAGGATGCCATAAGTTTTCTGCTGACTGTCGCAATTGCCCATTTGTCCAGCTTTGTCATCGCCTATAACACGGCAATCACTCAGATTCACTCTCTATCCGGTCTTAACTTTCGAGTGGCGAGAACCATTTGTTATTGGGGGCACAAGCGGCCTGGCAGGTGCCTGCCGAATGCAAGTATGGATCTAGAGGTTGGAAGCTGATCGCACATTCCTCTCCTCTCATTCTCCCGAAGTCTCCGAAGGTATCAAGGATGTTGTCCATGTGCGCCAGTTTTTCGTTGGCAAGTCGCGTTGGGTGGACAGTGAGCACGGCTAGGTTATTCCACCCAACATAAATGGAGTGTCTGAACCTGCCGCGCTTTCACCGTCTCCCACGCCTCTCACAAGGGATCCCGTCGCGCAAAAGAAGCTGGGTCCTTCTCAAGGCAGGGGATGGATGAACAACCAAACCTAGTCTGCTGCCAGGTGTCACCAATCCACAGTAGCAGATGCTGAATACTTGGACATGTTCGTCGCATTCTTCATCAAGGAAATTTTGAGTTTACCACACTTGGACCGGGAGGATGCGCATTCTCCGAAAATTTGGGACGCGGTCAGTGATATCCGCTTCTACTATGCCAGGGAATAGCTTACACCAACTGCGCGTAGGTGGGATTCTGTACTCCCGGAACTACATGCGAAGACAACAGGCGACATAGACGTTTGTAAAATACAAACTACCCGTTACCCGAGTGATGATATCTCATCAAACTTCAAATCTCGAACATTCTATGTTCTCCTTTATGCGGTGTCATTCCCGGATATCATCGTAGTCACTCCTCCTGGGCGCTCGACCATACTCGCGCAGATACCGGACAACGAACAACAGTAATATTACCCCCGACCGGCCGCAGCTAGGAAAACGGCTGTGCTACGCGCCAGTGGGCCGCTAGGGTATGAGCTGCCGCAAAAACGGGCGAGCCGCAGGGCGATACGAAGAATTCACCGCGCGAACGAACGAATTTCTCAGGTGGAAGGATTCGGGATAGGCAGACTTGATAGGTTTCCCTTTTTTCCTATGCTCACCATTGTTATGTTACCCTACCATGCCCAGCTATCCACCACTTCCCCACACCCGAACAACGCAGTACTCACGAGACACCGCTGCTTTCACGGCAGCAAGGACACTTTATCTTTTCGACAACCCCTTACCAGCGCGTATTTACCTACGTTAGAGACTGTTCCTTGGCGCGCTTGATCGCCTGCTTGCAGTATAAATACACAGATTTCATCATCATCCTGCGCGCTCGTAATGCTTGCGAAGTTGCGCGTTCTCGTCTCCCACACCCGGGTCTCGCGTATTCTGACGCAGATGTCACCAAATTGCACACGGCTTTCTATCAAAGATGGTTGCTCATGCCAGCCTTGTGTATGACTTGCAGACTTCCATGTGGAGCAGGCTGACTAGTGTCCCAGGCATTGCTCGACATGCGAACACGGGCTGTACTTGCACGGTCAGACTGTTATGCAGGATGTTTCGAAACCAGGTTCTTTTCTCCCGTCCATCCCAGGCCCGGGAACAGTCCACAGTTTATACACACCGTCGTCTGACGTTGACGTGGGCGCTGTTCGGAAAAGAAAGGTGATGCATCTTCCTGGGCTGAAAAGAACGTAAGAAGGTACATAGCGCAGCTCCTGGTATTTGTTTTACTGTAACCCGAATCGCTCAGGTAAGGCCAGCTCGAAATAGACGCCGGATTTGTCATCGGCTGAGCTCAGTTGCCTCGTCGATCTCGTCATGCTGGTGCAACCGTCTCCGGCGGTCACTGTACGCACATCCTCTCGTTATTTATAAGGGCTGGGTTGACTTTGCTCTGCTACACTCCTTCCCCAGTTTAATTTGTTTTAAATCTAGTTTTCGGCGATTTTCCCTGTCGTCCCCGATGTCTCCGGCTATTTTCAGCAACGAGTCTAGTTCCAATGGCCACGCGAACGGTGTGAAGAAGCGTCACCCCGGTGGCTTCGGAACTCGTGCCATTCATGTGGGATCGGAACCGAGTCAAGAGACTGGTGCTGTTATACCCTCCATATCGCTGAGCACGACGTACAAACAGAATGGTGTTGGAAACCATAAGGTGAGCATCTTTTGTTCAGTTTAAGATCATCATTTTTCCGGAGGTTTTTGTTGTTGTTGTTGTGTCGGATGTACTCGTTATGACTAGAGTTGGTCTGGAGATGCAGTTCTGATGATCGTTGTGTGATTCTGCTCTCAGAAGACCTTGCAGACGCCGACTAAGTATAGTAACTGACATTTTACTTTTGCAGGGTTTCGAATACTCTCGCTCCGGAAACCCAAATCGCAATGCACTAGAAAAGACCCTCGCTTCGTTAGAATCAGGTGGTGCTCATGCGCTTGCCTTCGCCTCGGGATCTGCCACCACTGCGACCGTGCTGCAGTCACTCGGACCAGATGCGCACGTTGTCAGTGTGAACGACGTATATGGCGGTACATTCCGCTATATGTCTAGAGTTGCGAGCGAAAATCAGGGCATGGAGGCGACGTTCGTTGATCTCGAGAATGCAGACGATGAGACCATACTAGCGGCTTTCCGTTCTAACACCAAGGTTCGTTCTCCCCACACCCGTCGGACGTATCTAGTGTAGACTGACACCTTTGGGTATAGCTGGTCTGGATAGAATCACCCACAAACCCGACCCTCCGCGTTATCGATATCCCACGAATTGTTTCACTTGCACGCTCTGCGCAGTCTTCGCCCTTGGTGCTCGTTGACAACACCTTCCTGTCCCCTTTCTACTCTTCTCCGCTTCTGCAGGGCGCCGACATTGTCATGCACAGCCTGACGAAGTACGTCAACGGCCACTCCGATGTCGTCATGGGCGCGCTTATCCTGCCGGCGCACCATACCGCTCTAGTCGAAAAGTTGCGCTTCCTCCAGAATGCGATCGGCTCGGTTCCTAGTGCGTTCGACTGCTGGCTAGCCCAGCGCGGTGCAAAGACCCTCCACCTACGCATGAAAGCGCACGGTGAGAACGCGCTTGCGATTGCTCAGGCACTGGAGCACTCTCCGTACGTGGAAGAAGTCATCTACCCTGGACTTGCGTCGCATCCGCGAAACGAGGTCGCTTTCCGTTCGCTTTCGCCGCATGCCCGCAAATTCGTGAACGAAGTGCTCAGCCGGGGCGTGGAGGGCGGATTCCCATACGGCGGGATGATCTCGTTCAGGATACGCGGCGGTGCGGAAGAGGCAGATAGATTCTTGACCGCGACGCGCCTGTTCACGCTGGCAGAGTCGCTTGGTGGCGTGGAGAGTCTTGCAGAACTTCCTGCGCAGATGACCCATGGGAGCATCCCTCCAGCGGAGCGTGCGCTGCTCGGCATTAGCGACAACCTCATCCGTCTGTCGGTCGGCGTGGAGGAGACTGAGGACTTGGTTGCCGACGTGGAGCAGGCTCTGGAGGCAGCAGTTGGCTCTTCGGAGAAGCCGCTTTTTGCGAACGGGGTGCATTGAACCGTCGGACTATGTGTATAGATTAGCCACTAGAGTAATGTGTCGGTGCACAGCTAGATCCTATAGTGCATGTATCATGTATCGCGTTTGTTTGTCCATTGATACGAGCGGAGCAGTACCGCGTAGTGAAACATGAGGAAAGAAGCTCGGTTATTGTAATGAGGAGCGGCTTGCGAGTTACCCCCATCGTTGCCAACTGCCGGAGACTTCTGGACCCAACATGCAGGTTGAATGGAAGATATTCGGCCGTAAAAAGATGAAATCTCGAGGTGACTAGCTTATAAGTAGGGCGAAGCCAGCATACCTGAAATTCATCACCATCCACGTCATTCACCAATCGGTCAAGATTTCCTCGAGGCCGACCATCCTGACTATAAGCCACGGCTGCAAGGTCTTGCAAGATGCGGGCAAATTCGCACGCTCTCAGATCTCGGGCTTGCACGACTCGCCGAGGGCCTGCGCCCTTCAGGATTGTTCGCGCTGACCGAGTCGACCAAATACCCATAATGTTAGCTCAAAAAAGGGTCTCAGCGATGCTCATTCTTGCTGAGTACGTGAGCTTGAGTACGTGAGCGCTTAAAAGGACCTATTCACTCAGCCACTTGTCAAGCGCTCACGTGAGCAACGCTTTGGCCAAGTGGCCGTCAGATATATATCCAGCGCGGTATGTTTCCCATTGAATACACGTTGAACTCCTCCTGCCATGTCCTCCTCGGACATCTATATTGACCTATTCCTCAAGTTGGGTTATGGCTATCCTCTGTGGTGTCCATCGTCGGACGTCCACATTGGCGATGTGGGCTTTATGTCCAAGGGTGGGTTTTATCGACTCTTCAACGCATTCGAGGACAAGGACCACCCTTTGAACAAACGCAATACTCTCAACGAGTTTACCCCGTTCTCCTACGACACGTCCAAACTAAGGAAGCGAGCCATCCCCGAAGACCACCTGTGCAGCCGAGGTACGAAAATAAGTCCTGTAGCAGATCTTCCAGGGTGCGTACCACATTGGATAGTGTTAACCTTCGTTTCTGACGTGTAATGCAGGACGTATCGCGTTGAATGCCCGAGAAACGAGAAGGGTGCTTTCCTCTTCTTCAAGGACGCTGTTTGCGAGGAGATCCTTCCGCACCAGGAACTGACCAAGTATATTCAGGCAAACTGGAAAAGCTGGCTCCATAGTGAAAGTGATCCCGGGGTATTCGAATCCAAGGATCTCATCTTCGTTCGTGGCCACATCAAGACTTCCGATTGGGCAGTTGGGACGTTCGCGGGTGTATATTCTTCTGTGGCTGTTGTCCAGGAGAAGTCCGGCAAAGATTCAAGCGCATATGTCGTGACTAATGGTAGTAATACCTACGAATTCAGGTATGGTCCGACGAACCGAACTGCCAGTATCGTCGAAACGGACAGCGGCGGCCCGATCAGGCGCGACCAGTGCCTGTTTATGCGCTGTTGCGTGATCAAGAGAAAGCTAGGTGTATTATGGCACGAAGTTGCTATGGTGCCCAATGGACGACTTAGACTTCTGAGTCCACAGGAGCAGAAGAGGTATGATGCGGATGAGATTGAGTTGAACGAGATACCCGTATGTGTCTTTGTCTTACCCCTTATTGAAGAGAGTTCTTAGTTCTTACTGCATTACCATCACCTGCAGGCGTATGGATCTACCGTCAACCTGCTATCCAATATGGGATAAATATAGATGGCCCATTGGTCAAGGACACATGGGTTTGCGGATATAGATGCGGCATAGCTCACTTCTCGGCCTGTCATGTACGGTACACGCACACTATATGTCTAATTTTCTCGATCCAGTCCTGTTTGGCCAGATGAACCATTGATAGCAAAGTACTGTAGATTGTGGTGCATTGAAGACGGTGTCCACCCTGAAGAATGATCATGGCACCGAGCTACACCACTGTACCAAGGAGTGACCCAGGCTCCTAGAACCATCCCACATGATTTTTTAAAATATATCCTAGGATAAAGGAGCAAGAGCACTGTAACGTTCTAGGAGCCTGGAAGAAACCCATATTGACCTGAGATTACTATCATTACCCCAGTATTGCAATCTGGTCTAGTTATGCAATTTCGCCGTTTTGCCACATTTTGCTGCACTAAAAATCACAAAAAAAAATGCAATAGATGTGCACAGTCCCAAATACCTTGGCTGTGCAACTTGGGAGTCAAACTCGGAGGGGAAGAGTGCGAAGTCTCTGAATTGCAAGTTTGGAGGACTCAGGTGTGACAGTGAAATGTGCCATTTAAAACTCCGACCAGAGGGAGAACAAGGGAACGGCACGTCGGCAAGCGTGACGATCTGTGACCGATTCGGCGCTCTTGCGTGCAAATGAGTCTCTTCACTGCGTTCGGTCTTGGAGTCGCACAACATGAGGAAAAAAATTGGCAGTCACACAGAAGGTAGCTTATATGTTGTATATTTGATCCAAAGAGGTTTGAAGGAAAACGGGCCCGATTTGAAGGAATGGTGAAAGAGATGCAATCACAATTGCATTACTGGGGTAACGATAGTAGTACTATGCTTGCAAAGCTTTACCACACCTCCCGAGACACATGAAGACCCTATTTTAGGGTTGGAGATTTTCACCAGCCAGATTGGCCACCGTCCAAAAGTAGCGGTGTCTAATTGGCGCGCACCATATCTACCAGAGGCTGGTTAACGAACATGCTGACCGAGTCAACCATGTTGGAAAGTAGCATCCAAATTTCTGGAGCTCCAGAAATTGGGGAGCGCCCAAGGGCAGACAAGCCGAGGCCATGATTACAAAGAAAGACAAAGAAGGAAATTTGCTTATATAAAGTGGAGCATGTAGAACTGTATATATACAGAAATCTATTTTAGGACACGTAATTACGCGCCCCGACGCATCTTGACCCGCCATCACTACCTTCCTATTTGGGAACTAAGGCGCGATTTCTAACAGGTTATGAGCCTCGGCTCTAGCCAATAAATACTTGGATAACAACAGCCCCTATTGTGGCTACAAAAAATTGTTACCCCCTTACTAGTACGAGAACAAATAATGTCGACCAGCGCTGATAATACGAGCAATAGCAATGCTTACCAGATCCCACTCCTGAAGGAAGACAATTGGCTCCCATGGAAGTGCCGCGTCGAGGCTATCCTTAATGATAAGGGTCTCCAGGAGTATGTGACCGGAAAGACACCGAAGCAGCAGCCGAGTAATGACCCGGCCAATAGGGCAGTGAGAGAGGCAGAGATTAGCGCCTGGGGAGAGAAGGACCTCAAGGCCCAGAACGTACATCAGGAAAACCCAACTTTTACTTAGAGGTGTCCTTATATAACTTAAATGCACTTATGGACCTTAAATAAGGCAAAAAAGGACAAAAAGTCCATAAGTCATATTTCCTTAGAGCCTTAAATATCGACTTTTGTGAACTTATGAGCCTTAAATAAGGCAAAAAAGGACAAAAAGTCGGAATAAGTGCCATAAGTAAAAGTTGGGTTTTCCTGATGTAATTGTGCTATCGCTGGGAGATTCCCAGATGGTGCACATCGCTGGAGCCGAGACGGCACGGGCCATGTGGGAGCAGCTTCGCACAGTCAAGGAACAGCATGGACAGCATGGGATTCTTGCGCTGTGCCAGCGTTTTTACCGGATGCAAGCCAAGGAAGAAGATAATATCTCCAGTCACATTACACAGCTACGACAGATCCAGGAACAACTCCACCTAATGGGGAAGGTTGTTTCTGACGAGGATTTCTGGCTCATCCTGGCCACTTCATTACCGGAGAGCTGGGATTCTTTCCTCAGCTCTTACTTTGGCGCTGTGGGCAGCAATGTTGGCGCCGAAGGTGCTGACAACGTGCACCCTCAGCTTACATCACAAGAATTGATTGCCATCATTCTTGATGAAAATAGGTGAAGGCACGAGCGTGGCGAGTGCGGTCAATCCTCGGACCAAGCCATGGTTGCCAAAGGAAAGAAGCGCCCCTTTGGGGAATACAAAAAATGTTCGATGTTACGCGGCAGCGAAACACGAGCGTCTAGTCGAGTCTTCACGAGACAAGGTCTTAGTCTAAGACACAAGTCCGTTCAAGTGACACTTCTGGCGATGTCCTTGCACTGAAGGTCGATCAGAGTTTGTTCTTATGACTCGTAGTAGCTGTCTGCTACTGACGGTCGATCTCAGTCAAAGGCAAGTGAAAAGCTGGTTTAATGGTAACCAGGTCGAGATGGGGATCCAGCTCGACAAGGTCGTCTACTTATACAAAAGGTATCCGCAGTACTACGCAGTAATGCGAGATCGTTCATTGGCTAGATAAGGTGAAACGATATCTGGGCAAGGTAACAGTGAGGAAGTAATATGTATGAGAAAGCTGAGTAAGGTCGTGAGAGATAATCAGTACTAATGGGGATAACGAGTCGTGTATCAGAACGAGGTAAAGATGAGGCATACATGCACGTCTTGCATGTGTGATAAGAAGAAGGTCCGGAGTTGGATCCGGTGTAACCCTAGACTAGGAGTTCTGGACATCTGGATAAAGAATCGGAGGTTGCACTCCGATGAGTCACGTGTTGGATCACGTGGTCTGGTAACGTAAAGGGAACAAAGAAAAGAGAAAGAAAAGACGCGCCACAAAAGTGAGGAGCATTGTAACATCAGCTCCCGTCTAACATTTCTTGTCCCACAAGAAATATTGTGATCTTCATCGTCGTCGGGGGCAGTCGCGGACATAATGATCTCCTCCACATCTGTAGCATGTCCGCCGGCTGGTTCGTGATCCTTGTTCAGGGATACGTCCATCCCTGTAGGGATGACTGCGACGCGAAGAAGTGGATGCTGTCGAGAAAGATGGTTGGGATAACGGAGATCGTCCACTGGATATGTGCGAACGAGGAGGGTGAGGTCGAACGGGAATTGGTTCTGGCGACGAGCGAGGAGTGGATGCGGGTATTCCATTAGTGGTGTATCCGAGGATGTGTCCGATGTCTTCGTCCCCATGCTCCCTCCAAATCTCCTGTGCTGTACGAGTGACCGTACTGCGCATTAATGACCAGACTTGGTCGACTCTGGTTCGGGCTCTACTCGTCCTTTCCTCTGCTGCGATGAGCTCTTGTCTGGCCGTCTGCATCCACTCGACCATTTCTAATGCTCGTTGCATGGAAACCACTGCTTGTCGATCTTGCGGGCGGTTTCGTAAGGCGACGAGGATATCTGTGAAGTCGACAGGAACACGGATAGCCGAGACCAGACGTGTGGCAAATTCTTGTTCGTCCGATGCATGACTGAGTTCGATAGAAGGTGAGGGCGATGAGGTGCGGATAAAGGGTGTCTGTGCTCGAGAGGGTACTCCATCGACAAGCGTAGGCGATGCGGGTATGCTCATAATTGTGGAGGCGACTTCAGCGAGTATATTGTGAACAAGGTCGTCTATAGCAGAAGTGGGCATTGATGATATATCGTCTTCTCCTCTTTTTATACCTTTCGGTCGTTAAGGGGATCGCGGTTATCTGTGATGTGAAATAGAATGTCGTGGATCCGGGTAATAATCAAATAGATGAAAATCCATTGGACAATAAAGAGTATTCCCACAGAGATAAGAGCTGCCTGATCAGTTCCAGGCATCGTTCTGATCACCCCAGCCGTTAGCGTGCGGGCTGTCTCGCGTGAAGAGTGTGTGTTCGACGAGTCGTCTGATAAGGATTCGGTGGATGATCCAAAGAAAAGCGAGGGTTGTGCAGTGGAGGACAATTAGGAAGATGATGAGGAAAACCGTCGTGGTAGTCATTCCGGGTTTCTTCTCCTCTACTGGATTCTCCTGGTCCTTTTATATGCATCGAGGATTCGCTTGGCATTCTGTAAATTGTGGGCAGGTTCCCACGAGTTTTCTGCTGAAGAATATCCCTTCCACTTGACTAAGTACCTCAGATGACCTCGGTACGTCTTGTGATTTAGGATGGCTTCGACTTCGTACTCTTCTTCGTTATCAACGACATCAGGTGGTGGGTTCACGTAATTCGGACCATGTATGTCGTTTTCGCGATAAGGAGATAGAAGGGCGGCGTGAAATACGGAATGAACTCGCCAGGTCTTCGGGAGTTTGAGACGATAGTTGGCTGGTCCGATGACTTCGACAATTTCGAATGGCCCCTCACGCTTTGGTGCTATCTTGCGCGAGGCGTAATTGACCTTCAGGTTCCTCGAGTCTAGCCAGACCTTCTGTCCTAGTGTAAACTTCGGCGATCCTTGTCTGACTCGGTCCGCCATCTGTTGTCGGGCTAACTCGTGCATGGCTAGTGCTTCTAGCCTTATCTTCTGCAACATGTCAAGCCTGGATTCAACCGATGGAATGTTCGTGGTCGGAAATACGGAAGGGAGTCCACGTGGTTCGTATCCCATCATGATGCGGAATGGGCTCATCTTCCGTGCCGAGTGTTCCCTTGTGTTATGACAAAACTCGAGGTCTGGCAGGCGGTCGGCCCATGTTTCAGGGTTGTTTCCGCAATAGAGTTGAAGATAGATTTCCAGCTCCTGGTTGACTCGCTCTGTTTCTCCGTCTGTCTGAGGGTGATAAGCTGTGCTTATTGATGATCTGATCTGGAGTAGTCGATTTAACTCTTGGAAGACCTTGGATGCATATTGAGGTCCTCTGTCCGAGATAATTCGGTCGGGTAATCCAAATCGCGAGTATACTTTGTCATGAAAAAT